TCCTGTTGTAATCTACATATATCCTATTTGCTATGTAACCAGTTCGAAAAAATATAAATATTTATAGGAAAGTTACCAACGAGAAGATAATTGTAACTATTGAAAATTTAACGAGGTCAAGAACTTGCAGCCGCAGAAATCTAAGACCAAACCTCCCGTAATCTCATCTCTCATAACGTTTATGGGGCTTCTCGCCTCGCCTCGCTACTTCGTTTGTTTCCCACCTTCACCTTCAATTCGTTTTAGACATTTAACCCAAAAACAATACAAAGTCGCTTACGTTACTTCTCTATATATTTTCAAGTGAATGAATAAACAACAATATTATAACTCAACCAAAAAAATTAAAGAGAATGAATACACAGATTTGCCATAGGACCACAGGTATGTATCGTAGTCGACAAGCACCGTTTAGACTAACGTTTTAAATTTTGATAAAATTGTGCAAAAGAATGATATTTTTTTTTTTTTTTGCATTTGGGATTGTTAGTAAACTAATCTTAACGCTTGTATCTACAAATGAATGATTAGATTAACGCCAAAAGAATTCAATGTTTCTTCTTAATGTTACGTGTAATAACAACACTATATTATTAAACCATAATATCAAGTGTGCGTATATAGATTGGAGAAACTACAAATCCCAACATAAGAAAAAAACAAATATCATAGGATTCCAATGTGTATTATAAACGCCAAAATAAATTAATCGCGTGTTTGGAAGAAGACAAACAAATATTGTTATTTTTCTTCTTTTTTATTTTTACGTACGAGTAGTCATCAAATTGGTTATTTGGTAGAGGAGTACTGAGAATTTGAAAGCTATGCGGAGGGCTAGTTTTTAATAAGAGCTTGAGATGAATAGCCAATGCATGCACATGCCTGCCTCTTTGTCTTTTTCGTCGTCTCTCCGCTCCTACTCGTCTCCTATTTTATTTTCGCTTCTCCTCCTACTGTTTTTTATTTGTATGTTTGCCTGTAATTGTTCAATTGATTGATATAAGACTAGTTACATTTTTATATTTCTTTTTCAAAAGATCCTTCTAGAGAAAACAAGTAAGTAAACTTGACAATATTTGTGTTCCTGGTAAAATTTGAACATATATCACATAAATAAGGGCCAACTATATGCGACTATCCCAGTATATATATCTCCACCATGTTATAATGACAAATACATAGCAAACTATACTTGAAAATAGGGCAATTCACATTTAATTATGGATCTAAAATCAGACATTAAAAATATTTTCAAAGAATATATATGTAGATATTATGTATAATTATATAGGTTTCGTAAATATTTATCAGAAGAAAAAAAATTATGTACGTAGATCAGTAGATGCTTGTATAAACACAGTAACACACAGTGGAGTCAAGTACGCATGGTTGCTATTAGAACACGTAGGAATGAGTTGGTTCGCATGTATACATCTCAAATGCGTAATTACAGAAAATCTTGTATTTATTTATTTATTATTTTAAAAAAATCTTGTATTTAATATCAATGATATACAAAACTTTGAATGCCAAAATCCGTATAACGTATAAAAATATAAATGTTTGTAATCTCGTGAATCATGTGACACCCTCGTCGTAATATGCAAATCAGACAACCACTTTTCCCCTGTCCTCATGCATGTTTGTATGCGTGTAGCACATCTTTACGTAATACTAACCAATATCATGAGTATGCCGTAAGGAGCAAATTGGTGAAAAGAGTTAATTTTTACTGACAGCTGAAACATATGTTGTCCGGAGCCGTATTTAACGACCGTTAAACTAAAGTCTGTCACTACTGATGATTCTGAAGCTTTGAACTCTTTATCATAACGCTTGTTAATCTCGAGGAAGTTCTCGAGTGTTTAGTCTCTACCGTCCGATTAGATTCTTGGAAGATCTTTTTTGGGGTCAAATAAATATGTTGGCTTCTTCCATTTTAGATTGTTCATTTCAAGAAAGAAAGATTCGTGGCTTCGAATCCTTTTTCTTTATTATCCTCGTCTCATCCTATGGCTCCCTTTCTGTTGCTGACGATTCTCTGGTGAACAACTTGGTTTCCCTTTTATATCTTTTGGGTGCAATTTGTTACCTTTTTCTAGAAAGTTTAGATTTTCTGGATGAATAATTTTGATTCCTTGTTAAAATTAAAGAAATTTTTCTTGTTTAGAGTTGACCAAACATTAAATTGCAATTGTTAATAAGATCAAAGTTCCATCGATTCGATAAATTTATATTTTCGACAATTAAATTATAGTTACGATAAGATGTAATTTGTAAAAATGTAATCGATTCGTAAGAATTTCCGCAAAATAAGTAAAACATTTAATATAATATTTTATTTATTAAGCTTATTAGGTATTAATAGCAAATACAATAATCCAAGTACAAAAAGTACCTTGAACTTGCGATTTCTGTTAATTCTTTTTTGTTTACGTTTATGATTTTTGTACTCGTATATGTCAACTAGACTTCCTTTTTATAGAAAATCATCATCCCTCTTAATCTTTGTCGAGTAAGTAATTCCGAAATTTCCAATAGGGTTAATTCTCAATTATGTGTATGTCTGCTATAATACCCATAGGCCATACGTATATATGATACTAAATTTGGATTTGGGTTATGACAAACAACTATACTTAATACCTCAACTAAAATATCATTATAGTATAGCTCATATAAACTGAGATATTAATATACTATCCATGTATTCAATAACAAAGGTCAGGTGTATATTAGCCATTTTCTGAACGAATCGTCTGTTCGAGATGGATTGTGTTACTTACGACTTAGCTACTAGATAGCGTCAAGTTGACGAGCACACTGCACACATATATGGTTTATCTGTGGTGGACGATATTAAGAACATTTTCTCCCTTTTTTCAACTTTTTTCAACCTTTTTCTCCTTTTTAACTGGTGGATATCAAAAACTATAGATGATACTGAATTTAGTTCTTTTACTTAGGAGAGAATAAGGTATCATCGAATATCACTTCATGAGTTATATTTTTTAATCGGGGTTTAATTAGTGAGATAAAACTGTTTTAGTACTTACAATAAATTTGTAAATAAAGCAAAGCAAAACGCATCAAGTGTCTTAATTAGTTTTTTTTTGGCCATTTTTATTTATTTTTATAAAGGGCTTGCAAAAGTGTCTTAATTTTGTACAAGTTACGTAGTTAATTGGAGGAAACCGAGACATTCCAACGACGGCACCATCGCTTTTTTTGTCGGCACTTTAAACAGTTTCGGGTGCCACATGATTTCATTGTGTTTGTGCGGTTCCAAACATTATAATGAACCCGTTACATTTGATATGATATAAGTTATATCATATTACTAATCTATATATCATCAGTTCCACATTCATCGATCATATTGAACATATAATTGGACACACTATTATTGTTGCATATTTACTAATGCCATGTATATACATAACATAACTGAGACCAAGAAAATACAAGTGAGTCTATTGGTTAAAACAGCCAATGAGTGAGTGCTGGCTCTGGTTTGTGATTTCTTGAATATGCAACTGATTTTTTGGTTCGTATTGACATCTGCATAAAAATGATATAGTTTCATAACGTGGGTGACGTTATGATGATAATCAATCACTAGATACGAAAGGATCCTCAATATGTGTCAAATTCAAAGTCTACATCACGTGATTAAATCGTATTCACAATATATTTGGTTACGGCTCTTAATATTTTCTTTCTTGGGTCATATACGACGACTCTTCATTACTAAAGAGAGTTAGTTAAACCAATTTCTCTAATTGAATTACTAATTTGTCTCTTCCAAATACAGAATGACATGTTATCATGTCTTCACATAAGAAAAAAATAATAAGAAAAGCTTTCACATGCATATATGTTCTCTTTGTCAACCTTACAATCGACTAAACCAACATCATCGATCGTTTCCATGAGACACATTACCTTACTGTAGTTGAGTTTTAGCCATAAAAACTGTTTCTGATACATATGTTACATATGATATGTATATGGTATATATAACTTGTTTAGAAACAAATTAAACAACTAGCCAACATTTACGCGATTTTGATATCATATATTGTTTTCTCGAAACTTTTATGTATATGGACAATGAAAACAGCTTATCGTCTAAATCTCCTAAATAGCTAGACAAGATAAATATAACCAGTACACATCCCTTCCCCCTTTGGAAAATAACAACCTTTCATCATCGTGCCATTTATTTTTGAATTGATAGTTGCTGCTTCCTTCTCTTTTCCTAGTTGATTTATAAATTTCATTGGGATGAATTATGTTCTTACATTTAGAGATCAAACATATATTATGTGAATTGGAACAAATTAAAACATCTAAGTTCTAAAATGGTGGGAATATTATTTATGTGTATATCCGAGATTACATTATAAGTAACATAATTGCCTATTGTCACTGATGATTAATTAGATGGAATAAAAAGACATGTTTCTGCTTGTTTTGCTAACATACTCATAGCTAGTTGGCGCTATTATTCATTAGACGTTACTATAAATACAGATTTAATTATGAACTATGGCTGTCTTTCATTATAGTCTAGGGACCAGTTTTGCATGAAACATGAGTACAAATAGTATTGGCAGTTTTTGGTAGCTTAACCAATTCTCAACTAACAAAGTCTTGTAATATAAAAAGACATTGAAATCTCATAAATTTGGAGGTTGAGAAAACTTATTGGTAAAGTGAAGCTAGCATTTTCACTCGTGTTTTCTAATTCTATCACAAAAAACTTCTCCTAATTTCATTAACCTTAGAATTAGTGAGTCAATTTCAATATTAATGAGTCTTATTTGGGCTTTACTATAAACCTAATTCGACATTCTTGATTTTACCCAATCTTGATTTTCTGATTTTCTCATTGAGTTGACCATTGAACATCAGACACGTGTCATATTTGAAGTTCGCAAGTAGGTAACTTATCCAAACATAATCTGTGGTCCGTTGCATTTCACTTCAATCAGAGTCAGAGGCTCAGAGCAACAACTTTGCTTTTCCAGTTTCTTCAAGCCATGGAAGCTACTGCAGCTGTCAAATTCCATGTAAACCGCTCCTGCATTGTCACGGCCTCGAGAAACAGATCACCTGTTCTCTCCTTTGAATACCTTACTTACCGGAACAGAAGCTTTTTTCCTTTCTCCCTCACAATCACAAGATGCTCCACCACCAAAAGTAGTGAAACGGGTCAAGGTTCGACCTTTGAGTCATCAATCTCTTTGAAGAGAGGGCTGGTTCTTGATCTTGGCATATCTAAGGACTCTTGGGACAGTGAGGAGATTGGTTCTCCGGTTGTGAAGAGATTTCTAAGCGATAACGAAGAGAGATGGTACATGTGGTACCATGGAAGCTCCAAGCAAAACCCTGTTTCAGATTCTATTGGATTAGCGGTTTCAAACAATGGGATTCATTGGGAGAGAGGGGTAGGTAAGGTTGAGTCAAACGAAGATGTGGGTTTGGTTATGAGCAATGGTGAAGACTGGTGGGGATTCGATACTGCAAGTGTTCGACCCGGTGAAGTTGTGATAAGGTCGAGTTCTAAAGTCAGGGCTGATAGCTCTGTTTACTGGATGTACTACACAGGCTACAATACAGAGACGGTTGAGTTTCAGTCCCAAGGTTTCACTTCCGGGTTTGGGAATCCAGAAAGGTTTCACCTTTGTGATGAGAATGTTGAGAAATCTAAGGTTTATATGTCACTCCCTGGGTTAGCAATCAGTCAAGATGGTAGGCATTGGGCTAGAATTGAAGGTGAGCATCATAGTGGGGCTTTGTTTGATGTTGGGTCTGAGAAAGATTGGGACTTTCTCTATATTGCATCTCCACATGTAGTTTTCCATGGAGATGGTGATCTAAGGATGTATTACCATTCATTTGATGCTAATACCAGCGAATTCTGTATTGGGATGGCGAGGTCTAGAGATGGGATCAAATGGTTGAAATTGGGAAAGATCATAGGAGGAAGAAAATCCGAGAAGGATGGATCCAGTTTCTTCGATGAGCTTGGAGGAAGATATCCTTGTGTGTCAAGGAACAAAAGAGATGGGAGTTATATGATGGCCTATGAAGGTGTAGATAGAACCGGGAAAATGAGCATTGGTTTGGCGGTTTCGAAAGACGGGATTAAGGACTGGAAACGGGTTCAGGACGAGGAAGCGGTGGTTGCAGTTGGTGAAGGCGGTGCGTGGGACAATGAAGGAGTAGGGTGTCCATATTTGATTGAGATGGATGGAGACTCTGATCATCAATGGAGATTGTATTACAGAGGTGTTGGTAATAATGGCAGAACAGGGATAGGCTTGGCTGTATCAGAAGGGAATGAGATCACTAAGTTTACAAAACAGAGTGGGATTCACTTGTGAGAGTGAGACACTGAGACTAACTAACAAATCAATCTCTTTTGCTTTGAATATTGGTAATGGATACACTTTGGTATTAAAGAGTTTTGATTAAGCGGTTTAAAACAGCATCAGTTGGTCTTACAAGTTTAGAAGATTGTTAAAAGCTATGAGAGGGCTATAGTTAATTAATCAGCTGATTCAGATCTGAATTTTTGCTGAGTGATGTAATTTTTTATAAGTAGTTTCATGACCGTTACAGCAAATGGGGGACAAAACCATGGTTGTAAAAAAGGCAAATCCGACCGTTACAAAACTCTAACATTTAAGGTCCAGTGAGAAACAATCACAAAATCAGTAAATCAAAAGCCAAAATCCAAAACTTTATATTGATATAATCTCAGAAGATAGCAATGGGAGGAGAGGGATTTGAATTAGAGGAAGAGAGAGACGGGCCATTGGAGCTGTTGCAGAGCTTGAGATCTAAAGCTACAGAGCTTCTTCTTCGGGAAGAATGGGAAGAATCTATACTGGTTTACACTCAATTCATCGATCTCTCCCGGATCCAAATCTCAAATGCTGGTGAGTCCGACCCGGATCCGGATTCAATTGCTAAGCTCCGGAGATCTCTCTGCTTATCTTTATGCAATCGAGCTGAGGCACGAGCCAGGCTACGCCATTACTTGGAAGCGATGAAGGATTGTGATCAAGCACTTGAAATCGAAAAGACCCATTTCAAGACACTTCTATGTAAAGGTAAAGTCTTGCTCGGTTTGAGCAAATACTCATCGGCTTTGGAATGCTTTAAAACAGCTCTGCTCGACCCACAAGCGAGTGATAACTTGGAGACTGTTACTGTGTACATGGAGAAATGTAAGAAGCTCGAGTTTCAAGCAAAGACTGGGGCTTTTGATTTGTCTGATTGGATCTTAAGTGGGTTTCGTGGGAGATGTCCCGAGCTAGCTGAGTTTATTGGGTCTATTGAGATTAAGAAATCTGATCTTAGTGGGCGTGGCTTGTTTGCTACGAAGAATATTGTTGCAGGGACTTTGATCTTGGTTACAAAGGCGGTTGCGATTGAGAGAGGGATCTTAGGCAATGGAGATTCTGGCGAAAAGGCGCAATTGATAATGTGGAAAAACTTCGTTGAAGAGGTTACTGAATCAGTGAGAAGATGCGATAGAACTCGTAGAGTTGTCTCCGCTTTGTCCACTGGAAAAGACGAAGATAGTCTGGAGATTCCAGAGATATCTCTCTTTAGGCCTGAGGAAGCATTTGAAACCTGTGGTGGTGACTTGAAACATAATTTGGATTCGGAGAAGCTATTGAGTATTCTTGATGTGAATTCTCTGGTGGAAGATGCGGTTTCTGCTAAAGTTATGGGGAAGAACAAAGAGTATTACGGTGTAGGTCTATGGACTCTTGCTTCATTTATTAACCACTCGTGTCTCCCAAACGCAAGACGCCTTCACGTTGGAGACTATGCGATTGTTCATGCCTCGAAAGACATCAAAGCTGGGGAAGAGATCAGTTTTGCTTACTTTGACGTGCTTTCACCATTGGAAAAACGGAAAGAGATGGCTGAGTCATGGGGATTTTGTTGCGGATGCAGCAGATGCAAGATTGAGAGTCTGTTGTATGTTACTAACCAAGAGATAAGAGAGATAGAAATGGGGGTAGAGAGAGGTGTAGATGCAGGGAACGCGGTCTATATGATGGAGGAAGGGATGAAGAGATGGAAGGTGAAAGGGAAGGATAAAGGGTTGTTGAGAGCATCTTATTGGAGAGTTTATGATGAGATTTATAACTCGGAGAGACTAATGAAGAGGTGGGGAAGGAAGATTCCAACAATGGAAGTTGTGGTGGACAGTGTCTCTGATGTCATTGGAAGTGAAGAGAGATTGATGAAGATGGCGGTGGAAGGGATGATGAAGAAGAATGGAGGTAGCAGTAACATCGTGGAGATGGAGAAAATCTTGAAGCTAGGGAAGGGTGTTTATAGCAAAGTGGTATCGAAAAAGAAAGCAATGAAGACTCTTATTGGCCTAAAGTGACAAGTATTTTGCAACTGTTGAAAGTTGAAACTAAACGTTTGTAGGATCATAGATAAATAACCATTTTGCTTTATGTAATTCCTTGCCTCATAGAAGAAAACATCCAATGATTTTATTACAAAGACAGTCAAATGGAAATAACACTTGTCTTGTTGCGAAACATTTGTAGTAAAAGAATGCAATATATAAAAAAAGACTGTTTTACAAATATAAATTGGATGAAGAGTTGCATAAAAGAAAAAGATGATGGAGAATTTATTCTTCAATCCAATTATCCTGATTAGCACTTCCTCCGGTTTTGTCCTGCAGTAACACATCTTTCTCAGTCTTCAACTGGTTAACTAGCCTGCGAACGCTAGGAGTCTGGAACCGATCTTTAGCGGATTTCTTCTCTTGAGTTATTAACCCTTTCTTAGCACTAGGATACGGTTTAGGAGGTGGATCCTTATCTTGCATTTTCGCAAGCTCCTTTAAGCGTTTGTATGCTTTCTTCATTTCCTTTCTCTCTGAGAGATATTCCATCTGAAAAAAACATAAAGATCTAAATCAATAAAAAGAAGAAAAACATCTCTCTGGTGTTCAAAGGAACAACATCAGCAGTAGATGCATTACGATTCTTATCTATTCAAGTACAAGTTTAGAAACAAACTCAATTGTATCTGTGCCTTTAATAGCTAATCAAGAATGTAAAACGAAAATACGTACATTAGCAACAGACATAGCATCATCCTCACTGATGCCATTCTCCTTCAGTTCAAGGACCCGGCAACCATAGACACGAGCAAGATCAGGGACAAACGCCGAAATCCTAGGCGATTGAAGATAGAAAAACACATTATACAAACTGATAAGAATACAGATACATCCAGAACGAATGGTGAAACTCCCCCATTAATCAGAATTTAAGAGAGACGCCCATGGTTATTAGTAATCGTTAAAGACGAGAAGTTCAGCCAAAAGATTGTTTAGAATTCAAATTTGATTCTTTCTAGAATAAGCAATTCAAAGAAAAAACTCATGATACAAATCATCAAACCATATTTGGTGTAAATGCAGATATATAAGGGTATAGAAATTACTTGACAGGGTCGTCAATTTTGGTTCCAGGATGCTTATTAGCGAATTTACGAACATAAGGATCCTCAGGGAGAACAATCTTCTTGATTTTCCCATTAGAGCGAGGAAACACAGGAGGCGGTGAACTGCGCATTAAGACCAAATCATAGCACACTCATTTCAACAACAGTGAAGAAACTAAACCAAAAAATCCTAAATCCAAATACCACAGACATCAAATTCACAGCTTTTTATGCAATTCAAATTCAATCGCAGCCGAATTAGAAACCTTGTGACGGAATGAATCAGTAAGGAAGTAATTAACTGATAGATCGATCTCGAGAAAATTTGGGAAAAATGCAAATGGGAGAGAGGGAGAGAGAGATAGAGAGAGAGTTACGCTTCCATGGCTTTAAGCCAAACAGGCTCTCGTGTAGCCAATCCACCAACAATCCTCCTGGTTTTGGAAAGCAGATCACCTTTCATCCACGACATTGTTGCTGAGCTTCTTCACTTTGCTTCTCCGCTTGATCTGTGTTAATATTTTTACCCGACGACGAAGAAGACACCCGAGGGTTTCGAAATGGCTCGGATCGGTTAAACCCCGATGATTTATGAATCAAACCGGGCAATGCACCTTAAAAATACGGTCCAGAGTCGGTTATCTAGAACCAAAATTAGAAATTTTATGGTTCGATTCGGCACGTACTACAGAACGATGTCGTTTAAGCTCTCATCTGCCTTCATAATTTCTCGCCTTTCTTCGTTCGGTTCTCTCGAGTCTCCCACTTCCGTCTGCATCAATGGCGTTGAGACTGACATCGTTAAAACGCGCCGCGGTTGAGTCATGCCGCATTTTAGAAACTCGATGCTTCAGCCACGTGGCGGCGATGCCTTCGCCCTTGAACGGAGCTTTCGATAGCCCCATTTCTATGCCGCCGCTGGTTTTACCTGAGTTCGATCAGAGTCAACCGGGTTCGATCGATGAAAAGAGCTTCGGATTCGGGCTTCCTAGTTTTGCTTTCGGTGGATCCATGGAGCTAATGGCTGTGCCTAAGAAGAAGGTCACGGAACTCTCAGTCTTTTAATTGGTTTTCTCCCTTTGGTATTCCACTTCTGAAATGTTAAACCTTCTTAGGGTTTTGAATTATTGTGGCATCTGGGATTTAGTCTTTTTCTGCCGGATTCATGGTTTATCTAGGGTTTTAGGGAGGCTCACTATTGGACTTATTAGTTATTTGTTTCTGGTTGCACCTTCAATAGAACCTCTCTTAGAAAAATGTTGTCTTTTTTGGGCTGTTTTTGAGTGTTCATTTCCATTTTCTTCTGTATCTTTGGGGTTTAAGCTCACATCTAAATTGATTTGGTTACTTAAGGTTCACCACCATGAGTTTGTATGTTCTGGGGAGTTAAGAGCTATCTATCTAGTATCAAATGTATAATGTGTATTTTTTTTAATGGCTTTGTTTCGTTTGAGAATGATAGTGTTAATCGAAGCTGTTCTTGTGAAACATGCAGATTTCTAAACACAAGAGAGGGATAAGAAATGGGCCGAAGGCTCTTAAGCCTGTTCCTGTGATCATCCGTTGCAGGTAATAGATTGGCTTCTCTTTTTGCTTTTTTTGGTTTGATGATTCTTAATCTATCCATAGGTCTAGCTGAAGAAAAAAGTGTATTTCTGATTCAATATTCTGTCCTTTACCATCACTTGTTAGAAACTGCATAGTTCTGCATTTCAGTAACTAGTACTGTGAATCTTTAACGAGTTTGATGAAATAACTTCTTGTGTTCATCGAGGTACAAGAGTCTGTTTGGCCTTGGCATATGCTTGATTTAGTACTTTTTTCATTTTCCCTGATCTCATTGAGAGGGCAGTTGTTTTTGTATGTACCACTGTTTTAAGTCCATACTCTTCTATGTTCCAGGAGTTGCGGGCGAGTTAAGCTGCCACATTTCTTCTGTTGTAGCGGTGAACGGGTAAACCCTAGTGAGCAAGGCAATTCGCACAACTGATTAAGGTTTCCAATATGATTACTCCTTGTTGGATATCAAGATGGGAAATTCTTGGGTTTCGTAGTAGTAGACTCGAGTGATGTGATAGACTTAGTTGATGCTGTTTTGGCAAACTATTTGGTTTTTCCCTGCAAGATCAATATGCTCATGCTTCTTTTGACAAATAATACTATTGTCATTGCTTGTTGCAAAGTCTAGGCCAGGTCATTTTCATATATGTGCTCTTAGACTTTAAATCAACAGCTATATCTATTTTAAATATGGAGAAAAATATTCACGTGAAACCATCTATGCAAGTTTTAGAAACCTCTTGTCTTACGCATCCTGTCTCAATACTTCGTAGTTTCTTAGTGTCATTACAAGGGTAATTTTTGGTGTATCATAGTGAAAGGAGCTCATGTTTGTTACAACGGATGCTCATGTTTGTTACAACGGATGCTCAATTTGCTCGCAGGTGTGATCGCAGTTGTTTTGGTAGGTCTATCAACTAATTTTGGTTTTTGGAATCTGATCTGGGTTCATTATGACAGAGAGCACAGCAATAACCCTAGATAAGATTATCATATCCGAAGCCTCATCGTGTTCATTTCCTTCTCTTTATTGTTTACAAGCAAGCCCTAAACAAAATTGGAAATCCACTCTTGTGGAAAAACGTTGATTAGATCGAATCTAAGAATTAACTATCTCGATCATCCTCTTCGTCATAGTTGAATGGTAGCGGAACTGATTTGAATGCTCTGAACTTTCCTACGTTGTTCAAATGCTCATTCTCCAACCTTCACAACCAGACAAAGCAAGAACCCTTCAGCGAAAAGTGCTTTAAAAGGAAGATTTAGTGATAGCTTTTTTTTGGTTCAGAAGTTACCTAAAGAAATTCCAGATACCACGGCGTATGATCTCAAGAGCAGCAAGAAGGGCAACCATAGTTTCGCGATGTAAGAACTTGAAATTGAAATCCAGCACGGTCTGCAACCACGCCAACCGCAACACAATGTTTAAGACCTACAAAGAAGAGAAGGCAGGAAACAAACTTATAAAGAAAATCCGAAATCAAGGATGTGTACTGTTTCTTTATTTTCTTAGTTCTCACCATTGCAACGTAGTAGACGGCTTTGTGAGGAACGAGAAGCTTCTCTCTCAACCAATATTTAGATGGGTTGTGAAGCAATCCCCAGTCAAAAACAATGTCCCAATATGTGCCGTAAAAAGTTGCCAATGCCGAGAAAACCCATGCAGCAATTTTCCAGATGTTTCCAGCTCTGTTAAAGCTATAAGCTGTTCTCAAGCATACAGCGACAACGGTTAATAAATACTTGAGAGCATTATAGCCTTGGCTTGAATCTTTCTCTTCTATCAATCTTCGAACACACTGAAGGAAACGTGACCAGTAAGGAATCACAGCGACAATGAAGTAGAATGTGCTGTATACTTCGCTTGATTTGCAAGTGTTTTGTCTGTGGCTAAAGTCTCCCCAACCATAGTAACATATGTAAAACTCCAGACTCCTCAGTGCTTGAACCTAGATAAAGAATGTTGAGTAATGAGTTGAAACATTATGAAAAAATTATCATGAAATTTAGAAAACATTATGAGAACACACAAACCTGACTTGTTAATTGGTCTGCCAAGAAAAAATCTGGAAGATTAACCTGCAAATTTAGATGAAAAGTTTGAGAGATTTATCGATGCATTTACTTAGCGGAAAACAGTGGATTTGCTAGAGTAAAATACCTTGTAGAGTGGCGCAGCTATGCAGCGGAATACAACCATGAGGAAGAAGACTCGGCTTGACCGATAAAAAATGTTGAAGGGACAGAAAAAAATAGCTATCACTAGCTGCAAAACATTGTACAAACTAAATGTGTTACTACATTAGTAACAGAATGATTTAAGTTTCTTGTTGTTTTTATGATGAACAACTTACAGCTACAATAAAAAGGGGAAGAAGTTCAGTAATGGTCTTGTAGTCATTAGTGTAAGGATCCATCTCCATGTCAAGGTTTATTAGAACAGCGCAGAGAGCAAGTGTACCGAGACCAAAGCTTAGAAGCAGAACATGTCTGTAACCAAGCTCTGTTCCTTCTTTGAATCCGAATATAAACGGGTAATTTACTCGATATTTCTTCCAAAAGTATATGTTTGAAGCATACATGATCATGTGCAGAACCACAAATGCAAAGAAACTGAAAACAAAACAAGGTTCAAGAAACGTTCTAGTCATCAGCAAGAAAAAATAATGACACAATCAGAGAGTAATGTAAGTATTTGTTTGAACCTGTATAGAGGGAACATTGTCTCCATGTAGAGTTTATGTCCAACTGCGCCCACTAAATCACGAGCATGGGTGAACATGACGAGAGCAACCACTAGAGAGACAGTGCAACCGACGAAAAAGCCTGAGAAACAAATAGGAAGGGTTATGATTAACTACTCAGGAACTACTGTTAGAAAACCAATGATTCAATTTGTGAAATCTTTTAGTTACCAGTAGAAAACGTTATTCGATGTTTTTCTTTTTTCACTTTTGGTCTTAAGAGACTCATTCCTTTGCTTCGATTCAAACCGGTGAAATGCTCGACGAAGGTAGACTCAACTCTTAACATAAGCTTGTTGATCTGTTAAATTATAATGAAAGCTCAGGATTAACGTTTTTGGTTTTATAGAAAGCAGAGAATAAGTTTTATGTAGAGATATTGTATTAACCTCATCAGAGCAAGTGAGGTAGGACTTGTCTACCATCTCCATGTATGATTTTGCTCCACTTCTTGAAGCAATCTGATAGAAAATATTTAGCAAAAAAAACATATTAATAAATGTCAAGAAACTTATATTACATATAGCTGATTAAATCAAGTGTTACCTTATCATACTTCTTCATGATCTTTGAAATCGCCAATGTGTTCAAGAAACTGAATTAGTCAAGAACAAAGCATGCATTTAGTCAAACAATCTTGTTTGAATTTTCATAATATTTTCTTAAGAAACAACATACCTGTAATTCTTGAGATGTCGAAGCTTGCGATAGAACACAATGAAGACATTCTTAAGCCGTGCTTCTATTTTCTTGAGATTCTCTCTTGTGAATTTGAGCTCGTCTTGGTTAGAGAGCTTGAGGACGTTTTTAATCGTTTTTAATCGTGGAAAGAGGAGTTTCCTGAGTTTTGTTCAGTTTGATACGGTCAAGAACACTTAACACTTCTGGTACACTCTCTTCACCATTGGATTCATTTCCCTCTACTTTGATTCCCATCTCATCAGCTAATGTCTTCCCTTCAAAAAAAAAAAAAAAAGAGATTCAAAATTTGTGTCGTTTTCAGAATAAACTTAGTAAGAAACAATCTCTGAAAAACTTACTCTGTTCCTTAGAACCCAAGGCATTCATATCGACAGATACTGTTTCAGAGCAGGTCCAAGAAGAAGAAGGTCGTTCAACTTTGATTCTGAAAGCAATGAAGGCATCCATTTGTTTGTTCAAAACCACGGCCTCCTTCACCATTTCCTCCACTTTAGACCGGTAAAAATGGTTTACTTTATCGAACTCGAGATCTAGGGCATTGAAGAACACAAGCTCTGACTCTCTCCCTGCCTCTGCAACTTCCAAGATGGTTGTCTCGTATCTCTCGAACCCATCATCCCCAGTCGTTGCGTACACCAGAATGTCCTGAACATCGGGTTCCCAAGACGAGGAGTTGCGGCTATACCGCTTTGTGAGGCTGCTGAAGTTGCGGCTAGCAGATAGCTTGCGTTTCAAGCCACCTGGTCTCTCTAATCTTTTTCGTGAAGTTTTGATTTCTTGAAGAATGGTTTTGAGACCAGCGTAATCCAGGTAAGCTTGTTGCCATTCTGGAATCATCTGCCTTACAAAATCTTTCCCAAACTTCATATTTTGTGTCTTCTCTCAATTTCCCTGGACTTCTCTTTAAAACTCAAGAATCCAGATCCAACCAAAACCTCTTTTTGAGATTTACCTCAGTGAAAATTTGGCTGTTGAGAAGACAAAAAAAAGAAGCCTATGAAAAGCTAATAGCTAGGGGCCCTAGGAGAAGCAAGAGAGTAGAAAGCGTGAGAAGAACAAAGGGTGGACTATAAGAATTTGACAACCATGCAAAAACGAGTCTCTTCTATATTCTCAGCTATATGTAGTCATACCAATATCTCCATATATATATATAGAGAGAGAGAGAGAGACAGAACTCAGAAGGATCGATGTTGAGTAACATAAAGATTTGCAAGTGGATTTCATTTCACGTGAGAAAAATCAAAGGAGTTTGAAACTAATGAAAGTGAAAAAGACGTTTGGTTGTGGTGGGCTCTTTGGTAGACTGATTGCTTCCTAAACATGATCCTTTTGTTCCGAATGACGACGAAATAAATAATGGCATAATAACGAAAATGTTCAAAAAAGTCGTCATCCCTAAATTAAATATATAGGGGTTAAAGTGGTTGTTTGGTAAAAATATACATCAGAACACACTATACTCAAATTCTAAAGGAAAATAAAACAGGTGGACGATACACTTCCACACTGTTCTAGTGGACGATACACGGCTCATAGTGACCAGTACATTCTTTTACGTATGATTCATTGTTGTTTACGTTGGCAACGTCCATTGTCACGTTCATGGTGTGGTAGACGATATTTAATGTAGCTCATATACTAATGGATATAATACATTGTCTTTGATGTCCACTATTCTCGATGAGTAATATACATGTCCGATGTTAATTTGTGATATTGTTCATCGTCCACGTTATAGCATCATAAATTGGTGACAATCTAGTTATATATAGTCTAGTGTCAATACTATCAAAGATAGTAAAAACTGTCTGAGTAGCAACGATGGAGAAAAAAAAACCTAAACTGCAAATTCTCTATATGTCACATTTATATATTGCCTTTCAACTTAAAATTGAGGAACTCATAGACTTTACTAAATATGGGTATGTGACTTTAGATACTATTTCAGTTCCCTAATAAATTACTACCATCTTGCTTCATCGTCAATCTGATGGTCACCTCAATTTTGGAAATGTTTTGGTTTCTTGCCATTTTTTGCTTAGGGGAATCTCTTTGTTTAAAGTCTAGCTTTACGGTATAGTGATGTTATTGGCTCTCGAATGTTTATGTTCTCATTCACTTTTCTTCTTTTTTTTTTTTCTTTTTTTTTTGCATAGAACCATGTTTTTGAAGATTTTATTTGATGTAAAAACCTTATACGTTTCAAATGAAATTTAACATTTTTACCCAAAAAAATATGGGAAAGTTTGCCATTTAGTACATTTTTGAAACAAAATAGGCAATATACTACATTTACTATTTAAAATTAGAGATTTGAGTTGATTTTACTGTTTGTGAGATAGAAGAATTGTGAGATAGAAGATGATGTAGGGTAGAGGAGAGTGGGTTAAAAGACCAAAAGAGTGTGTATGTTGTATATATATATATATAGTTTTTTTCTATTTCTTACATCTCCACTAATTTAATAACTAAAATACTAATAGCATGACTTTTTTTTTCAAAAAACTTCATAAACATAAAAATCTATCATTTTTTCTCTATAGTTTGATATGCATTTTGTTTTATAATTTCTAAAATATTTTATACAAATTATGATTCGTACAATTATATGTCTGTACATAAAGACGTGCCCGTACAAAAATGCTGCTGTACAGAGGTTTTTATCATATTTGTGTACAAAAATATTGATGTACAGAGGTTTATATATGTACAATTGTACTTGTACATACATTATTCTGTACGGTTGTACGTCTCTGTACAAATATTTTAACTGTACAATGGTTTATATTTGTATAATTATATATGTACATATATTTTTCTGTACATATATATATATATATAAATTTTTTTTTTATTCATATAACTCATATAATATACAGTAAATATAAGTATATTGTGTATATGTATGTGTAACCGTACACTATAATAAACGTACAGATCATATTATGTTATGTAAATAATTAAATTTAATAGTATTATAACATTAATGGCATGCTTGTAATTATAACATTCAATTAAGGGTTTGAGAGTCATTCAAATAGTGTCTAATAGTAATCATTGTTTATTTCTCTAATTATAAATACTCTTTGTACTATCTTGCTAATATCTTTTTGAAAATGTATTAAATCTCCAATTATTCCAAAAAATATCTTCAAGTGTGAACTCAACATCAGAAAGCATACTCGATTTGACTTGATGTGAAACCGTTAGAAAATAAAAAAAAGGGTCACTGGCACATAGAGTGTCGGCGACGACTTTAACTAACGACATTATTATTGTTTTTTTGACAAAGGTTTATATGTTTATCTCATACATGTATTGAAGTTTGTATATATTTTTTATATAATTATTTATTGGCATATAGATGTATGGATTAAATTCATTCTTTAGAGTTAAGAAAGATTATACAATGTTTTCACTGAAAGAAATCAATCAAATTAGTGAACCAATATTACAATACAGGTACTTTGGGATGTCAAGTCAATAATTAGTTTAGTGGAGCAATGGTTAGGTAATTGATAAATGAATGAGTCACATGAGTAAGAAGATGTTCTTATATATATTCAAAAAGATCCGTGATTAAGTAAGTCTTCGTGATCATACTACTATTAATCGGTTTAATTCTACCCAAAAACGAGTGGAAAGTGATTAATTATGCCAAAAGTGTTAAATTAGGACACGTTAAGCCACTTTATATATATATATATATATATATTAATATTTGTTCTTCTTGACCAACAATGCATTTTATTTGGGTATCAATGTTATCATACCAGAGAAATCGTTTAAAGCAAAGGTGTTTTTTTTTTCCACCATAGTCAGCACACATCAAACTTTTGATTCTGAAAACATTTTTTTTCATAAAGCAAGTAATCATATCAAATAAATTTGATTGAAACCTAAAAAACAAGAAAATAATAATCACGTTACTAACATTTTGAGAAATCGGTCAATAATACTGATTGATACACCATTGCACCAACCACCACCGCCAAAAGCACTCGTTCCATTCCATAGCTGATAGCTAGCTGTCCCTGTTGTTGTCTTCTATCTTAGCCTCGGAAATAAAGTGGAGTGTGTTTATTCCCAAATCTTTATATAGTTTTGTTGTATTATGGACAAAAAAAATATTATAATCTTTGATTAAATTTTTTATTAGGATTCACTTTCACTCAATCTTGTACGTGCCATGTTTTTTCCGGCATTTTCATTTTTACTAGAATACCATGTAATTCCCATATAAATTTATTTATAATCTCACTAAATACAGTAATATTTTATGCATATCAAAATAGTCGATGTTTTTCTTTCTGTAACGGATTAATAATTCTTTTAGATAGATTTATAATTTATCATCTACTTAATAAGAATTGTTAAAATAAAATATACAGAATAAACAAAAATATACAGAAATATTTGTAATATACTTAAATAAGAGTTAATAAAACCTTTCCTTATACAACTACTATTCTAATCACTTCCGAACAAATGTTATGGCCACCGAGGTAATACTAGTAGTGCCGTGAGCAAAAGCCATTTAGATCAAAATTAATACACAACAGTCTTTGATGAATTTAGCATGTGTTTATTAAATCTGCATCATATTTATTATGATCATCATTTATATTTTTGTTCAATTCGTTATACATCACTTGACCCACACTAATCATATGTAATTAAGTTTTATCTGATGTCACTCTTCCAACTTAATATTTTTATCTGGTTGATTAGCTAAATTTCTTACATAGCATACGACCAACCAAGTCATACGGTTGGAGAGAAAAATAATATATTTTTATATCAAATAGCTATTTTACTGATTCAAACTTTCAAAGAAGTAAATAAATTCAAACATGAAAAACACAATACAAATTTGGTTAGCATTAAAATTTAATATTGTAACTATACCATTTTAACTAGTTTAACCTTACTATATATTTTTTTTCGTTAAACGTTTTTTTAAATCATCACGGGAAACAGAGTTGAGATGTCATTACCAACCTGATTTTATTCGCCAAACTAGTTAGGTTATGTTTATTAATATATTTAATTGGAGTTTGTTGCAACACAATTATCGAAATTATTAATTATTAAAGAAAAAAAAAGATTAGTCCTGATACTATAATTTTCATAATTCATATATATAAATTCACATTTTGACGGAAGAAAAAGTCTTTATATATATTTTTTATTTTTTTACAAAAGCCACGGGATATTCACCACAGGTCGTCGGCCACAGTTTAGTTAATACATATAGAATCTTGAACACAGAAATCGAATAGTTTTATCCATTTTTAGATTGTCAAAAAGGGTAATTTAATTGGTCTTTCCAAATCAGAGATTCCATATTTGTCGTTGAAAGAAGAAAGTCCAAAAGATTTGGCTGCTACTTGTTTTTTTAGAAAAAGGGAATTAATTGAATTGAATAATTCAAAAATGTACGTATTTGTTGTCTAAGCTATAGAGAACAGCATCTGTGACTACGTACGATATAAGTTGATCCTAATCTTTGAATTAATGATGACCATCTTCTACGCTAATTACGCGACACATAGTTGAAAAAGTTGTTGATTGTTTTATAGTTGGTGGAGTACATGATTTGTTTACGTTAAAAACTACATTTTCCCCATGTTGATGACCGATATGTGTATTTGCGTTTAATACTATATGTCAATACCAAATTTGGACTAAGATCCTCATCTCACTTAAAAAATCTCAGGACATTCTATCAAATAGGATCAATAATTCCACAAACCATTAGTATTTACGTTAATTTTTTTTTTTCTTTTTTTTGTAATCTTCTTGTTTAAGAAGATAAGACTTGCAATCTTGTTTACGTTTTGTTACGACCATGATTATCAAATTCGTCAAAAACAAGTTTTCGATTTAATGTAAAAAAAAGGATGAAATGTTTGTTTTGACAATTTCTTTGTTTTTTTCCGGTTGGAAAAACAAAGTTTGCTTTTTTAATTCCATTAAAAAGTTAGTTACGTAATATAGTTTTTTAGTCATTATCCCAAATCATTCCTATTTTCCGCTTACCCTAAGATATAATGCGACCACCATTATAAAATTATAGATTTTCTTTTGGACAACGATATAATTTCCTTTACACTTTACAAGATTTTTTTTTAAAACATTAAACATCGATATCCTTGACAAAAATAAGCATTGTTCTATATATCAAAGCATAATTTTAATTGATTTGTTATTTCTGAGAAGACAACTAGACAAGATTTCATAAAACGTACAAATACGTTTAAAAACCTCAACTCTCATTCATTCAAACGGTATGAGCCTGGATTCATTGCACGAATTCGGTAACATGAAACTCTTGCAAACTAAATAATTATCATTTTTTATTAGTCTTAACTCTTTGATGGCCTCGTCTTAATAGTAGAGAAATTGTAATACCTGTCGGTTTGAAGGTGTGGAGAAAATGACAACACCAGCATACACTCTTTTATGTATACGATCTTTCATGTTTTTACTATGTTTCAGCATTGGCTTTGGTCGTAAAATCCTAAAAGATAACCTCGTTGAAGCAACCGAGCTTAGAGCCGCTCTGGTCACTAACTCCGAAGCTACTGATATTTCGAGTATTATTGGTTTGGGAGAGGTGGGAAGCCATCAAGAGATGCATCACATTTACATAGGAACAGGTAAAGATCCGAGTCTTGGAAATAAACAAGACAATATAAACTCTGCCCCAAGAAAGATTATAAGGGGTACCGTTTCCCTCTCATTGTCATTTCCTATCATCAAGATTCGGGTTCCTATTCCGAATCCAAATTTTACGGTGGCCGAGGAAAACCAACTCAATGAAGAAGAGATTAAAGGCATTGTCATAACTCCAACGAAGACTAATGAGTTTGGTATTTCCCTTAATGGAAATGGCGGTGCAGAGCTCGGATTCAGCTACCAAAAACCATCCCCAACAACCGCATATTGAAGGCCTTGCCAATACTTTCCTATAAAGCATGTCATGATGAATTGATATATAGTTTATGGTTTTAGAGACACAATAAGTTGTTGGTGACCTACGAGTATAAACAATCTATGTAGCCATGATCTTCAACAAAAAACCTTGCCAAAACGTTTGACCGAAGAATGAAAAAAAAGATATATGTGATTTAACATTTTCTTACATCTATTTACTATGTTTTAAGTACCTATGGTAAAAATAGTCATATACTTATCTTAAACCTGAGTTGAGAAAGAAAGATTGAAAACCGAACAACTAACCATGTTTTTTATCTTAACATTCTCTTCTCATTGGCAATGAGGATGACCTTGAGAGTGATTCTGTTGTTTCTGTATGCAGCCTTGAGAAAGTTGTTGAAGATATTGAAGCACAAGGTCGCAATATAGGTGTTCCAACAGTACTAGAACTTTCATAAGCTCCGCATTGTCGAATAAGCTGAAGCTCAAGCTCGTTACTCTGAACTGGAGAGGTTTCGGAAACATCAAGAACCTGGTCGTCATTGTATTCTTCAACAGATGCAACTGTGCTTGTTTCTGTTCGAACAGTTGAATCATCTCCATATAAGCCATGTCTTCTTTTCCTTCTTGTTGCTTTTCCCCAACCGTTTATTGTCTCTCTTACCCTTTGAGGTAACAATGCAGCCTTGTAGTTCGTTCCCATCTGTAATTAACATTATCTAGTTTTGTGAGTTGTAAGAAATATAGTAAATAGAAGCTCCAAAGGTTTTTTCATGAAAATGTTGGTTTTTTCATGAAAATGTTACTTGAGTGACAAGTGCATAGAGGGGCAGTGTGCTGTAGCTACATAGAAATTGTCCAGAAAACCTACAAAAGGAGCGTGGAGTAAACCGTCGTAAACATATATAACAAAACACACACAACAGTCTCATATATGTAGCTTAATCGTGAAAACATGATTACCCTAAAATGAGTCGCAAGTAGACAAGTAAATGATTCCTTAGGAAGCAAGAATGGTATCCAAATTGCCACTAAAGAAACAATGAATGGATTAAGCTATATAAGAACACATTTGCAAATAAAAAAAATAAGATTATAGAAAGCAAAAAACTTACCCAAAACCAGAAGAAGGAAGCCAGTTCAAAAGCATTCTGTAGGATTCAGGATGAACATACGTTATTACAAAACAAAAACAAAAAACTTCCTTTTGTGATCACTAATATAGGTTTCTAAGATTTTGTAGACCTGAAACTGAATAAAGTGGATAAGGGATAATAGAAATTCTGGTTTCTTGAACCAGAAAAGTTCATCGCGAGGTCTCAGCTTTACACCGGACGCATATTCTGTTATCCCAGCGTTCTCCAATGCTAAAGTAGCGATTACATGTTGCAACTTTGCACCAACCAAAAGAACAAGCTGTTGAAAAGAAAAGGATGTAAACGAAATTGCAACAGAGAAATGATATATAAGACTCAATGTTCCTTACAAAAACATGAAGTTGGAAAAATAGTTCTTACAGTGATGGGAATGATTGCTAGCCAGAAATAAAGATTTGATCCTACATTGTCATATCCAAATATACTCTTAGATTGACACACAAACGGGTAACTAATTCACAAGTGCTTTGCATTATATTATATGCTGTTTCAAGGTGTCTATGCATACCTTTTATGTTGAAAAGCATGAAGCCAACTACAAAACCCCAGAGTGGACCGCTACAAGAGATTATCAAGGAAAACTATTCAGTCGAAATAATTCATCACACTATTTTTCTAAGGCAAAAGTGTAACTAGCTCACCTGACGCCAACAATCTTTTGAAACTCTTCTTCCATAGAGCGGATCATATAGCTATGAAAATCGTATGTCAGTGTTAAGTGATGGTTCTGTTTAAAGGAGATAAAAATGATTATAGTAACATAAGACATACATATTTCAAAAAAGATGATATATTTTAAGAAAGGTAATGGGGGTAAAACAAATTTCTATGAAGATGATAATAAATTCTCTTTTTTTTATTTATCGAAAGATGATAGTAAAATCTTCATTAAAAAAATGTACATTGTGATGACCATGTATAAGAATTGGAAAGTGAAAACGTTCAAATGACATGAGAGTACTCGCACGCACCATGATGAATCCCTTGCGGAGTGTGAGATAGTCAGAACGAACAACAGAGTGCCCAAACTGTCGGAAGAAACATATCTGTAAGAATAAACTAAAAATACTTAGCAACTGGTATCATAATATGTAAGTGCAAACACATCTGAAAACATTTAACTGGTCTATACCATCTTTACATTCGTTTGCCATCATGCATCAAATGTACAAGAATCTTTATATATAGCAGGTCTAAATTTCTTGAGAAAGTAAAAGCTTATACCACCCATATAAGTAATTTGTTCTTGACCAGAGGAGCGGATGTATGATATTGGACAAATGTTGTTTGTCTTCGGAAAATCTTTTCGCGCGCGGCCACTGCCAACATTAAAGTATCAAAATTACTCTATAAAATATGTATTCTAAGAAAATCAAAGCCTTAAACCATAATACTACAACGCTTAACTTGTAAATTGTAATAACAGGTAATCCACATATAACAACTCTCTATTTAAATAGACATATGTGTCTAATGTGAAAGGAGAAGATAAAAATTAATCTATGCTCACCAGTTAAGCAATCATTTCGATCCATATGAGCCTCGTCTTCCCAGATCCTCCATCTATGAATCTGGGCAAGAAAAGATAATCAAATTGAGCTTATACCAACATAGGGACGGTACACTACACTATCAAATGGAGTATACATTAATATAGCCTAAGAAGTATATGAGAAGAAGCCACAAACTCATAAATCTTATGCATGAATACTTAAGTTGGGATATAGTTAAAAATGTCTGATAATACTACTTACCTTCACGATTGCAAGAAGCATTGTCAAGCAGCTGTAAGTTACATGTGTGACTGCCATTATAAATATGAAGCGATGTAATTGTTCCATGCCTTCATATGAAAGAAATGGCTCATGTCCCTGTCAAGTACTAGACAATGTTATGTGCATTTCTTTTTACTATATATAAAGAGCTTTTGGTGTATTTTGTTATTGTTGTAATTAGTCATGCATGATGTAGATTAACATAAAATGAGACTAGCTAATAGCAGACCTGGCTGCATGTATTCTCGCCTATGCCACTCAATCTTCTCCTCATAATGTGGAAGAAGAGAGATTTTGTTAACTGAGTCCGCTTGACAGAAGAAATAGTACTTTCAAGTTCCTCATTAATCTCAGAGCGGGTACATGGAACAAATCTATCGTTGTGGAAACTTGAAGAGACGCATATGTTAGCTATTGTGCTTGAGGTTGCTGTAAGAAGAAGCGATATGAATCCGAGCAGCATCAGCTCTGGAAAGTTAAAAAAAAAAACATTTAAGGACATAATCTTACAAAAGATATATATTATGAGAATTTTTGACATATATGTTTATATATCCACCAACCTTCTTTCATTTTCTCCAATGCAGCAAATAAAGGTTTTCTCTTTGTTCTTTGCAACCACTGTCTCCATAACAAAACTCAAAAGCTAAGACTAATGAACTGATAATATAAAACTTTAAACCATTTAACATTTTATTATTGGGAATTCCCAAAAAAAAGGAAAGTCAACTATGTTAATTAATGTCAAAACTTAGTATTATCTAAATTATAGAATGATAAAAACAAAAACAAGAAAGTAAAAGTATGTTTGTCCAAAAAAGTAAAAGAAAGGAAAAGTATTAAACAAATAAATGTAACGACACTTACGTTACTAAGCCGATGAATGGAACGCTCAACGATCAATGAAACAACTACAAAGACAGTCAAAACTGTAGCAACGGACCATGTTGGTGTTAAACCTAACGTTCTCTCGCTTTCATATCCATTTTCTTTGCTCATCTCTTCAACTGGTTCGTGCAAGCAAAGCAACCAATTTAGCTCTGAATATTAGCGTCGTATCCAGTAACTTGAAACTCTTCTTCAAGCCAAAACGAAACAACTCTTCTTCAAACTTATCATAGGAGCTATGTCCTTTGCATAGGAAAAAACTCTCTATATCAAACGTTCTTAACTCTTAAGTGGCAATGGCTCGTTAAACTGTCTTGGTAGAAAACTTCAAAACATAATAAAAGTCAAACAATGTAATTTTCTCGTGAAAGTATTATTCGAATAATTTTATTTTAAATAACGTAAAAGCAGTAATAAACTACTTTATTGATAACCGAATATACTTATCGCCTCAAAAGACAAATGACATTCTTTATCATTCACTAAAACATTAATAATAAAAGATTACAAATGAAAATAAATCTATCTGCTAGCATGTAGCTTATAAAATACACCATATACATTTTACATTTTAATGTTACATCATAAAAAAAAAAAACTCTATTAAGTTTATAACTATTTCGACGACAATGAATGACGTATAACTTAGTGGTTTATGCTATAATGAGCTCTCGCTGTATGATCATCCAATATGAAATATATATTATTTTTGTAAGAAGTTGATGATATTATGTTTTGAATTTTTGATGTGAAATTGTGAATTATTAAATTTTAGTAGATATCAAAACCTTTTTTTTTGTGTGTGCGCAAAAATTCAAAACCTATATATATATATATATATAACATTATGATCTTAAAAACCAAAACAAATATAGATCTGGATATATATCCACATTCTCAAAGATGAATCTCTAAATCTTGAAATTGTAAGTACTGATGATGTAAAAACGATCCAAGAACTAGCTAGCTTTTACCGAACCGAGCTAAGAGGAATTGATCTTAAATATATACAAGACTTAAACTCTTAAAAAAAATCTGAAGGGAAACAAAGTTAAGGAAAATGAGAGAACTTACACGGGAATAGAGGAGCAAGCAAGTCTTGTTTGCAAAGAAGATCAAATTTAAACAGAGTGGAGAAGAGAAGAGAAGAGAAAGAAGGTCTTCCAATTCAAAGGCTTAATTAGTCAAGGCCTTTAAGGGGGATCATGCCTCACGTGTCTTTCCCTAATGCAATTATCATTATTTTTCTTCACTTTTTTAAAACTTCTTTTGTTTTTATATATATACTCATTACGAATCTTATTAGCCTATAAAAATATTTAAGTCATATATATATAATTTACTTAATTAATTACTATACTTTTTAATAAGTGTAAGAGTTTGCATCATCTCCGACTCTAGTTGTAAATTTCAATGATATGATTTGGTTAAATTTATAATCCAAACGAGCTGTGGACTGAGTGACAGCAGAGTTATAGGATCTTGATGAGGAATCCAATTGGAAACTACCCCAACTCGATTAATGCATGTGTAGAGACTGAACAATTATTATTATTATTCTCATTAATAAGGAAATACTAGATTATTATATAAAAAATTAGTAAATTATGTTTTTGTTGAATGTAAAGATGATTTTCGATGGTCAAAACTGAAAAATTAATAGTTCATCTGAACAAAGCAGCCTACACATTTTGATGGTACAACCATTTATTAGATTGCAAAGATGTAGACAAATTGTTTTTTTCTTTTTTTTTATTAATTGGTTTGGTGTACTTACTACTATCTTGTAACGTGACAAAATTCTTGATATTCATCATGTAATTACTTTTGTCTGTACGATACGAATACGATTATATGACATATGCTATCAATTAGGCCATCGTTGCTCTTTCACATGGTTCACTGTTTTCATGGCTCGTGGCCAATTGGTATCGTATACTAATGTCTTATTAAAAATGATTTTAGACCAAATCCAGCATTCTTTATAAAAACCGAATCAGCAGAAAAAAAAAAAAAAAGAATGCGCATATGAATATATGATAATGACTCATTGGATTATGTGAAGAAATTATACGTGCCACTAGGTGATAATTACTTAGATTGACTTATCACTTATGATAATTTTGATAAAAAGATAATCCTAACCGAACATGATGGAGTGAAATGCGCTTTATTATCAAATGTCAACCCCCGACAAGTCAATAAGACTCGTTTGGTAACACATTTGTACTTTTGTCCTCCTAATTGATTAGTGTAAATTATAAAAATTAAATAAAATACATGAACTTTTCTAAATCTCTCAACATGCACTACCATATTATTATTTTTCACAATCAAGATGTATCGAGTTTTTAACAGATTTTTTTTTTTATATAAGAAAACGATTCGAATGAGATTTTAATTAACGCAATGTTTTATTAATCAATAATCATACCGTTAACCCAAACATACCCAAGAATGCGTATTAATGGGCCTAAACATGATCCACTTCAAAAGTCAAAAAGCCAGCCTTTAGAAACTCTACATGAAAGAGAAGGTTCAAAGTCTTCCGTCGACGTGTCATCACTAATTGGAATCAAACACTTGTCAAAATCATTGTACCATTCTTCGAGTTCGTCGTCTTCGATCTCTCCTGCAACGATCAACGAAACCAAAGAAGTCTCTCCAAAGCTTCCGCAATGGTTCTCCGATCACTAAATCTCTTAACAGTACTACTATCCATAGCGGCTCTACCACACATCTCTCAATCTCTTCACTTCGAGTTACATTCTGGTCGAACCAAATGTTTATCAGAAGACATCAAAAGCAATTCCATGACCGTCGGGAATTACACCGTCGTTAACCCTAACGAACCTCATCCTTCTCCTCAATCTCACAAGATCTCAATCAGAGTACTCTCTCTCTCTCTACATCCGAAATTTTGAATTTTGAATTTTGAATAGTTGATTCGAAACGTTGTTTCTAACACAGGTGACATCGAGCTACGGGAACACGTATCATCACGCGGAAGAAGTACAATCGGGGCAATTCGCGTTTACGGCTGTGGAAGCTGGAGACTACATGGCGTGTTACACTGCCGTTGATCATAAACCTGAGGTTACATTGAGTATTGATTTTGATTGGAGAACAGGTGTTCAGTCTAAGAGTTGGAGTACTGTGGCTAAGAAGAGCCAAGTCGAAGTCAGTTTTCACTTTGCTTTCAATTTTATTCCATCTTCTTGTTTGGTTATACTGTTCATATTAGAGTAAGCAATTGCTTTGGAATTTGGAGGTTAGTTCTTTAGGATTTGTTGTAGAAAAGCTAACTTTAAGGGGCTCAGAATCCAAATGAATAGGGAAAGGTTTGTTTTTGATTGATAAATCGGGGTTGAGACTAGCTTTTGTATTGATCAATGTTGATGTTATTCTCATCCCCATGTCTCTTTAATGTATATAGCTAGATTCTAATGCTTCTGATTAGTGTTTGTTTGTACCAAGGTTATGGAATAGCATGTTTAAGAAGAGTTAAGTCGAACAACTGTGAATGTTTTCGATTCATCATGTTGTTGGTAAAACTCATAGTCCTGTGTTGAGTTTGATAGTTGACCAGTTAGATAAAGAAACCTTAAAGGTTCCTTCTTTTGGGATTTGCCAGAATCCAAATGAATTGGGAACGATTTTCTTTGAGATTGAATAACTATGGTATCTTTTTTGTTTGATGTTATTCTGATCTCCATGCTTCTTTTATTATTGAACTAGATTCTTATGCTTCTGTGTTGTGTTTGTTTTTATAAAGGTTATGGAGTTTGATGTAAAAAGACTGATTGAAACTGTCAACTCGATTCATGAAGAGATGTTTTATCTCAGAGAAAGGTAAAGAAATTTGTGTACTTTATGCTTCCAGTTTGTTCTATAGAGTCCACCAATATCCAACTTTTTATTCCTTGAATCATATGGAGTTGTGCTTATAATGTTTTTGACGAAATTTGTCTTCCTCAGGGAGGAAGAGATGCAAAATCTGAACCGGGCTACAAACTCGAAAATGGCCTGGTTAAGTTTCCTCTCTCTTTTTGTATGCTTAGGAGTTGCAGCAATGCAGTTTTTGCATTTGAGGACGTTTTTCGAGAAGAAGAAAGTCATCTAAGAAGGTTTAGATTAAACATTACCACTCTTTTCTTTTTCCAACTCAAGGAAATCTTCTATTCCCCTGAGTTTTTTTGTACATTTAGTTCTATGGCTTAAGCATGTAGTCCCTGAACTGGTGAAGTTAAATGAATGTGAAAATAATTTCCTTTTTGTTGCCTATATAACTCACATGACAATGTCAGACACAGTGAGAAGAACCAATATCTTTAACGAGCTTAAGGAACACAGAAGTTATGACATTTCAATATCTCAAAAGGTTCAAAACGAACAAAGGATTGATTGACATCTACTGCTCCAGGCAATAGAGATAAAGAGAGAGAATCTGTCATGACACATCACAAGCATCTTCTCTGGAAACAAATTCAAGCAGAGTTTACTTTGGTGCAGAACTTAAACACTGGACGTGCTTCTTCTTCCCAAATGAGTTCCAACACAAAGGACTCGTCTATTTTCACGCCTTCAGCTTTACAGAACTCTCTCCAGCCTTTTCCAAATCGCATCCTTCCGCATATTCTGTCTAGAAAGAGATCCACCACCCGTTTTACTCCATCTTGACCCAACAGAGTTATCTTCCCTGTCTTGTTGATGCCATTCATCTGCGTGAAATCACGAGGAAGAAACTGCGCACAAAATATTTGATTATAGACAAAATGATATACCTATAGACAACATCCTGACTTAATTGTTGATGAAACTTACCAGTTTATAGGTTTGAAAAGCGGACTGTGTAAGAGTTAATGTCACAAATCGGTCTTGTGTATATGAAGGTGAAGAAGCTCTACATTTCCAGAAATACTTCCTTTTCTTGATCTCACCGGAATATTGTGAATTGTTCTTGTTCCTGCCATCAATACTCTCGTTTCCACTTTCATTGGATTTGCTACTATCATCTCCGCTACTAGAGGAGAGGTACTTTACATCATCACTACCTTCTGGACACTCTAATGGAGTTTTTTCATGGTTGGAAACATGGTTGGAATCTGCAAGGAACAAAGAAAGAACAGGCCTTTCCCCGGTTCCAACCAGTTTAAACTTGAAAGAGTCTCCAGGTTTTAATCCGTTGTCTTGGCAGAAAGTGGTCCAGCCTCCTCCGAGAATAGTAGAGCAGCATGATTTGTAATGTTTCAAGACTAAATTCCATCCTTTTCCCCATTCATTCTCTAAAACTATCTCCTCGTATCCTTTGTCCAGACCACTTGAGCGCACAAAACTCCTACTTAAACACTGCAAAACGCCATAATATGTACACGAGTCAGTCACACTTTGTGCATGTCAATTATATACAAATCAAGAAAGACACTTTTAAGTTCCAATGATCCTTTTGTAAGCAAAGATTGTGTGAGTTTAAGATAGTGGAATAAACAAAAAAATTGTTTTCACCAGTCTATCTGTGGTTAGGCTTGAAGCAGTGACAGATCCCACCAAATAGGAATGGTGTGATGAAGATTCTGATATTGGTCTACGTTTTGCAAGATACAAACGCATGATAGGTGGTGCAGCCTTTTGGACCAGTTTAAACGTAAATTGTTGACCTTGGCTCATCCCATTTGCATCACAGAATCTTGTCCAACCTGGTCTTATATAAGTATGCATGCCTGCTTCGTTGTATTTCAAATTCAAATTCCATGACCTTCCTTCTCCATCAAGTAGAACAATTCTCTCACCGCTCTTTTTGTGTAGACCGTTTGACCTCTCAAAAGTCAGTGGTAAATACTGTAAAATACCGTCACAGAGTTTGATTAATCTCTCGCAGACTAACAACTGTAAGCCAATACTAAGAGACTGTTTGCTTAAATTTAGAATAAACTTTTACCAGTCGATCATATATTAGGCTCGAAGCTGTGACATTTGCCACAAAACTAGAATGGTCCGATGAAGACTCTACCTTCTTTCTTGGATTCTTCTTCACTCTCTTCACTCTTGAACTGTTTCCTGTAATTGAAAATAATGAAAATCTCATTTTTGCATCTTTTCTTGAGAGTCTAGAGTACATTTCATAAAGCAAAAGTTTACCGATGTTGGTCTGGTCATCATCCATGTTTTCTACAGAGGCTCTGCATCTTGACCGATACTTCCTTTTCTTAAGATCCAAATAATGCCGAGAGATATTCTTGTCTCCAGTAGTCTCCTCTTCACTTTCTTCGGGATTCACATCATTACTAATCTCTGAACACTTTAATGGAGTTTTGTCACGATTGGATTCTGCAGGGCACAAAGAAAGAACAGGTTCTTCCCAGGTTCCAGCCAGTTTAAACTTGAAGAAGTCTCCAACTTTGATCCCGTTAACGTGGCAGAAATTGGTCCAGCCTTTCGTGAGATATGTAGTGATTGGTTTGGAATGTTTCAAAACTAAAGGCCATTTACATCCCTGTTCATTCTTTAAAATTATCTCACCAAATCTCTTGTCCAGACCATTTGAGCTCACAAAGCTCCTTGGAAGATACTGCAAAAATCGATATTATGTATCAAAGTCAGACACTGAGACACTAAGACACATATCTTCATATCAGTTATCACTTCAAGTTCCAAAAGTGTGTGAAACTATAGTGTAAGTTTAAGACAATGGAATAAAAACAGAAGTTTGTATTCACCAGTTGATCATATCTTAGGCTTGAAGGACTGACATGTCTCTTAAAACAAGAATGGTCTGATGCAGATTCCGCTGCTGATCTTTGATTTGAGCGGCACAAACGGATGACAGGTGGTGCCGATTTTCGTACCAGTTGGAATGTATATCGACCTTGGCTAATACCATTTGCAGCGCAGAAACTTCTCCAACCAGATTTGAAATAAGTATGCATGCCTGCTTTGTCATGTACCAAACCTAACTTCCATGATCTTCCTTCTTCATTGTGAAGATAGATTTTCTTACCGCGCATTTTGTTCAGACCGTTTAACCTCGCGAAAGTGAGTGGTATATTCTGCAATCCCATCAGAGAGTTAGATTAATGTATCAAAGACTTACAAAGAGGTTTTTGCATAAATTGCAGGGAACTAATCTAACCAGTCGATCATTGCTTAGGCCCCAAGCTGTGACATTTGCTACAAAACGAGAATGGTTTGATGAAGACTCCACTTTCTTTCTTGTATTCTTCTTCACTCTTGAACTGTTTCTTGAAACTAAGAAAACCAATCAAGAATCTCAGTTTTGATATTTTTTTTTACAGATTTTTAGTATATTATTTCATAAAACCAAAAGCTTACCAATGTTGGTTTGATCATCATTGATCATGTTGTGAGATGATGGAGAGGTATACTTAATCTCACAGCAACTTGGTCCCAAAGCTGTGACATGAAACACCATCTCTCCCTCATGTCTGAAAACCACGATGTCCCCAATTCGGAGATCATGTGCAAAGGCAAACTCTTCCCACCCGTCGGTTAATTTCAAACCGTCCATCTTCACCAACCAAGTTTCATCCGACGCATCTGATCTCAGTCTCGCAGTCTTGTTCTGGTCGTTTCTTCCTTCAACGTGCTTCGAGAAGAAAGCTACAGGAATGTTCTGCAACAAACATGCAAACAAAAATAAACAAAATTAACCATTTTTATCAATAACCTACACTGAGATAGAAGAGAACAGAACAGAACAGAGTACAAGGTGAGTGCGGAAGCCTGGAAGAAGAGGCTTAAAGAAATGTGGTTTAGTAGGCGAGCGAAGAGATTGATCCGCCATTGTTGAACACCAAAGCCTCAATGAAATCTTTATTTCGTAAAGGTGATGAGAACTTATGAGAGAGCTAGGTTTCCATATTATAAAGACGTTTGTCTTCTACTTCTATATCTTGCATCTCTCGAGGTACACATTTCTGATTACTTTAATTTTGACAGAAACTTTATCGTGTTAATCTAAAGCAAGATTTTCGACCTCTCCTACACCATTTGTATCCAATAAAGTGATCTTCCTCTGCTTTTTAGAGAAGTTGATCTTCGTGAGGAATCTTTTAGCACAAGGATCGAGCCAAAGGCTGATAGATAGATAACACAAGTGACAAGACCAATTACTTTGAAACTCTTTTGAAATTGTAAGGTGTGTGTGTGACTTGTGACTGTTAATGACCAACTTAGTTATGCCTTGGAGATGAAGCTATCCCATCTTATACACTGCATGCTGACTGTAATTTCGCTTCTTTTCAATGCTCTTGTAAACTGTAAAGTGTTAAGTATATAAATTACACTTTTCTATGACTTTGCATGGTATTAAATTAAATCATACACTTTTCGTATATACGAAATATAATTGTACATTTTTTTTATTTAATTCATTCATCGGAAAAGCTAGCAACTAACAACAAGTTGAAAGTTTCAATTATTAAAATATCTCGTAACTTATGCTTTTGTTTACAACCGTTCAAGTTTTACCATATTTTAAAAGTTAAAACTACAACTAATGTCTTACGTCTGAATTATTAGCTTTCTATATATAAAGATCTACGAGTAGCTAGCTTTCTATCAATGGTAATGCAATGTGTATATATCACCTAACGTCATTAAGAACTTTGAGATGTACTATGTATGTAAGCCCTCTTCAATTATCATTTGGCATACCAAAATGGGTCCATAAGTCACATGCGCGTTAATTCGTCTATGTAATTTTTTTTGCTTTTACTGTAAATGTCTAACCTAAACATTTTTCCTCTGTATGCTCTGTTTCTTGGAATTTTCTTCAGAATAAAACCTAGCTAAGGTAGAGCAGAGAGGCTGAGATACAACGATGAGGGTTTGACGGATGGATCTCTTAAATGCTAGATAAATAGATGGTTTCATACTTGAGTCATGACACATTAGTATCGCTTCTTGTTTCTTTCAAAATCTTAACTTCTGTTCAAATTGATGGAGGGTTGTGTTATAATCGGATTTACCATCACGGTCTTGGCCCTCCTGCTCTTATTCTCCCCGCCCGTCTTGCCTAAATTCAGTCTTGCCTCCCTCACCATGACGAAGCTCAACAACTCTAAGGGAAATCATATTTTCAGCTGCTTAAGCATGCAGTTTCAAGTCCTAAACCCTAACTTGGGGACTGGTCTCTTCTACCACGACGTTTACTGTGAAGTTTATCACGGCGAGCACCGCTTGGCCTCCACTGTGTCCCCACTCCCAGGCTTCGTTCAAAGAGCAAAAGACACGACACATATCAACGTCACCATCAATATCATGCCAGGAGCTATTGCCAGAGGACTCAGCAATGACTTGGCCACTTATGGTGTTGCAGGGTTCGATGTGAAGCTGACTGCTGTTCTAAAATGGCGATTTCACTCTCCCGTGTCTGTTGGGGTTTCATGCGAAGATGTGGCAGTCGGTCTCCTATCTGCTTTTGGTGGTAACAGCAAGATGATTGGTCCTGCTAGGATGTGCCGGGTTTCCTAATTTCATAACCTTTGAAGTTTAGACTTTGGTTACTAACATAATAAGTACTTGGGAAATCTTATGAATGATAAAAATATTGTTGCCACTTCAATACACACAACGTACTTAGAATACAAGTTAAACACTTGGGGCCAATACAAAGGAATCAACAATCATTCATATATATACACACAACCACGATGAATTATGTTTGAGTATATTAATGAGAAAGCTTGTATGAGATTATCAAGATGATTGCCAGAATGAGAGCCACGATTACCGAAGTAACAATCCATTTGTTCCTCGTCATTCTTCTTGACATAGCCGTCAACACCTTCTTGCTCTTGTCAATGGCGTCATCGACACCATGAAGCTGTGACCCGAATCAGTAAAATTAGCTTAACAGGTGATCACATTCAAGTAAATCATTGGCACCGATTAGATTTCAAAAACACCCATGTGATTGTTGTACCTTAGAGTGCGCATGAAGGAGGGTTTGGCGTTGCTGACTCAAATCTTGGACAATTGAGATGCCTACCTCTTCTGTCTCCAGCATTAGTCTTCTACTCTCCCTGATTCTGTCGCTTGATTGGTCAAGCCTCTCCACTGACATTGCCAATCTCCCTCTCTGATCAGCAGATACCTGGATTGAGGACAATAATATAAATCACAAAAACATCTCTGCAATCTAAAGGGTTCCTTAGGATACACAAGCTTAAATGATGTAAGTCAATCAAGACAGCTAAGAAAAGTGATTCCAGATTATGACAAAACAAGAGTTTCTAGTAGGACTTAGAAGTGTTTACCACATGCAGATCCGCCATTCCGGATTCCATCAATTCTTCACGGGAAGACTGCTTAGTATCTGCGGACGAGACTCGTTTAAATTCTTTCTTCAATTGGTTGAGATCAGATTTATACTCTCTTAGTTTAGAAAGACACACAGCTTTAGCACTCGGCTGCAAACTTCTTGCTTCAAGATCCATTTTGCGGATCTACAGAAAGAAAAAAAAAACACAGAACAGAAGTTCCATTGATGTTGGAAAAAAGAAGAAGAGGATGATTCAAACATTTAAACCAAGTAAAATGCTAATAATAATACCAAGACATCAGCTTCGTCTATTCCAGACTTTATCTCAGCAATCTTCCCCTTCTTCTCTTCTGCAAAAGCACATAACAACTAATCAAACCTCTACTCTGGACGACTTCTCGAACATGCCTATGCACTATAACTCCAAGAAAGATAGTAATCGACATTGACTGAGAAACAAATAAAGAACCAACTTAGTAAACCTCTGCAGCTACATAATCAAGTTTCTATCTTCAGCTTTCAATAATTACTTAATACCTTAATAAAACTATCTATCAAATCCAAATATAAACATTCCTAGATGCTACAGAAACGAGCTAAGACAACGATTAGTAGAGACCAGCAGCTACTTTCCAACTACATCCCCAAATTCAGGTAAATCAGACAGCAAAATTCGAAGGTAGCAGACGAAAATGTTTGATCTTTAGGTATAAAACATGAACTGGGTATTCTAAAATCAGGGGAAAATTGAATATTCTCGCTTTCAAAATAAACTTTAAGATCCGAAATCGAAAGCGTCTGAGTTTTTTTACCTACGTCGGAGAGAACCGATGCAGACTGACATTTTCTGGAGAGATTGGTTGAGAGCTCGCAGTACTGACGCTCGTAACCTTCAAATACGTCGCTCATCTTCTCGATTAAAGGGTTTCGATCTCAAGAAAAATTTCGAACTGATTTCAAGAATTTTTGTGGTGTTTTCAGATCAATCGGATCCTTTGGGTTTGATCGGATCGGATTTAGAACAAGGAAAGAGGGAACAATCAAAGCGGTGCGTTTTACTTTACATGACACGTGTCAGACGCTGTGTACTTTTAACTTATGCCAATGTGGGTTAGACAAAACCAAACCGAACTAAAAACATACTCTTGAAACTTAAAAGATGGCCAAGCCGGGGGTTTTGTTTTGTCACACCACTCAATGGGATCTGAGATATCGAAAAGATGTAATTACATATACTATACCGTGAATAGATACGAAACAAGTTAAGGTTGGAAAAAACTGCAGCTCATGTATGGTTTCAGCCTGAAGAGATCCAAGATATTATAGAAATTCCAAGTGGGATTGTCTTGTTTGTGTACAACATTCATCTACTTAGTAATTTTATTCTACAAGGTAAAGATAAAACAGGAAAATTAGGGCTCTGCTTATAGCTCATTCTTGACCTTTGCATCCCCATTTGGTAACGCACTTTGCGACTGGGCCACCCGTTTCGCTTCCTGAATTCGACAAAGACTATTAACTTACTGTGTAGTATATTAACGAAGATTATACATATAAAGCAATGCTAACAAACTTACAGCGGCAGAGTTAGCACGGATTTCTCTATAAATATCGACTTCATCAGGAAAAGTCTGTTCAAGCTCTTCTAGAATGTGTTTTCTCAAATCCTATTTACAAATAAAAATGTTTGATTAAGATAGAGTGGCCTTAAGAATCAATAAATCCAAATCAAGAATATCAGTAGAAAAAGGAAGTCACCTTAAAAGCATCAGTCTTGCCCTTTGTAACTTGATTCCTGGCTATGCAGCTATTAAGAGCTTCTTTCATAAAGTCATCCGGGTTCTTCCCATCATCAATCAAGCTAAACAAAGATGCAAAACACCAGTGACATAACATAAGAAAGCGTGCAAAAGTATGTATCTCCAAATGCATCCTAGGAAAATAAAACAAGTTGTTGATTGATCTCACTTAAGAACCTCCATGGGGACTTGAAAGTTGCATTTCTCGGACAACTTATCCATGTTATCCAGCTCCGACACAAGTAAATTGCTGCAAATATACACACAACATTCATTCCAAACAATACACAAAAAAACAAACAATGATCTTTAGAACAGACACTGATGATTTGAGTAAAAAAAAAGGGAAGCTTACAGGCGCTGAAGGAGATGCAGCTGAGATGCGGGTGTGAAAGAAGTGAGGGTAAGCTGTAATTGATGAACGAGAGTCAAAATCTTTTCAGTGGAGTTTACGACTTGGTTGATATTCTCCTTTGAATCATCAACAGCGGTGACAGATGAAGTCCCATCATTGGTTTGATATCTCATCGTACCATTACTCCCACTACCACCAATTACTGCTGCTGAACTTGTGTTCTGTGCTGGATCCATCACAAGCTGAACACAAACATCCATTAAAAAAAACTAATAAATCACCAAATCGTGATATTCCAAACACAAATTTGATCAAACTAAACGACAGTTTTTGCAAAGCCTAAGTATTTAATCAATTGGAGTGGATTTTTGATATCAAAGTTGCAATTTTGAAGAATCTCCAACAAAAACGGAATCAAAAGGAGGCTGAATCAGCATCGAAATGCCCAAATCAAGCATGTTACAATAACAGAAACCATTGGCGTCGAATCGAGATCCGTAACTTACCGTACAACCAGAAGATGATGGGTTCGGCGAGAGAGCGGATGAATTAGGTATTGTTTGTTCCTCTGAGCCTAAGCAACGGTGAGATTAAAAGATTGCTATGGAGAAGGGCCGACGCCGAAGTCCGTTAAGGGGAAGAAGCGGAGGATCTATTTGGAATTTTGGATCATTCTCACACCGACCTAATTTTAATCACGGCCACTTTGAATTGCTGACGTGGCGTTATTATCTTGTCTTTGTTTGTTCAATTTAATCCACCATTATACTTTTTTCCCCCATTCTTGATTAGTTGCATTAGAACATTTTTAATTCAACCAATCTAATACATTACTACATCTGATCATCTCGAATAGATGTGCCCTGATCAATAAGGTTCAATCTACGACGACATCATTTAATCCATTTGTCTGTCTCCATTGGAGAGGAAAGTTAGTATTACACCTTCAGCTAACATTCTCCTTTCCCACGCAATACAGTTAAAAAAAACTCAAAAACACTAAGGCAGAAGCACTAAACGAGATAAGTCTAAAAGGAACGTTGCCGGGATGAGGGATTCTCTTCAGGAAGATTGAGTATTTGCTGAATCTGGTAATGAGCCTGCAAATATTACATGACATACACAACCATTAACATGATAGTTACGTTACTTACGTACCACAATCGTAACTTTGTATACAGCTGATGCAGAGTTACTACACAGTGGTTTTCTAGTCAAATCCCAACCTCATAAGACACTTGAACTACTATTAGAAAGTAAGATAAGAACGACATTGACGTACCAATTTGATGCGCCCTTTGATCTGTGTAATAACACCAGTAAACTCTTCTAGTTGTCTGTAAAAACAAAAAAACGACCAATATATAGTAATTCACATTATGACATTATAATGCATTGATTAGACAACTCATTCATCATATACGATTATACAACCATGTTTTCCTTGGATTCACCCAGAAGCAAACAGCAATGTAAGGCAACAAATAGAACTTTGACAATTTTGAGAAAGCAGCATGTGGAGCAAAAAGGAGAGAGGTGAATCATACGTTTTAATTCTTTCCTCTCTTTGTGAAATATAGGCGAGAGCTTCTTGCCTGGTGAACTCAACATAAAAGCCGAGTCCTACATCCATGAATATGTGTCGAGTATCTGGCCTGAACTCAAACAGACACACACATCTCCAGTTTTAGACCGCAGTAATCTCAACATTTTCTGAACAATACTACTACATAACTAGCATCTAACATATAGACCACAGTTGAAGTTCACAACTGAAAAAGTTTATTGAAGGCAGAAGAGTTCGTGCTCTTGTGAGAATGCATTAAGCCACATGGAGACATTGTATGACATTGTATGCAGACAGTGTATGACATTTCACAGATAATGACTTGACTAAAATTAAACGAAAGAATCAAAGCTATATATGACGTACACTTCAGCTTGCATGTAAACTTCTGAACCGAGGTTGACCCTTGTTTTGAGACTATTCACACCATTTTTCTCCAGAGTTTCTAGGTTCTTCCGCAAGTCAGAGCTGGAGTGGGAGTAACATCGTTAAGGAAACAAGAATATCCAACACCAAACTAGAGCTCACTAGTAATTGTGAATGGCTACACCAAGATAGTTCCTCTAGATTTCAGAAACACAAAACCAAGTAAGAAACTGACTGATAATTGAATCCGGTCATGTTTGATGAGGATAAGATATGGGAGAAACTAACAAAAACATTAAGAATCAACTTAATGAGATGCACATTTTGAGAAGCAAGAGTCTTCCGAATACAAAAAGGATACAGTACTTTTTGTTCTTCAAAGATCTTGTCCCTGCAAAACCAACAAATGCAGAAACCACAATGACTCAGCCTTAAACTAAGAGACTATAAATGAGTAGCCTAATCCTATATAATTATAGTTTTCATCTTAAAAAGGAAGTACAGTAATAAAATACCGTGAAGCAGTTGCGTGTACAAGCTTCTGTTTCAAACCTTTATCGATTATCTCCTCCAATAACTGCAAGTCCTTTTGACGTCCCTCGTCCATTACTGCAACACGACCAAAACACATCAAGTTTATAGGCTCTAAACATCGCCTTCTTAGTTTGATGGACCTATTGTCGTCAATTGTTCTTATTTCAAAATCTAGAGTCACCCAACAATCAAAATCTGAATTACAAGCCACGAGAGCGTTGAAGCTTTACACGGAAACATTGAACTAATACTTAAAATCATTTCATCGAACAGTTGGTGAACACTCAAGAGAAAACAAAAATCACTACATTCTAGTTTAGATATGAGAATCGAAACTGGTTTCGAAACGAAACGCTATCAGAAAAAAAAGCATTCAACTTTGTAGAGTCCCAAAATCGACAAAGGTGAACAAAATCAGATTAAAAAAAGTTAGAGATACAGAGAACAGCAAAGGTCGACAACGATTTGACTCACCAGCAAGGTATTGAAAGAAGTTAATACACGAAAAGAGTAAACGACGATGATGCTGGTGGTTACAGCGATTAGAACGTCGGTAATGTTAATGTAGACGGCGAGTGGCGACGGTAAGCGAGACGAAGGCTAATCTGATGGTTTAACATTATGATCGCTCGAATAGTCATATTTAAACCATGTAAACCGGTTTGCGATCAATTTTGGTTTTAACTTAAAATCCTTCAGAATATAATTAATTTGTAGAAAAGCCCACCTATTTTTAAAAGTTACTGTTTTACGCCCATGGTTTTTCCATACACTATCAACACAAAACATACATGAGCAGAACAACAAGGCACGAAGCCACGAACTTGGATGCTAATATTCTAAAATCATCAAAGCATGTAAGCAATAGCAATCATACATAACAAAAACCTTAAAAATGCATCAAATTTTATTGGTGAAAACAAAAAAATGTTCCAAATGAAACCCCATTGATATACATCTTCTTCAATTAATACATTTCCATGTTCACTCGCCGAGTAATGATTCGTAAACACACACCAAATCCTCAACAGCCTAAACCATTACTCCGTATCGACAACCGCAATAGTTTCCATGATTGGTTGAGTTTCACCTCTAGAAGTTTCCATACTATAATAAACCCGGCAGCTGAAATAGAACACTGCACTCATCATCGAATCTATAAGTGTCACAAAGGAATACATCAACACCAAAAGAGGTCCTTCCCATAGCCTCGAAGAACCATCTCCATAACTCACTTTCTTCACTCTGTGATCAAACAAGCCTTCCACAAATGCCAATCCTAAAGTTGACCCAAGGAACATCAACAAACCAACCTGAATATGCCCTTTGATCAGATCACTAGCTCTCACCAATGCTCCTATCCCTGAAACATCTTCCAGAACCGAGATCACAACAGCGGTGTTGCAGATGATAATCGCGTTGGCGAAAACTACAGAGAATGCTAAACCAACTAAAATGGCTCCATAAACACTGAAGTCTGGAGAGAAGCCGAGGACAGAGAAGGAACTGCAGATTGCTACAAGAAGAACGCAGAAGAAAGTGAAGCAACCAACAATCAGAGTGCAAATCCATAGGTAAGTGAACACAACTCGTTTCCATATTTTCTGGAATGCAACAAAGAACTTGCTAATCTCTGCTTTTTCCCTCGAGTAAGTGCAATCCACTGAGTAAACCACAGCTGCTTTAGACAAGAGAGACACAGTGATGAACAAAGGGAAACACATTGCAGACGAAACAGAGGTTTCAGCGAACTTCTGACAAGAGTGTTTGACAAAAGGCTGCAAAGGAAGACCACTTGACTTTGCCACTAAGAGAAGCTTCACTGTGAGTTTGTTCACTAATGATTGATCAACTAAAAAGTTCGGTAAGATCAAAGCAGAGACAGGACAGATCAAAGCAGCAGTTGTTATCATGAAAGCACCTAGATTGTACCGGAGGATTCGAACGGATTCTCTCAGGATCTCTAATGCATTTGAAGAGTGAAACTGCTTGTGACTGTATGATTTTAGCTCTGCTTTCCGCAAAACATGACTGCCTCCTACGAGATTTGTTGTTTCCGTCTCCATTTTTGCGAGAGTGAAGTGGGTTTCAGTAGAGTTCGAGATTACATACCATAAATCTTGATTCAGAAACAGCGAGTCGAAACAAAGATCGAATCTTTCAGACAACCCAGTTATCAAATTGGATCTTAGGCTTCTTCAGCTCAGTTAACAAGAAAAAAAAAAAGGACGAATCTTTGACGGGATCTCGATGATGTTGTCTATGTTTCTACAAAATTTTGTACAGAGAATGATTTCTCTAAGAGAAGAAAAAAAAATGAAAGATTTATAATTTTGTCGGTGGCACAAGTGAACGTGCTTTTGTCCCCTCCAGTGAAGATATTAGATAATCCAACGGCGATGTAAATCAATCTTCTTCTTCATCAATCACGAAGTTGAAGCTAAACCGCTAATGTTACTCGAATTCTAACAACACTGAACGGTAAAGCCGGTTAAGAAAGGCCCAATAATAGCTCTTAATGGGCTTTTTGAGGAAGAGAGAGAGGGAGAGAGACAACTTTTTCCGGTGAAAGGAAATGGCAAGTACGATTTAAGTTGAGTTAAGAGTGGAAGTAACACTTCGCTGAGTTGACCACTAAAGACGAGAGCTACAGAGACCCACCATGGAGCTGAATCATCAAGAGAGTAGGAGTAGATCAATTCGATGCATTGTGAAACTTGGTTTGTCTTATGATCCCAACTGCTCCATCGATTCTGATATCGAATTATAGTTGTTCTGTCTTATGGGTTTGATTCTGATTTGATCTTTCAATCTCGACAATGAGGAAGGACTCCGAAGATTTGATTTTTAATTTCATTTCCCGTCAATCAACTTGTGTCCTGTAACAGCAAAATGTCTTAAATTATATGGTAGGAGGCGCGGCAATTACTTGCAAGAACGAGCTGGAGAAGATTCACGATGAGAATCTGGAGATCGTGGCTTCTCATTTACGTCAGGCTATGATGGAGGGTTCAGCTCCGAGTAAAGTTATAGGAATGGATTGGAGCAAGAGACCTGGAAGCTCTGAGATTGCTTGTGATGTGGATGTCTTAGGGGATCAGGAGTCTTCTGAGTTTAGCAAGTTTGTTGTGGTTCATGGCGCAGGTTAGTTGTATACTTGTTGGACATTGTTTGATCTCTGCTTGAATCTTATAATGAAGGATCAAATAACATCTTTTATTAGTTCTTACAGATCATTGACCACCTGATTGTGTTGTTGAGCTGTTATTTAGTTTTTGGGTTTAATTTGTGATGTTTTTATCTGTGCCATTAGGTTCCTTTGGGCACTTTCAGGCCAGTAGATCCGGAGTTCACAAAGGAGGACTTGAGAAACCTATTGTCAAAGCTGGTTTCGTTGCTACTCGTATATCTGTGAGACGGTCTGCCAAAGCCAATGCTCTTATTTTGAACTAGTCTTAAGTTATTCTGATAGTTCTTTCCACTCCTTTGTAGGTCACAAATCTTAATCTTGAAATTGTACGAGCACTTGCCCGAGGTACTTTCAAAGTTTATTTTCTATTTCTCCTCTGAAACTATGTTTGCTAGGATGAAAAGATGAATTCTGAAGCTAAACTTAATGCTTTCTTGCAGAGGGAATTCCTACTATAGGCATGTCTCCCTTTGCATGTGGTTGGTCAACCTCGAAAAGAGATGTAAGAGCCAATTGAACTTCTTTACTTTTTCCCTTTACATATTTTCTGATCTGAAGTTTGTTTGGTTCAATTCTAATTAGACTGCTATTTGCATTAGGTGGCTTCTGCTGATCTATCCACCGTAGCTAAAACAATAGACTCAGGATTTGTCCCTGTAAGTTTTGAACCCCACCAATGGCATTAGGTAGATGTTTCCTAAAGTCATTTGACCGTAAAATTGGTGGTCCTGGCCAGGTTCTCCATGGAGATGCAGTCCTAGACAATATACTGGTAATATGCTCTCCCCTGTTACGAAATATCATTTAGGTTCTTGTCCTTTTAGAATTTGAACTGCTGGAATTCATGTCCTGAACAGGGCTGCACTATATTGAGTGGTGATGTTATCATCCGTCATCTTGCAGATCATTTGAAGCCAGAATATGTTGTCTTCCTCGTATCCTTTTCATATTATAAAACGCAAATATGCTTCTTCATAATTTGTGATATCTCTCCCTCTTACTATATATTCTTTGTTATCTGAGTAACTCCTTACAAAGACAGACGTACTAGGTGTCTACGATCGACCACCTTCAGAGCCTGACGCTGTGCTCTTGAAAGAGATCTGTTAGTCCCAAACTTTACTCTCTTTTTAAAAAATGATTTTGCAACTCTTGGCGTAATTCTAACCGTTCATGCAGCTGTTGGACAAGATGGAAGCTGGAAGGTTGTGAGTCCAGTATTGGAGCACACAGACAAGAAAGGTAGAAGACAAAGAACCAAATATTGTAGAACTATGCAATTAAGTCTGAGGTTTTAGTTGAAACTTGTCTAAATTTTGGGAATCAAACAGTTGATTACTCTGTTGCGGCCCATGATACAACCGGTGGAATGGAAACAAAGATATCAGAAGCTGCTATGATTGCAAAACTTGGAATCGATGTCTACATTGTGAAGGTAGATAAAAGACATCTTTTGCCTTAAACTAAATTCTCTCTCTTAGATAAAAGGTTGAGATTGAGACTACCATTATGCTTTCATTTTATATTTCCGAAACAGGCTGCAACGACACATTCACAGAGAGCGCTCAACGGCCAGTTGAGAGATAATGTTCCTGAAGATTGGCTCGGCACTATAATCAGATTCTCAAAGTAGCATTATCTCTGACATAAATACTAATCACAGTTTCCCAAGATAGAAAACATTGACATTGTGTCTTCGCAATGGTGTTGTAGTGTTTTTATTACCAGACTTCGTGATGGCAACTTATAACACTGTTTTAAAAAGTAATCGACCATTTTTCCTACAATAGTATTGTAAATAAAATGTATTCAACTCTTCCTAGTGCAAAGAGCAATGAATTATGAGATGAGCGCAACATAAAAGATCACAGAATAAGGTTCAAGTAAAAGTAGAAAGACGAGCCAGATTGCAGAGGATTCACAAGTACTCTGCAACGAAGTTGTCTTAGAACAAAACTTATTGAATAAACATACAAGCACCGAAAGTAAAAGTGATTAAGAATAACATCTGATAGGGAAACTTTCAATGTTTCAACACAAACTTTGCAACAATCCAAAACCAATAGATATGGTTGTCTTGCAACAAGAAACACACACATGGTCTAAATTAGGAAAAAGAAAAAACATCTTTTGTTCTTATAACACTGACATCTGTTGCCAAACTGGTAATAATATTATCCTCTGCGTAAAGAGAACGATACTTAGTTTACTTGCCAGCACCAACTTCCTTGACAGCATTGATCTGCTCCTCTCCCATGGAAGACATGACAGACACCACAACATCCCTACCCTCCTCAAATCCACTCTTCATCTGCATATACAAAACCCCAGGATTTTTTATCAGTATCACAAATCCAAAGGCCAACTCAAGTCTTGTATGAGAGAGAGTAAGAAAAGAAAATAACCTGAGCGGCAAGAGCATCATCGGTGGGAAGCTTGAGGTCATCCTTAGTGCCACCACTGTCGGTCAAAAGGCTAACCTGTAATGTGAACAAACAAAATTTAAAACATGCATATTGAGAAAAAAAAGCTGGAGTGATAAAGAGGAAAGTGAGTATGTAGAAAGACATACGAAGCCATCCTCAGCGATATCAATCAACTGGTAATCAAGACGGTTCACATGTGGAACCTGACAAAACAAACAAAAAACAATCTCGAATCAGATCATGCATAGATCTTAACTTATGAATCATAAAACTGAAACATAAATAAGAGACTTACATCACAATTGTGGGAAGATGGCACAATATCTTCAAGCTTCTTACCATTGAAGATATCAATGGCAACAAAGTGACATTTAGCGTGACCGTGCTTGCCAGTCTTGGAAGTCGAAACCTCAACAACCTATCCAAATCAACATCGAATCAAAACTTTTGTTCTCCATAGCTATTTAGATCAAATCAATCACTATATTTTCTAACGATTCAAAACCACATCAATCGTCCTACATATCCTGATTCCTATCATTTCCGAAAAATTACACGAATCTACAGAGAAAATCACCATAAATAAACGAAGCAGGATATATAAGATTCATCATATTTGATCTAAGCGATCTGATCCACCATCAAACAAAAGATATAAAAAAAGCAAAAGAACCACAACAAAATAATTCAAATCCGTGAAACAGAACAAAATCAAGGAAGCTATAGAGAACAAAACGAAGATCTAAAATCGGGTTAGAGAGATCGGATGAGGGAATCGAGAAAAAAAAACCTTGCAGGGACGGCCTTTGATGACGATGAAACCACCTTTACGGATGTTACCAGCTTGCTGAGGAAAGGTCTTGGAAGCTCCGGAATCGCTAGACTCGAAGTGGTGCTCGTCGTCAGACATGATTTTTCACGGGTTTGAGGGAGAAACAGAGAGGTTCGTAGAAGAAGAAGAAGGGGGAGAAGATGATGGAAGAGAGAATGAGAAAAAAAACCTAAAAGGAGAAGTCAGCCGAGTGATGTGAATATTTTATATAGAGAGGAGAGGAGAGGCTGAAGGAAGAGGAAGGAGACCTTTCTAGGGTTACTGTGCTATTATCCTCTTTCTCAGCCGTCCGATTAGAATATTCTCAACCGTTCAGATTTTCCCCAAAATATATCCTTTTTTCCTCTGTTGCATCGCGTGCTTTCCACGCGGCCCCACTTTAGCTTGCGGCGTCTAATTTCTTTTTTTTTTTAAATTTTTTTTTATTAAAATTAATTAAATACAACTTTTCTTTTGCTCTAAAGGTCAGATTTAAACATAAAGGTTAGATTACAGTATTTAATTTGTTTTGTGATATATGTAACAGATTGGCACATCCCACTTGTGATGCGTAAGATCGAAAAGGCTGGTCTAAGTAACGAAATCATATAGTGTAGTGTTAAATGCTGCTGATGCAAACTACTACTATCGAAACCCCAGATACTGCATAATGTATCACATTGTTGCACCAACATGATCAGCCACAAACGAAAGTATATATTCCAAGACACTTATCATCTCATCCAATGATCCAAATCACCAACAACTATAGCTACCGCACCTAACTAGCATCCGTATACAAATGTGAACTTAACGACTTGAGTTCCTCGACCTCGAGTAACACAACTTTTATAGACGTAGACTTGAAATATGTATACCGTGGTAAAAATATAAAGGCTATAACAAGCTGTGAAAATTTAAACAAATATGACCATGAGTTTTTTTGAGTTCAAGTTCTTGAGAGAAGAGTTAATAGTGGCTTGCCTCTTTACATGAGAGTGATCAGTAGTACACAATGGACATTACAAAATCATCATGTCTTCCAATCGTATCAATAGTTCCACTCGTATCAAGGATTGAATCATTGTATCCAAGATTCATATTCTAAATAAACAACAAAAATTCCATACTGTAATTGCTCATAAATTTATCAGTCCAATATTCAATGATAACACATTAATCAAACTAAACAAAAAAAAAAACTCAAAATCCTCGTAATCTGTAATGATCAATGATATCATTAGCCTCAATGCTAGACTTAGGAAATTATATATTTCCACATTGTGAAAACTCAAGATATTGCATATAAAATAATCGCGCAACAAGCACTAGTTTGGAAGATATATAAGAAAGACAATGAGCGATCATGTTTTCAACTCAGACAAAAATTCTAAACCTCCATGAACATCTTTGGCAGGAGTTGCTTAGTTAGTTGCCACCGGAAACTGGGATAAGTGGGCCTGATCATTTACGGCCCATTATATTTCAAGTGCTCGTCGATACACGTACATACAGTACACATAGAAAGTAAGCCCATCATACGAGACTGATGTACTGCATTTCATAATGAGCATGATTTGCAAAATAACTTCAATGGAAAAGTCATAAACAGGTGGTTTTTTAATAACATTCGGAAAAATTTAGGGTGAATTAGTAATAGTAGTAGTAGTAGTAGTTGTCATCTGTCAATGATTACGAAATGTATTGAAAGAAAAACAAATTGGTGACATTTTGTCCCCTCCCAAAAAATTAAAAAAGATATTTGGGTGACATCAGTTAAAAATTGAGATATCTTTTGTAAAATATCGTGTTTTTACGTTTTCACTTTTCATATATAAAAGAAATACTGTATGTCATTTGAAGGAGATCATTTTGGCAAATAAAATCATTTATCAAGTAATTTTCGGAAATTCTAAACATAAAACCCAAAAAAAAAAAAGAACAACAAATGTTATGCAAACTCAAAAAAAAAGCCTTTAATACATCAGTGCGTTCAGTTAACATCTGTCACGTGTCAGGAGTCTCTCAGGACTAAAAGAAATGGTACGTTTTGTATTTTCTTCTCATTAGTCTTGGGGATACCTTACATACAGTAATTGCATATTATTCTAATTAATTAGAGTAAAGAGATGATGATCGAACAAACCAATCAGAGACAACCAGAGAAACAAAGCTTAACAATAATAAATAGTAATTATCAACAAGAAAGGGTGTGGTACGTTACGTAATTATTCATCTAAAAACCTCATAGTTGGCTCACCAGTGTGGGCCAATTGCTTTTCTTCTAACAAACCTTTTTTTTAAACAAAGTATGCTTCATATTTATATACTAATTATATTTTATTTTATTTTTAATCATATTCATGTAAAAATAAAATTAGGGTGTATGACATTATTTTTTTCTGTAAGAAGTTTTTAAAAAACACAAAAAAAAAAAGCATACTTTTCAGCTTACATTTCTCCCGTTTACGATATGGCTAAAATAATATTTCTGCTTTTGGTTTTCTTTAGTCGTTTCCATTTCCATTTCAATAAGAACGGGTTGATGTGGTTTTGTTATTCATGTCATCACTCTCCACATTTCCATAAACTTTGCATTGAAGATGCGACATTACATAGATACATAAATTGAAAGAAGAGCTCGTTAATTACTGCATTCAAAGTTTTGGTTATTTTTAGGGTATCATTTGGTATTGTTTGCACTAGCTATTTTCTAATCTCAAAAGAAATTTGTGTATTCATATTTATTTGACGTATTTTTCTTTTCAATGTTACTCGAGAGAGTTCAAGCGTTTCAAGTGACATTTGAAGTTCACAACACTTATTCATTTTCATTCTTGTAATTTTTTTTTCTTATATAGACGTAAATTGTGTGTATATGCACACCATTGCACGATTTAAAAATGAATCATGTCTACGATTAATGAAATAAACATCTAACGGATAGATATAAATAATTTTAGGCTGTCAATATAATTGTAGTTCATGTTTGGTTGTTTAATTTGTACCTTACTTTTTTGTGCATGATGCCACAAAAACAGTATTTAGATTTTTTTTTTTGCTCATAAAGAAAAGAAAAAGATATATGATAGTAATATATAATAGACATAAGAAAATAATAATTATTCATAGTAATTTGGGATTCTCCTTATCTTGAAATTAATTTAATAATTATGAAGAGGATCTTTATACCATTTTTTTTTATCCAAAGGAGTAAAAGATATATTTATAACATTTTTATTAATAATTATAACATTCAAAGAATCAGAAAATCATACAAGTTTTTTTTATATATAGATCATACAAGTTTTAAAAGCTATAAAATACTCATTATTTTCTTTAACATATTGAATATCATAATTCATAACTAATAGCAGTATCTAATGTATTTAAATTTCAAATTGGCTATGCCATATTTACTTATACACTTATAGTAGCATTTTACTGCAATGTAAAACCATAAAGCAACCACTTAATTCATTCATCCAGTAGTATATTGTCTCACTATATTATTATTTTGTAACTGAGTGAATTTTTACGAGTGTATATACAAAATTTCACTAAATACTCCTAATATCAAACATTGTGAATTTTTTTCTCTCTTAATGGTATATTTACTGAAAATTAAAATCATAAGGCAACATGTTACCTTATACTTTAGTTAATTTCCGCACATATATACATAAGGGATTCTTATCGATTCTGCCATTTTCTAGGAAATTTTTTTGCTAAAATCTTATAGATTTGCCATTTTTGAACTTTTTAAAAGTCTAGTTTTGATTTTTTGGGTTAAAATACGTATTTTATAGTAAAAACTAAACCCTAAAAACAATTAAAACCGACTAAATCCAAATATAACGAGTAAAATGCTAAATTCCACCTAATTTAAGAATCAATAACATATTTACTTTTAGTTGCATAATTACTTGAATTTTAAACTAAAAGACAACCACTTGAAATCATACTATTCCTTGATTACCTTATCTGTATTTTAGTCAATCTTCGTGCGTATATATGTAAACATTCAAAAATTCAAATCATCAATACCATTTTAACTCTTGTAAACTAATTTCTTGAAATTTCAAATAACAAAATAACTACTTAGATACATCTAATAGTATACAATCTAATTATATTATCTTGTATTGTAGTCAAAGTTTTTGGCACATATAGATAGAAGTTTATCTAATATATTCAAAAATTCAAATACAATATATAATGTCTAAAACCGTAAGACAATCACTTGAATGTATATGATAATCTAGTACATTTTCTTTGGTATTTCTAGTCAAACTTTCGCGGGCATATAAGTAAACATTAAAAAAAAAAATCAAATCATCAAATACCAATTTAATCTTAGTGACATATGTCTTGCAATTTCAAATAACAAAATAAATATGTAGATAAATCTAAATAGTATGTAATCTAATTATGTTATCTTGTATCTTAGTCAACATTTTGGCACCCATATAGATAGAAGTTAATCTAAAATATTCAAAATATTTGAATTGTCAATACCATATTTAGTCTTTAAGATTCATTCCTAATTGTCATATTTACTGCAATTCAAAAAAAAAAAAAAAGAATCACAAGGTAAACCCACATAAATGCATTGCTTAAGAAAAGAGGAAAAAAATGTAAAATAAAAAAATGATTAGATCATGAACAAAAGGAAATAAAATAAAGCAAAGAAGACCGAGTGTTGACAAAAAAATATAACATGTCACTGTTATTAGAAGAACCCTCTTCTCAAAAATTAATATAAAAAAGGGTCATTTTCTTTTTTATTTTCACTTCATTCGTTAAAGAATCTGAGAGAGAGAGAGAGAGAGATTAGAAAAGCCAGAGAGAAGAGAGAGAGAGAGTATTAGAGAGAGAAAGAGTTGGCCCATGGGATCGGAGAAGCTTTCATCTTCTTCTACTTCCATGGAGTTTTGATTATTTGGCACTCTCTTCTTCTCTTTTGTTTTTTTTTTGTTTACTTCAGATTTTTTATTTTATTTTTCTCTTTCTGAGTTGTGATTTAAAATTGTTCTGAGTGAATCTAGGAAGCACTTTTAATATTCTCTTCCCTAATATTATTTTTTATTATTATTATTACTATTGTTTCATTTCTTCTCGGATAAATTGAGACGACGATTTACGAAGAGGGGGAGAGAAGATTTTTCGTCTGTTCGAAATTGCGATCAGATGATGATGATGATGTGTGTCTGAGGTATATAAATCTCTATCACCAGATTTTGTATTTTTTATTATTTATTTATTTATTTATTTTATATTCAACTTTTTCATTGGTTCGTCTCTCTCTTTTTTTTTTTTTTTTTTTAATAATTCTCATAGTTGATTTGATTTGTCACTTTTTCAATTTTGGAATTCATTGTTTGATGATATTAGTTTAGTCATTTAAGTCAATTTGATCCAATTAGCTTCTGTTTTCTGATTTTATAAATGGTTCATTTGTACTGTGATTTTATTCGATTCTTTTTGTTTTTGGTTATTCTCGTAATTGTTTTTTTTTTTTTAATTTAAATTGGGATTTGGTTTGCGTGTAATTTGGTTCTTTTTCATTGATGATGATGATTAGATTAGATGCACAGAGCTCTCCATTTGCAGAATCTTAGGCTTTAGATACGACATATTTATTAATCATCTCGTACTTTAACTGGTGTTGTGTTGTTTCACGTGTATATGTGAATTCTGAGATTGTGTCTACTTGTTGTTGCTATTGTTGTTCAACTCAAAGCTGCAAGACTTGTGTTATTATTTTGAGGAAACAGTCAGTCATTAGTCATATACATCATTATTTGATGAGAGATCTTACTGAAGCTTTCTTTTACATAAGTTGCAGTTTTGGTCAGCTTACTGTGGAGGAAATGCAAATTGGTTTTTCGCAATGAGAGATGCTGCGGATTCATCATCATACTCTGAATACGAGAAAGATTTCATGAAACAAACAATGCTTGAACAAGAGGCTGTTTTTAAGGATCAGGTTCGTATCTACACTCTTGATGCTTATCTATATATTTACTCAAAATGGTTCTTTTAAGTGGCAACCCGATTTACATGGTTTTTGTTGTTTTGTTGCGGTCGTCTTGTTTGTATTGATTGCAGGTGCATGAGCTCCATCGTTTGTATAGGGTACAGAGGAATTTGGTCGATGAAGCAAAAGGAAAGAGCTTGAATGAAGATATGGACGTGAGTGAGCATACATCTGTTAATGCAAGTAAAAGGACGTTACCTGGATTTCTCTTACCAAACTCGGCATATGGAGAAGGAAGCAACACTCAAGCTTGCAACGGTCGTTTGCAAAATGGGGTTAGCTCAACGGATGGGGATGCGTTCCAGGGCAGAGAATTGAAGGCCAAGAGAAGAATGATCGATCTTCAACTCCCCGCTGATGAGTATCTTGATGCTGATGAAGCTACCGGTGAGAATACTCTCTGTCCTCCATTCCAGCAGTCAAATTCAGGAAGAGGGGATGCTTCTCATCCGAGCTATCCTTCAGGTTCTTCCTTGGATGTGAAGTACGTAAATGGCTTAGCTGACTTGAACGAGCCACTCAAATTGCAAGATTCAGAACCTATTGCTCCATCAAGAGATATGTATTCTCATTATGGAAGAAACAATGCTGATGTTCGAGGTCACTGGTTGGAGAATAATCCAAGTCGAAATGGAAAGATGGTCCTTGAAGCAGGCTAGACTTTCTTAACAAGTTGCTAGTTACATGCTCTTCACTTATATTTAATTTCTTTGTCTGTGTCTTCCTCCTACGTATGGTTTATTAGCGAAAAATATGTCCCAATAGTTTCTTATTGCGCCTTTACGTCTCGATTTATAGAATGGTTTTGAATATTGTGCTGATTCAGTATTATGTTACCATTTTTGTCTAACTTCTGTTTCTCAAATGTTTTCATGTGGTTGTGTGTTAATAGGGCATAATAGAAGCACTCAGAGAGATCAGTTGCATCTGCCTTCCTATTCTGGACAACTACTTTCCAACAATGCATTTCAACCTCAGAGCTATCCTACAACTGATAATAGCAAGGCACAATTCTCCAGGGAAAGAGCATATCGTGAGCTAGATGTTCGGCCAAAGACTCCTCAAGTTTCTTACAATAGCTACATGGAATCAAGTGTGGCATCTAATGCTTCAAGCTTACACAATGACTACCGTCCTGGCTTTGTCAGACCATGGAGCCGTTGGTCACCTTCATGGGAGAACCCTATGAGCAGTTCACATCAGACGTCTTACCCAGTTCAAACAAACCCCTTCATGTATTTCAACACACATGCAAGGGCAGGTTCGAGTTTCGAGACGAGAAGCCGTGTCTCTAATGGGCTTTATCAAGGATTCTCTTCAGGGTCCAAGCAGTCTTTCTTAAATTTCCCATCAACCAGCTTTCAAGCAAATGCTTCTCTAGGCGACGAAGTGAAGAGCCAGAGTTTTGAAAGCCTTCAAGGGCCAAGAAAGCAGGAATACTCAGCTGGGTTGCCCTGGCTAAAACCTCAGCCAACTTACAAAAGTGAAAAATCCAATGGCTGCTTTGATTTGAATGCTTCAACAAATCAATTCATGGATGGAACTCAGATTGTGGGCGACCTACCTACTGTTTTTCCTCATAAGGTTTTGCAATCTGCTTCATACTCTAATAACGCGAACATGGGAAGAGCTGAAATGATCAAGTCTCAGAGTAGTACAAAAGTTATTGGAGGCCCAATGTTGGAGAAGCAATTTATTTTCAAGCAGGAGCATACCCCCCTTATCTCCCATTCCTTGGTAAAGCGAGACCTCGATATCAACTTGCCATGTGATGCCTCGGTTTCTTTGGACCAGCATGGTGGCAAAGCCGTTTGCGTAGAGAAGAAGGAAGGGAAAAAAGCTGCCGAATTCAGGCCCGACATTGATCTGAATTCATGTGCTAGTGAGGATGATGCAGATGCCGGCTTCCGTCCCAGTCTGAGAGTGAAAACAGAAGGAAGAACTTCGATTGATTTGGAAGCTCCCCCTACTCTCGAGAGTGAAGAAGAAGGATATAGCTCGCAGGAGAAAACAAAAGAAGAAACTTGGGAACTGATGCAAGACCAAGACGGAAACTCTATGAGTGAACTCATCAAGGCAGCAGCAGAAGCAATAGTTGCCATCTCACTGTCTGATCACCAACGCCATCCCGATGACGCAACTTCCTCTTCGACTGATGCAGCTGCTAAATGCCCACTCTCTTTGTTTGCAGACATAATCACTTCTTGCAGTGATGGGTTAGAAAGAAAGGTTGATGGTTCTCCAGAAGCTACAGACTTTGAGGGTTACCGGGAAGAATATTCTTCTGGGGAGATTGATTACTTTGAAGCGATGACCCTGAGTTTACAGCCGATGAAGGAAAAAGACTACATGCCAGAGCCATTAGTCCCTGCGCATCTGAAATTCGAAGAGACGAGTATTAACCGGCCTAGAAGAGGACAAGCAAGACGAGGAAGACCAAAGCGGGATTTCCAGAGGGATATTCTCCCCGGACTCTTTTCTCTATCGAGGCAAGAAATAACTGAAGATATCCAAAAGTTTGGGGGGCATATGAAAACCACAAACTACACCTTGAATTCTGGATTGGCTGCTCGAAGAAACTCAAAAAGAAAACGACTGGCCACTAACATGAGCGAAGCTCCAGTTAGCCAGTCAACAGCGCAGCCAAGGAATGAGAGGGTATCAGTGGTGGGACTTGAAGACGGTAACCTCACAGGATGGGGAGAAGCAACAAGAAGACCGAGGAGACAAAGGTGCTCTACTGCAGGTAATCCCGCAACCGTGATGTTAACATGATAGTTTCAGGAAATAATCGGAATTTGCTAAACTTGAAAACTCTATAGAGGGGGGTATAAAACAGAGCTTTTATAACAATCATTATACTACAGTAGACTGATGTTTTTTTTTTTCAATTATTCTCACCCTATGTTTTGGGTGATTTGTTGTCGTTTTTGTATATCTTGTCTTCTGTAAGATGGACAAAATATGATTTGCTTTGTATTATAGCCTAGTTGGTTATAAAACAGATAGATTTTCTTAAATGTTGTCACTCTTTAAACAGAACTAAAGTATAGTAACGCTTGTCCAAAACATAATTTGATTCTAAATATGTCACATCACTTAATCTAGGTTACAACATTTAATTGGTTACGTGTTACTTATGTTATCTACGCCAGATTAGATCAGAGGAGGGTCCATACGTATGTTGATTCTTCGTATATTTATTTTCTATACTTTTGTTTTTGTATGCAAGAATCACTTGAAAGAAAGAAACTTTATAGTTGGGTATTTAAAAATTATTGACAAAGGAACACTTGTGGCAATAGCTTGTCCTTAGAATTAGAAGTCCTTTTGCTTTCTTTTTCTTTCTCATTATTGTTTCACTTCTCTATTTCAGTTGAATTATCATTGAACTCTGCCACAAAAGCACCAAGGCTTTGTATGATTGATTATGAAACTTTGATTTACCTTACCAAAAGCATTCTTGAATCTGAAGCAAAAGAATAAATAAACAGATAGGAAACAATGAAGAGAACAAAAAAAAGATCAATGGTTTCGATTATCATTCATCGATAGGAGCAGGAAGATTGAGATCGATGAGTGTATGCATCTCATGAGCTACTTGGTGTTGAATCACCAAAGTCCTGTGTTCTTGATTCCCAATGAAATGTGATCTCTTGTGACCACCTAAAGCCTGACCTGATTTAAACACCCTGAAGCAAATTGGGCACTCGTGACCTTTGCTTTTCTTCTTTGCACCAGTACTTGCTTTCTTAACCATTGGGGATTTACTATGAATCTTGATAGTTCGGTTTGTGTCCGCACAAGAATCAGTTTCCAAGCTATACTCACCACTGTCATAGACAGATTCAGTGAACTCGTACTTGATTTTCTTACGACCATAAGAAGGAAAGCCTCGTTTGCTTTTTCTCAGATCATACTTTGTAGAAGAACGACCTGACCCTGATCCTGATCCTGACCCTCCTTCCTTATACCTGAATCTGTTCCAGTTCTTATCCTGTTTTGCTGGGGAGCTGTTGAATCCGGATCCAGATCCCATTACAGCCTTGCTGTTATCAAATCCAGTGTTCCTGAGGAACCCATCAACAGAAAAATCTGAGTCCAACTTCTTTGGTCCGTTCCTGAAGTAGCCAGAATCAGAATTATCTGAATCATAAAGCACATCACCATTATCTTCACCAGATCTCACCTGGTTATCCACATTAAGTTTGTTCTTCTTACATAACTCTTCAACATTGTTCACATTGAACATCTTAAGCTGTTCTCCTGAAGATGACTTAGTCTCAAGAATGACAGAGTTGTTGTCAGATGACTCAGCGAAAGAGTTCACCACCAGGTTATGTCCTTTCTTGAAACTAGAATCCATGGACAACAGCATCAGGGACATTGCCATTTCCTGCTGCTCAGGCTCGATCCCGGAAGCATCAGAATAAGCTGAATTGGATTGATTCATGATACCATTATCACCAACAAGAAAATTAGCTTTGTAGTGGTGTTTCACAACAACTCTCTTGGATCTTCTTCTGATAGGAGAGGAAGAAGCCTCAGTATCAGATTGACTGTCCATCACAATCTTCTCTCTCTCAGAGTGACAAGCCATGTGACCACAAAGAGCTTTAGAAGATACAAAACCTTTACCACATTCCCTGCAACAAAGAAGTTGCTGGTGTTGCTGTTTCAGAGCCATCATCCGTCTGTGATCCACAAACCTCTTGTTCTTTTTAGGATTCTCTCTGAGACCGTAACTAGATTGACCACCATTTTCATCAATCATCTTGAGCTTATTAGAGTCATCATCATCAGAATCAGCAGAGTTCTCGTTGTTCATGTGAGTTCTGATGTGACCTCCAAGTGATTTCCCACAAGCAAACCTCTTGCTACAGAACTTGCACACAAACTTCCTCTCTTTGAACTGTTCCATCTGAATCAAAACAACATATAAGAAGCAGGATCATTAGAAGAAGAAGAAATGACAAAAAAAAAGAAGGTGAAATCATCATCATTAGTCTTTGAATATACCTTATCAAATCTTGAAAGAAAGGTTGAGATGGCAAGAGAGAAAGAGAAGGTGGGAGAAGAGAATCAAGCAGAAAGCTTGACACTTTTTTCCCAGAGAGGGAGAGTAATGGGGGATGTAACAGTAGTCTTGTTAACTAGAGATCCTACCATCAAGCTAAAGAGGAACACAAAAACAGGAAACAAATAAAACAGACTTTGAAATTTCCTCCCATATCTAAAGTTAGCAGATTTGCTTTCTTTTTGGGGTTGGGAACGAATGAAATAAATAATTAATTAATTAATTATATTCATTCAAGATTTACGATATGCAAAATTCTCTAATTAATGTCAAATAGAAAGAAAAAAAAAAGATTAGGAGAAATGAGTGAAGACATGACCATTTGTCTAGGCGGATTTAATTCAGCTTAATAAGATCAGTGTAAGCGAAACATACATACACGCATTAGTTTAGTCTGTTTTTGGGATTAAAGGCCAACCAAACGAATAATGTAAGAAAGTAATTAGCAAATTCAAGCGAAAAAAAAAAAAAAAAAAAAAAAAAAGAGAAGATCCGACACTTTTTAGCTGAATCCATCATTTTGTTGCGATTAAACCGGTCCGGTCCAGTGATTTTAAATGGCCTAAACCGAAAAAAAATATTATGTGTATATACGAACAAACATTCTTTTTTTTTTTTTTTTTTTTTTTGAAAACAATACGAACAAACATTCTATATAATTTTTTCATCTTATAACCAAAATGCATTCCTGTTTTTTTTTTTTTCACTTTATAACTGAAATACTTTCTTCGCCAATTTTTTTTTCTTGTTCTATTCTATTTGGATTTCCAATTGTATAATCATCATCTTCCGTACGCAGTAGAAGTATTTTTTACATAAATAAAAAACTTTAAATTCTTTTTTTTTTCTTTTTCTTTTACAACTCCATACACACTACTACTACACACTCTCTAATTAACCGAGGAAATACACACATTACCAAAAACATTAACATTTTTCTTAACCGAGGAAGTATAGTTTTTACCAAGAATTATCAGAACTGTAATTTCACATTTTTCTTTTCATAAAAACTATGTCTACAACTTTATAACCTGTTGATTAAATCAGATGATATAACACGGTGCCAACATTAGTAAATGTTACATAAAATAATAATTTGGAAGGAAATCCCAATTCACAAGCTACATAATATTTGCTGAGTAAAGTTATACAACTAGTCAACTAGTGTCTATTGACAGAGACGAGCGACATAAATATCTTTACAGTGAGATATAACACGAGAGAGAGAGAGAGAGAGAGAGAGAAGAGCATGCATGTTGAATATTCATATAGACCAATGAAAACTTTATAGAGTTGTTACATAAATAAATACACATCTCCCAAATTAATGGAACTCATGCTTTTCTCCTCCACCTCTCCTCTCCCAACCATACTATTACTAACTCTTTTTTTTCTTCTCTTTACACCACTTAGCTTTCAAAATTATTTTTCTCATCAGAAAGACCTTTTGTAAAAATTACACTATTTCCAAGATTGTTTCCACACTCTACAACGCCCAAAAACAAGCGTGGAAATAGTTACAATATCTCCCCATAACGTAGGACTCCATATTACAAAAGATCAAGAGAGTAGAATATAATCAAGAAAGATCCTCAAAACAAGATCAAGGGAAAAAACTCTATGAAAAACACATATATCTCTCTCTTGAAGTACATGTTCAAGAAACGTCAAGAAATGTGTTAATTAAAAGAAGAAGAGGAAAAAAAAAATGTAACAAAGGTTGGTCATCTCTGTATATATGTATTACACTATTATGTATAGAAACTTGATGAGGAGGATAGGGTTTTAGTTGTGAAGCGGGTTTGGACCAGAGGGGACAAGTCTTTTGTCGACGCCGTACCTTGGGTCTATCTCCGGCGGAGGAGGAGAAACAATTGGCTGCTTCCGACTGCTACGGTGGATTCTCTGCAGCTCAATGCACATAGAACGCGCGTACGGTCGAGTGAAGGAGTCGCACGTACGGTGAGGAGTCACGTAGTACGGGTGCAGGTGAAGCCTCGGGACGAATCGCTGCGTTCGGTAACCGTAGTTTCTTGATGTCATGTTTCCTTCTCCGGAGACTGCTGCAGCAGAAGCGGTGGAGGTTTTGAGAAGTAAAGAGACGAAGAGGAGAAGGATCAAGATCGGACGGTTCATACGAGCCGTCGTCGTCATTGTTAGGTTTCCAAGAGAGAACGAGAGAGAAAGTGATGAGAGGTTCTTGGAGAAGGAAAAGTTTTTAAAAACTTGAGAGATCGAGGGAAGGAGAGATTTTGGTGGATACAAAACAAATTGGGATTTAAATGCAACACAGAAGATGCACATGAATCGATGTTATGACGGTTTGTTTTAGTAAATGAGAGAGAGAGGCCAAAACTGGTTCTTATTACAAAAATGTGGGTCACCTTTGCTTAGTTTCGTTCTCATAGACATAAATACTAACCCGTGAACTTTATATTATACATTTTCGATTGATTTATTTCATTTTCACGAGCTTTATACAGTACACGTACAAACTCATGGGTCTACTACGTTATTTCATATGAAATGTGTAGACAAGCGTCCTTAATTCATACAAGAGAACGTGTATTTGAGTTGTTTCGTGAGTCTCAAGCTATCTCTTGGTTCTTCTTATCTGAATCCCCCACTGCCCTATTAAACCACAAGTGTGATAATGTAATTAATTGGTCTTCCTTATAAACAACTGCTTAATGTCTGTATACGTTGCAGGCTTGCAGCTACTCTTTGTATTTACAATCAAAACATCATTATATATAAAAGCAAGAGACAATGGTTCTTATCTTGACTTTGTTTTAGGTAATATGAATACAGAGGAAGGCTTTATAGGTGAAAGCTTGAAATAAAAATGGAGAAGCTTAAAGATGGAAAGCTTTCTTTGAAGACAAGAAGAATGAAGTTCTCTGTAAGAAACATGAAAGGTCCCTAGAAAGCTGAAGATAATATACATCCAACACTCGAATTCATAACAGACAAGAATTGGCTCTAAGTGATAAGCAGATTTATATGAACAAATCAAAAAACTTTTTAGCACGTAAGCAACTTATAAAATCTGGAGAAAGCAAACAAACGAAAAGAGGGGATGAAACAACCAAAGAGAAGAAGAAACAGGGATGAGTTCTAAAGTTTCAAGCTCGATTCATTCTTCATCATCAGTATCCGCAGCTGCAGGAAGATTGAGATCGAATTGGTAACGCACTTCAGTTACTTGGTTGTGTTCTTGGTTCCCAGTGCCATATGCAATCTCTTGTGACCACCTAAACCTTGGCCTGATTTAAACACTTTGAAGCATATAAGGCACTTATGTATTTTCCTGTTCTTCTTTCCACCACCTGCTTTCTTAACCACTGGATCTTTGCTGTCTCTGAACCTATGAATCTTCCTGTTTGTGTCTGCAGATGAATCAGTTTCATAAGAAAACAAGCCCCTTTTGCTTGTTCTCAGATCATACTTTGATCCTCCCTTATCACTATTCCTTAACCTGTTTGAGTTGTTGAATCCAGCTCCAAATCCAGTGTTCTTAGGAGATCCGTCAACAGAGATGTCTGAGTCTGACTTCTTTGAGCTATTCATGAATTCAGATCCATCTGAATCACAGAGATCAATAACACCATTATCATCAGCAGATCTCAATTGGTCACCGTCTGCAACTTTACCTGTCTCTAAAACTTGACTCTTCACGTTAAATATCTTAAGCTTCTTTCCTGAAGATGACTTAGTCTTAACAATCCTGGAGTTTTTCTCAGATGACTTATCCCGAGAGTTCATCTCCCAGTTATATATATTCTCGTAACTATCTCCGCTATTAACCATCAACAAAATACAAGCCGCCCTTCCAGCATCTTGGTCTGTCTCAGAACCAAAAGACAAGCTCCCACTACTAAAATATTCTGAATCTGATCTTATAGTCACTTTCTTGGACCTTTCCCTCTTAGAATCTGAGGAAGTCTCAAACTCATGGCTATCCATCAACATCTTAGTATCTTTCTCAGAGTGACAAGCCATGTGAGCGTTAAAAGCTTTAAAAGAAACGAACCCTTTACCACAGCCTCTGACTTGGCAAAAACGTTGTTGTTTATGCTCCTCAGCCATCACCCTCTTGGATCTTTTCCTCGTAGGAGATGAGGAAGTCTCAGACTCAGTATCAGATTCGCTATCCATTAACATCTCCTCTCCCTTACGGTGACAAGCCATGTGAGCTCTAAGAGCTTTCAAAGAAACGAACTTGTTACGACATTCTTTGCAAGAATGCTGTTGTTTATGTTTCTGATCAATCACCCTCGTGGATCTTTTCCTCGTGGGAGCTGAGGAAACCTCAGACTCAGAATCAGATTCGCTATCCAGAGACATCTCATCTTCCTCAGAGTGAGAACAAACTTGTTGCTGTTGCTGCTTCTCTCTCTGACCCACCAACCTCTTCTTCTTGTTTCCTTTGTAATGATCTGAATGAATTTTAATGTGACCTCCGAGTGATTTACCAGAAGGAAACTCCTTGTAACAGACCTTGCATACAAACTTCTTCTCTTCCCCGTCCGCCATACCAAGTTTGAATCTTCTCCTAGCAAATGATCAAACACAAAACAAGCAAGAATCAAGAAAAGAGGTTTCTTTCTTTATAAGATGCTTTCAAAAGAACCCATTTGTATAAACTAATCCTAAATAGGTTTACTTAAAACCAAAATCTCTGAACAAGAATGCTACAAACCTGAAAATTCCTCAGATGCTACAAGAGAACGTGTTTTTGAATTGTTTCGTGAGTGTCAAGCTATCTATTGGGTCTTTATTGGGGTTCGACATGTTTAGGCTATCACTGGCCCAATAAGAGTCTTATCTGATCCCCCTATTTAGTGAAAATACCATATTTGGTATTTAAAGTTGTTTTGGGTTTTCTATTCATTTATTTTGCTTTCTCCTCCCTTCAATTGAATCAACATCTTATATTAAACACATGAACACAAATCTTTTTTTTTTTTGTTGTTGTTAAAATCAAAACATCATCATAAAAGCAAGAGACAGTGGCGTTTGCTCTTGTCTAGGTTTTGATTTTGGCAATATGAAAACAGAGGAAAGAGGTGAAAGCTGGAAACAAAAATGGAAAGTTAAAGATGACAGCTTTCTTTGAAGACAATAAGAATGAAGTTCTCTGTAAGAAACAGTAAAGGTCCCTAGAAAGCTGCAGATATATACATCCAACACTTGAATTCATAAAGAAAAGAATTGGCTCTTCTAAGTGATGAGCAGCTTTATATGAACAAATCAAAAAACTTTTTGATCTATCTTCCAAACCTTGAGCAATTTTTGAAAATGTGGAGCAAAGAAACAAGCAAAAAAAAGTTCTAGTTTCAGGTTCTGATTTCATTCATCAATATCTGAAGCAGGAACATTGAGATCGATTCGGTTACGCATTTCAGATGCTTGGTTGTGTTCTTGGTTACCAAAGGAATGTGATCTCTTATGACCACCTAAAGCTTGTCCTGATTTGAACACCCTGAAGCAAATTGGGCACTCGTGACCTTTGCTTTTCTTCTTTTCAACACCTGCTTTCTTGACCACTGGAGATTTGCTATCTCTGTACCTATGAATCTTGCTGTTAGTGTTTGCACATGAATCAGTCTCATAAGAAAACAAGACCCTTTTGCTTTTGCTCAGTTCATACTTTGATCTTCTCTCATCACTATTCTTCAATATGTTCAATGAGTTGTTGAATCCAGATCCAAATCCAGTGTTCCTCAGAGATCCGTCAACTGAAATGTCTGAGTCCGACTCCTTTGGCCCATTCATGAAGTAATCAGAATCAGAGCCATCTGAATCACAGAGACTAACACCATTACTATAAGCAGATCTCAATTGGTCATCGTCTACAACTTTATCTATCTCTAAAATCTGCTTTTTCACATTTAAGGTCTTTAGCTCCTCTCCTGAAGATGACTTAGTCTCAACAATCCCAGAGTTGTTGTCAGATGATTCACCCAGAGAGTTCATCACCAAGTTACATTTTTTCTTGTAACTAAAATCTCTCGACAACATCACCAAAGTATAAGCCCCCTCCCCATCTTCTTGGTCAATATCAGAAGCAAAAGACAAGCTCCCACTACTAAAAGATTCTGAATTGGATCTTCTCATCACTCTCTTGGATCTTTTCCCCGTAGGAGCTGAATAAGTCTCAGTATCAGATTGGCTATCCATCAACATCTTCTCTCCTTCAGAGTGGAAAGCCATGTGAACGCTAAGAGCTTTAAAAGAAACGAACCCTCTATCACAATCTTTGCAAAAATGTTGTTGTTTATGTTTCTGATCAATTACCCTCCTGGATCTTTTCCTCGTAGGAGCAGAGGAAGTCTCAGACTCAGTATCAGATTGGTAATCTATCAACATCTTCTCTCCCTCAGAGTGACAAGCCATGTGAACGCTAAGAGCTTCCATAGAAACGAACCCTTTACCACATTCTCTGCAACAAACTTGTTGTTGTTGTTGCTGCTGCTTCTCTCTCTGATCCACCAACCTCTTCTTCTTCTTGTAACTACCATTGTAACGATCTGAATCAACAAAATTCTCGTTCGAGTGAATCCTAATGTGACCTCCGAGTGATTTCCCAGAAGGAAACACCTTGAAACAGAACTTGCACACAAACTTCTTCTCTTTCTCTTCCTCCATATGAAATTTTTTGAATCTTCTCTTAGACAAATGATCAAACACCAAACAAGCAAAAGAATCAAAAAGGTTTCCTTTACAAAACGAAAGCAAAAGAAGCCATTTTTATATGATTAATCCTGAATGAGTTTGCTTGCTTACCTCAAACCAAAATCTCTTGAACAAGAAGAATGCTGCAGAAACCGACAAAACTGAAAATTCCCCAAATGCTACAGAGAAAAGAGAAAAAGAAGCAGCAAGTTTGATTCTTTCTCTGTGATCAGATTTAGAGATGTGACAGTTTCTATCTTAGCTAAGTACAAGATCCGACCTTCAAGCGAAGGGAGAAAGGTAAAACAAGCTTTTTTGTGTAATTTCACACAGTATAGTATCTCTCTATAAAGTTTCGATTTTTTTTCTTTTTAGTTTGGGAGAGGAAATGACAAACAAATGAAAAGAAAGAGAAGTGTTGCTAACACGAGTAATCAAAGGTCAGCTGCATTTTTGGATCTATTCCTACTCAACAAACCAAAACACTATCTCTTCTCTTTCTCTCTCCATCTCTCCCGGTGTGTGTGTGTTGTTCAATTCATGCATGGAATCAAAAATAAAAAAAGAAGATATGAAAGAAAAAGAAAAAAAGGAGAGAAAGCTATTGGACGGTCAAGATCTTTTTGGCCACTTCGTTCTAATCTCTCACCATTTTCTTAACTCATATATATTTCATAAAGATCACACATTTACGGAAAAAGTTTCAATTTTTTTTGCTATGGAAGATTTTTTTCCTTATTAGATAAAAAGTATTGTAAGACTGGTTGAATTAGAACACTCTTATTCGGGTTAGTAGTGGCCAGTGGGTGTATAACAAACCATGGGGCCAAACACACAAGGCCAAGGGAGATTAATAGAGACTTCTCGACGTCCATACAACAAAGCCTTAAAACGTTGTCCTTGAGAGAACCATCATAATTAGCTCTGCCCACATATTCTCCTATTCTAAAGCAACAAACTTTGGCATTGAATATTATTGTTTTTCTCTTTTCTTTTGTGTTTAACAATGAACATCTTCTTCTTCCTTTTTCAAACCCTTTAGCCACCTAATCTTACAAATGTTAGATTTTTGTATCTCTTTTACATGTTCAAAAGTGTTCGGTTTTTTTTTTTGTTTTGTTACTCATGATGATGGTTTCTTAAGGCAAAAGCCAAACTTTTGCCTTCAAACTTCATGAACAAAATTTAAAGATCGATGAAGAGAAAATCTTTTCTGCAAATCAGAGAGATTCTGACATTCTAAGTAAGGATTTTGAGCAAGAGGGACCCAAGAAAAGTAGAAACACCAGCCCATTCACAAGATTCCACATGAGAAAACAAAGGCTGAAAAATTCTTAGTCTAAAAGTCTCTCTCTCTCTCTCTCTCCCCGTTCTCTCTACTTTTAAATAGGAACAATTTTTTGTAGGAGGACCCCATAAAACCCGAATATCTCTCCCATGATTCTGGCAAGTTGTTGAGAATGATGTTGCTTCTTCACTTGTTTCTTGCCCAGGATCCATGACCAAATATCTCTTCCATGATGCTTTGGGTTGGTTCAAGGTTTCTGCCATTTGTTGACACATTTGTGCACTTCATTACATTCCCAACTTTAGTGCCCATGGGATCATCAATACTCTCCACCTTCTTCTGATCCTCTCCAGTAACAGTCTCATCGTTCTTTGCGCAGTTGACTGCATCATGTGCAAGTTCAAAGGAAGTGCACGAGTCATCTTCCACGTTCAGTCTCTCCCCATTGTTCCCAGAAACTCTATCCATATATTCGACTGTTGAATTCATCTTCTGCTCATCATACAGTCCAGTGCCACTCTCTCTAGTATCAACATAGTCATCATCATCTTCATCATTGCAGCTATTACTGGAATTTTCTTCACCCTCTTCATGATGAAGTGGATACACTTTCTCAGTCCCTTGATGAAGAGGAGACTCAATAGCAGAGTATTCTTCATCTTCTTCAGCATTTCGAGCACCCGAAGAGCCACCATAACATCCATGCCATTCATCATCATCACTATCAATATCCAATATATAAGTTCTGTTCTGTATGGCTCTTCTTCTGAGGATAAAAACATTAAAGTAGAAGCTAACAATCTCCTTCTGAGTTCGGGAACAAAATGCAGCTTCCAAGTGTTTCCAAAAGTTCCGACCCGATATAACAGGATTGGAATAAACAACCTCATGAAAAAGTTGTGCATCTTCATCACTCCAGTTCCATGCAACTGCTTCCCCCATATCACATAAGCCCAGGTCTTTAAATCTCTCACTTCCAAATGCCTTGACTAATTCTTCTCTAGCTTCTTGGATGTGCTGGCCCACACACCTGACAGAACCCCTGTCCCGGCAGATACAGAACTTTCTACCCTTCCCTACTATGTCATCCATATGTGCAAATGTATTCAAAGCAGGCATGGGAACAACACACGTACCAAAAAACTTCTCACCATAAGCACATTCAATATTGTGACTTTGAACCGTCGTGCCTGTGGGTTCTATACACCCAGTCTGCCTACCTTCCCATTCAGGAATTTCGGCTTGAAAACCTGGTCCTATGGGCACTTGCTTTCTGGCAGGTTGGTCCAAGAGGAAAGAATAGAAATTCTCAACAGGAGCAAACACTCTTGGAGGTACATCCAGCTCGAAAAACTTTCCAGAATGGGGAGAGTGTGTTGCATCTCTTCCACCACAACCGTTTGTAACCCATGTAAAAGTATCATCCATGTCATGACTGGGGTAAACAAAATTGGACTCTTCAAACATATCACCATCAGATGATTCACCGCCCTGTGACTTACACAGATTTCCTTCATTCACTATTGTCCAGTAACCCCACTCAAAAGAAAACAGCAAATCACATAAGCAAGTTTATTCCTTTCAAAACAAGACTAAATCCTACAAAGAAGTTATAAGGACACGTAATATTTACCCGTGGCAACAGGTTTCTGAAAAAGAGCATGGCGAGGACTAAATTCTTCAAACTGAGTCGACTTATCGGTATAGCCAAGCTGTCTTGAATGTTTGAGTGGGAGCTCATGATATTTCTCATCTTCAAAAGGGCGCTTGAATCCCATTTTCAACCTGCATAATGGGTGATAAATTGTAACTCACAGGAAGAAAAGAACATAAAAGTAAAATTCGGATCACAAATACTTATAAATAGAACAATAAAGCAACAACATGCGCATTTTCACAGTGAATAAAGTAAATGATTCCCCCACACAGTTGGAGAAAATGCATGGAAGAGACCTCATACAAACCCTAAATAGGATGGCTAACTGTATAAGTTCCCCTAGAGACAATAACTATACTATCATGCTACTTTAACAGACATGCACCACAACAAGAAACTAACATAAGTACTAAGGCTAAAGAGGACCTGTTCAGACAAGAATAAATGTCCAGTTAACATACGTGTTAATTACCTCTCTGAAGGGGAAAAGCTCGGACAAGGTTTCAGGCTAACACCACAAAGGATGGAATGCGATAAAACAGGGAAAGCCAATAGAACTTTAGGGGTTTAGAAGCTTAAGCTGGAAAAATTCGAAAATCCCCAAATCAGAAAAAGCCCTAACCCTAGACTCCGGTCTACCATAAAATTTAAACAAATCAAGTGTGGAATGGATAAGAATTGACCAAATCTATACAAATCAAGAAAAAGCCCTCTAATAATTTACAGATCTAGAACGCCCTGAGATAGATCGGAAAATATGAGCCCTAAATCCTAATCGGGGACGAAAAACACCAAATTGACATAAAATTTAATAGGAATATTTATGATAATAGATGTAAATAGCGAAATAAAACGATGGATCAAGATATTAAACAACTAGAGAGGAGATGAACAACCCTAACCCTAGAATTTTTCTGGCGAACGAAATAGATCAAAATTGGGATCAATAGATAGAGGGAAACGAGAAAAGGATGAATCCACAGATCAATTGCAAGATTAACTGAAAATTTCCAGTAAAAAAAAAAGGATAGAAAAAATTGGATTTACGATGAAAAAATTTGGGGAAGAAGACGAGACGAGGGCAGATAATATCGAGAAAAGTGGATACGGTTCGTGGATCTACTTTTTAAAACAATTCAAATTTGACCCGCAAAAATCCCTGAAATCGAGCTGGACCCCAAATTTAAGAGCAGTACACTTTTTTTTCTAGTCCTTAATGTTTTGTAAGTTTTACACATCATTCCCTTATTTTGTTCGATGCCACATTTAAACACAGATTTTGTTGGAGGAATTTACCATATATTGATAGTCTTATCATGGTTAAGGCATAAATTGAGAGATATTATAAGATTTTTATTCATAAACTATTCCAACTTAGGCAGATTCAGAATCAGCACATAGATATCACTGTTTCAGCTTGGTTACAATGAGAATCAGAATTTGAAAGGAATCTAAATACTATATTATATAGAAATGACATATAGTTTGGTCGAAGTTGGCTCCTTCATGCCACTGCAGGCATGTCCTTGAGCCATGAATCAAGCGGTTTACCAATGGAGTATACGATAAACCCGATCTCACGCAGCTTCACTGCATCGACAACGTTTCTACCATCGAACACGAAAGCGGGTTTCTGCATGTTGTCAAAGATTTTCTTGAAGTCCAAGGATTTGAACTCATCCCACTCGGTTAAGACACAAAGGCCGTGCGCATCTTTTGTTGCTTCGTAAGCATCTGAGACGATGTTCACTTGCTCTGAGCTACCTTCAGCTTTAATCTGCTGAAGAGGAACCGCGTGGTCCCAGTCAAACCTCGCCATGGAAAGATCTTTTCTAATCTGCTCTTCAAGGACTTGTGGGTCGTATATGCTCAGATTGGCCTTGTCAGCAACTAATCTGTTACAAACATCAATGGCTGGAGTCTCTCTCGTGTCACCTGTGTCCTTCTTGAAAGCAAAACCGAGGATTGCGATTTTCTTGCCTGAGACTGTGTTAAACATTGAAGAAACAACCCGGTTTGCAAAACGGATTTTCTGATAGTCGTTCACCTTTATGACTTGCTTCCAGTAATTAGCTGCTTCAGGCAAGCCGTTGCACTCACATATATAGATAAGATTTAGGATGTCTTTTTGGAAACATGATCCACCAAAACCAACACTAGCATTCAAGAACTTGGGACCAATTCTACTATCCGTACCCACGGCATGCGCAACCTGTGTAACATCAGCACCAGTTGCCTCACATAGAGCTGACATGGCATTGACAGATGATATCCTCTGAGCCAAGAATGCATTTGCTGCAAGCTTAGAGAGCTCAGCAGACCAGAGGTTTGTGCAAATGATTTGTTCCACTGGAACCCAATGAGCATAAACATCTCTTAAAGCTTTAATAGCCTTTTGCCCCGCTGCAGTATCCCTACCACCAATCAGCACACGGTCTGGATTATAAAGGTCCTTAATTGCAGTACCCTCTGCAAGAAACTCCGGGTTGGATAGAATCTGAAACTCTATGCCTTTGCTGTTATGAGTCAGTATCTTCTCGATAGCTTCCGCAGTTCTCACAGGAACTGTGGACTTCTCAACAACGATTTTGCTAGATTTGGAGACATCAGCAATCATCCGAGCAGCACTCTCCCAGTAAGTAAGATCAGCAGCTTTGCCAGCACCAAGACCTTGTGTTTTGGTTGGAGTGTTGACTGAGACAAACACAATGTCACTCTCAAAGACATGTTTTTCCACGTCTGTGCTAAAAAAGAGGTTTTTCCCTCTGCACTGTTTCACCACATCGTCCAAGCCTGGCTCGTAAATAGGAAGCCGATCACTGTTCCAGGCATTGATCCTCGGTTCAGAGATATCCACAACAGCTACTTCAATCTCAGGACACTTAAGAGCCATCACTGCCATGGTTGGACCACCCACATAGCCAGCGCCAATGCAGCATATCTTCACCATGTCTGAATATCAAAACTCCTCCTGACAATACAAAGCCATGAATGATATAGTCGACGAGAGTGGAAATTAGTCAATTATACAAAGGCAAAACCTTTAATGGAGACAAACAACAATGTAACAATTTCCAACAACTACAAGTCGATGATGGCCATATATATTGATTCGTCCAGTAGAGAGATCAAAAGTAAGTAATACACAGAACCGGATTTATAGATAAAAAAAATCAAAACACATGGATCTGTTTAAAGGATGGACAAGTGCGGCAATAAATCAAACACCTTGTAAGCTTAGATCTCTCAATTTCAAAGAACATGCTTTCAAACTATATAAAATTCCCACAACTTTTGACAATTATAGCGCAATGCACTTGGACCAATCTAGTTCTTCTGATCACAAAACGTAAAAACACAAACTTTGGTTTCTACGATCAAAAAGCGGGAGAGAAGAGAACCACCGACGAAACAGATAATAACGAAATACCGAACAGGATCATCGAAAAAAACGATACATTAACGAACGAGCGATCGAAATTGAGTACTTTTACCTCTCAGGTCTTGTTGCTTGAGAGACTTGATAGAGTTGGGGCTTGTTGTTGCCGGTGAAGAACGAGAGAGAGAGAGAAAGCAAAAGAGATTGTTGCGGCGAAGACGATGGAATGAGCAGAAGATGATATGTTCTCAGATTTATAAATAAATACACTCTCCTCTCTCACCCACTTGACTTGCACATTTCTACTTTTTATTTATTGCTTCTGATAAATCCCACACGCTATTTTTCTTTTTTAGGTTCAACTATTATTTACTATATCATTATCACTTACCAATGTTACCATAATAATAAGATTAATTTGTCTGCAAAATTGACTAACAAAGATTTAAGACGTTAATTAAACCTTATTTAAGGATTTTGACTCACTTTGTACACTTATCTCATGATTTTATAATAACTCTTTGCTATCATTAATTATAAAGATGAGTTTTTTTTTTTAAGATTTTGCTTGAAAGGGATTATCATTATCGATGGTTTTTATAAAGATGAGTTAAAACCAAATTTAAGCAACTCTGTTTTTCAATCATGAATACGGTATTATCTTTGCATTTATTTAAGTTATTAACCGGTAATTTATATATATATATATATATAAATCTGATATGATAATCATGAATTCGTTGATTTGGTGCATTCACTATTTAATTATTTATTTTTAATACGTTTTGGATAAATGACAAGTAACTTATGATGTTTTGTGTATTGTTTTGGTTTTTTTCAACAATTTGTAATATGCGGATTCAAAACCGTATAATAATATATAGACAACACTATCAAAAACACTAGAGTACAAGTCTTGATTTAATATATATATTTCTAAACTGAAATCCATAACTATTCATAAAGTTTAGTATACATAATGCGATTAATGGGAAATCAAGAAGTGGAGTTCAAGAAAGAAGTGAACCATTGAACAGAGTCCTTAGGGTATCTCTTGAGGTTGTCTCTGTAATCAACGAAGTAGAGACCAAACCTTGAGCTGTAACCTGCTGCCCATTCCCAATTGTCCAACAGCGACCAAACAAAGTAACCTTTCACATTGCATCCATCCTCTTTGATCGAAGCTTGTAAGCTCGAAAGATAATCATGATGGTATTTGATTCTCTTTGAATCTTTGAGAGCGTCTTTTCTTGAGATCAGGAAATTGTTTGCGTCGTCCATTCCTACACAAACAAAAACAGATCATGATATACATTTACAAACTCTGTTTCTTGTATCTAGTGAGTTTCAAAGATGTGTGTTTTACCATTTTCAGTGATAAAGACTGGAGGGTTTCCATATCTTTGTTTGACGTAATTCATCAAGCTTCTCATCCCTCTAGGCACTATGTACAACCATATTGAACTTGCCTGTCCCAACATCAACAACGAAATATTACATGTTTAGAAATTTCGGTCAGTAGTAATCATTTTTGGAATTTGAATAACTAAGTACGAGTCTAACACGTTTCTTACCCTATCTCCAATAGCGCTTAAACCCTTGAACGCTGAAACGTACAAAACAAAGAAGATTAATTAATATCAGATACTCATGACTAGGGTTTACGTGAGGGATAAGTAAAAGTATTTTACGTAGAGTAACGGTTCCAGAATCAGAAATAGCGTCGTGTAGGAGAGTGCCAATGAGATTAGTGGCATTGTTCCTTGCGTAGTACGTTGTGTAGTGATTAATCCCTACGAAATCTAGAGAACCCTTCACCAAAGCAGATTGAGACTTCGTAAAAACTGGTAATCTGCTTCCTACTCTGCTTCTCATCGAGCTCGGGTAATCCCCAAACATCAACGGATCCAAGAACCTAATCAAAGACATATCAGGTATTATCAAACTTGTCACTTAATATAATTTATAGAACACAATAAGTCGTTTAAAAATACATATATATATACCAGCCAAGTTGAAAGTCTTGAGCTCTTTGTGCAGCTTCAATGTCCTCTGTCTTGTTTGACTCCGGTTCGAACCACATTACATCAAACGCTATCCCTAACGAACCTCCTTGTTTTGCCTAATCATTATAATTATGTATCAAAACTTTTATCTTATTTTCATCTAGCATCATGTTTCCAAATATAGTATATATATATATTGACTTACCTTATACTTTTTCTTATAGAGATCAGATACGGTGGCGTGAGTTAGAATAACATTGTGACCGACAATGTAAGGCTCAGTGGATGAGTTCCCTGAACGACAAGTGAGCTTAAAAAGAATGGTGCAACGGCCTGGAGCTTGTAGCCCAACGTCATAGCCTTGTATCGCGAATGTGTGTGGTTCATTGAATGTAATCCAATGCTTCACTCTATCTCCAAATCTCTGGAAACAAACCTCCGCATAAGCTGCAAAATCATTTCTACAAATATCGCCTTTTGAAATTAGTTTCTACGTGTCTATATAATTAATATAAGTTTATTGAATATTTCTATGGTTTTTGTATGGAATATTACATGATTTGTGGGTTTAGCCAACCGAGGTATCGATCATGGAGTGCCTGAGGAAGGTCCCAATGGTATAACGTCACGTACGGCTCGATCCCTACAATAATTATTTTTGTTTATTTACAAGTGGAACGCGACCAACCACAATTTAATGAAGAAATCATATTCAATGATATATTGATGTTCATTGTATATGAGTACTATAGAATTTGAGATTATATTATAGACTTATTAAACCCTTAAAATCATGGAACAAAAAAGAAACGAAATAAATAAAATACCTTTAGCAAGTAAAGCATCAATGAGTTTATTGTAGTGATCGATTCCAGCTTCATTTATTTGTCCCACGCCATCTGTAAACCATACATAATATTATTACCAGAATTTGAATTATCATTAAATACTTCCTAATTAGTATCATTAAATACTTAATCTTAAGCAAAACTATAGAATAAACAAAATTTAAAAAAAAAAAGTTTAGAAGAACATATATATATACTTGGAAAGATGCGAGTCCAAGAAATGGAGAATCTGTAAGCGTCCATTCCCATATTCTTCATAAGTTGTACATCTTCCTGTTTCAGTTAACACACTTTGTTAATGAAATGTATAATGGATTGATATTTTTTGTTATTTAAAATTTGGTGGTTACCTCGTAACGATGATACTGATCAACAGCAACATCGGCATTGCTAAAATCGGTGATTTTACCAAAAGTGTGGGAAAATGTGTCCCATATCGTAGGACCTCTACCATCTGCCTTCACTGCTCCTTCGTGCTGCAGCCATTAATTGATATATATCATTAAATTTTACTATAACATACTAGGTGATATATACAGTAGGTCCATTTGCTTATGCAATTTGGTGTTTTCAACACTCAGCCCAAATTCCAACCAGAAAAATAATAAAAGGTATTTGAAACATTAATTGGGTGTGCTTTGGTTAGGTGAGGAACATTGTGAGACCAAAAAAGACTTTGGTTTCAACTTGACTTTGGTTATAATGGAATTGAAAAGAAAAAAAGAAAGTAGAAAAAGATAAAGGTGAAGATTGTGAAAATGTGCAAAAGAATGGGTCGTTGTTTGAAATCAAAAACCTAATATTGTGGAAAAAAACCGAAACCACAAAAAGAGGAGTAACTCTATATATTGGCTACCCGTGAATGATGAACATGGCTTGGTTTACGCGTCATGCACTCGTTTGTTTATCAATTTATATGGACCAGGTTTTCCAAAGAACATATAAGAAAACAAAAATACATTTGATCATACAGTATTTTGTGGGAATATAAACATATCACATGTGATCTTTATATGTTCTGATGTGACCTAATTGGTGAATCTTTTAAAGGAAGGAGTCTATTAATAACTCAAAAAAATAAAAAATTAATAAATAAATTAGAAAGAAAACAAAAGAAAGAGGAGAGAGTGGGGAGAGGAGAAGGGACCTGAAAAGCAGAGGAAGCAGTTCCAAAGACAAAGCCCTTTGGGAAACTGCCTCTAGAAATGTCCGCACAGATGCATGTCTTCTTATCTATCATCATCATCATCACTATCATCATCATCATCATCTTTGTTATCATCATGATGGATCCTCTTGGAGCCATCTCTCTTCCTTCAAATGTTTTCCTTCTCCGGCCAATCACATATGTAGATGGAACGAAACTGTTTTGGATTTAACAAGAAAGAAGTAAGAGAGACCAATGAGAAGAAAGAAAGAAAGAAAAAGAGAAGTGCAAGTGAGAAAGAAAAGCTATGTAAGGGATACTACTATATATAAGAGTGGGGAAAAAGAAAGAGATATGAAAATCTTCGGATCCAAGCCAATAAAAACTAAACAAATAATAATTTGATAACCAACGTTGTTAGGAAATCAGTATTAGAAAGAAAAAAAAATATGTATATAAGGGATAGACACGAAACGTATATAAAAACCAAACATTGAAAAGTAAATTCAATTTTACATTAGCATAAAGTCAGTGAGATGGATCATCATATTGATGTTACCTTGATCTTTTTATCAAATTAAAATTAGACCACTTAAGCTTCCTATAAGCAAAAGTCATAGTCAATTAAATTTATCCATATAATTCTTTTTGCTAAATTTATAATTTAGATTCTTATGTTTTATGTAATAGATTTTAAATTAAATTACTCATAAATTAAATTAAAATTTTATATTAGGATTATTCATAAATTTATTTATTTTTGATTTTATGAGAATTAAATTCACATTTTAGGATATCTAATATTTTTTCTATAAGAAAATCAATATCTATTAACTAAAACCATATATTATTATTATGGATTTTTATTTTTTATGGTAAAAACTAAGAATGACTCAACTCAATGTATAAAAGATTTCAATGTAAAGTAAAGACTATTTTTACCGGATCATCGGAAAAGGTTTATTCAAAAGAAAAATGATTTCAAACTAAAGTAAAGACTATTCTTAGAAACAAAACATAATATTTTTATCATTTTAACTTTTAATGAAGGGAAAATTGCATTGTATGTACCTAGATAAAAGTTTTATTCATTATATGTTAAAGATAATTCCATAATTAGTTTTGCTTTTTCTGGACAATTTTGACCCTATAATCATAAGTTAGCTGATAACTGAGTTAGCGCGATTAATATAATTGTACATTTAAAAAATAATATATTATCTTAACAAATAAATTATCCTTAATAAGGAAACAAAATATGTATATTTTTAATAAACATGGTTAAATAGATTTTCGATGTTTAGATTTTATAATTAAAACAAAACTATATATCGGTTTGGGTTTATAAATAGGGCTTAGGGTTTAGATTTTACAATTAAAACAAAATTATATGTCGGTTTGGGTTTATAAAGGAGTGGTTAGGGTTTAGATTTTACAATTAAAACGAAATTATATATCGGTTTGGGTTGATAAAATAGTGGTTAGGATTTAGATTTAACACGGTAAATATAAACTTATCACACAAATCATAAATTATCGCGATACAAAACAATTTAACACGATATATTTATAAACTTATACGTATATATATATTGTTATCATGGTAATTCAATAATTATTCATCTAACTTATAACATAATTTTACTTATGTATTTGATAAACAGTATTGTCGATACTTATATCATTATCTCGCTAAATAATTTGTTAGATGCGAAAGGATATTTTTGTCCACTTATACAAGTTGATGAGAGAGAACTAATTATACACTTATCAATGCTATATTCTTAATTTTTCAGTCAACTGAGTATAAAAATTTAATTCACCCTTTAATGAAACCATATCCTATTATTAATGAAGTCATGAGAGAGTGAACTCACTGACCACATTAATTAACTCAATAATATAGAAATAATAGTTATTATTATGATTAATTTAAAACCATAATATTAAACTCCTCCATCCAAAGGTAAAAGAACGAAAAAAGTCCGTAAATAGGAAAACAAAATTGTATAATGTGTTTATGCTTTAAGATTAGAGAGATAAACATCATTGGGATCGTGAGATTGTGTTATTGCGTGAGATAATGGGAAAGCGTGGATGTTTTTGTGTGGCTCCTCCCTTTTATATGGTTTTTTGTTCCCATTTGTCCAAAGAGTTCTCTAATCTTTGGCTTATGCAAGTGGAAAAATGACAATCAAAACCGACAATAATATAACGATCACTATTGCTAGAAAAAAATAGAAAATGAAAGATAGTTAAAACGTATTATAATACTATTTTCTTTTAGAAGTTTTTATATTCATTTTAATTAATTTCATTAATCAAATTTAACCAACAAAGCTAACAACTTTTAAAATCGTATACAATTTTTATATAAAAAAAAAAATCAGTAAACTAATATTTAATCGAGAAGTTCATGTTTGTACATAAAGTAATCAAATTAAAAATAATTTGATAGTTTATTATTTTACTTTGCATGGGTAGGATATGTAAACTTTAAGGACACATACATTACTTCGTTAAAACATTAAAAAGTAAATATAGGTGTTGACTTGACTGACTAGATCATAGTATCATGTAAAAGACTTATGCCTAAATATATTGTTTTCTTAAACTTAATAGTAAATCATCATTATCTAGATGTTGTCTCCTCTCTCGCAAAGTCATATTGAAGTGCTTGTTTATTAGTTGTTTAAGTTAAGGTTTACACGTTTTGAGACCGATCGAGTTATCATTGCTTTTACACAATGTAGAATATTGCATAATTATCCATTTATGATGCAACGTATCTTGGTGTTTTCGTCAAATCAAAAACACGTTTGTAACTTTTGCAGTGTTCTCCTTTTTCTATACAATTTTTTGGATTTTTAATTTGGTCTTTCCCTTTTTACCAAAGATAAAGCTTTCGTTATAGCTAACCAAATAGACTTATGATAGTTTGTGATAAACTCAGATTTTTTAAAGAGATTTTGAATGTTTTTAGGAATAATTGTTTGTACTTGTTTAACATTGGATACATCATATCTATGATTGGTTTTATGTATTTTCACAATATTACATGTTAGTAAAATTAAAATGTATGCTTTTGATTTTGCATTCTTCCACACTCTTTAGTCTTTACGGTTAAATAGTCTTTGTGTTCCCATTTGCTTTTTCCAAAAAATATATTTCTAGGCATCCCTTTGGGATTTTATTCTGTAGAATCAAATCCTTGTTGGAGTCTAGTACTTATGATAAGCACCCATTCCGTGTTCTGTTTTTTTTTTTTTTTTGTTAAACATATGTAAAGAGACTGCATTGAAGAAGAAGTCGCAAGTTGGAAGTATTAGCTCGTAAAGTCATTGCAATGCTTAATTGCTTATTTTGAAATTTGTCATACTACGACAACATATTTATTGTTTCTTTAATAAAAAGTGGATGGGTGATTTGGGGGTTACGCAATTACCAATCATAAGATTGTATATGCGTTTGCTAGATTCACACTAACAAGTCAACGACCACACACTACACTTCGTCTCTTTTCTCTGTTTTTTATTTTTCTCATATGCTCATGCATTTACCTATCCGTTCACACACTTGTGTTCACATCTATGTATGACCTCTTCTCAGGTGTAAATTCTAACTTTCCCAAAGCCAAAGTATCTATCAAACCACGAGCTAATAATATCAGAGATCAACACCGACATATATTATATAGCCTTTGGAACATTCATTATTCAAAACGACAGAGAAGACTTTTTTAAAAAACAATTTGTAAAACCATTTCGGCCAAACCAACAAAGGCTGTGTTTTCGTTTAGGTTACAGTAGCAACATCCATGAAAGAGTAGCAGAGCTGAGATCTGTCAGTTCTTCCTACCTTCTGATAAGATAATGTGATATCCGTGCCTGCAATTGCAATTACCGCACAATCACATTCATCATCCACTAATAATAAAGCCAAAATCAGATCAATGAAAGAAGAGATGGGATAAGGGCATACGTTGATTTGAAAGGTGTACTGGTGACTCCAACAGGTGTGTTGAAAGCGACATCTTGGAATGGACCTGCCATCTTTCCACGAGGGAACCATCCAAGATCTCCTCCTTTTTTCCCTGATGGGCACTCTGAGTACTCTGCTGCAATCTGATATAGTTCCCACGCACAAATCGTGTTGAGATTCCACCATTCATTACACACATTTACGGAAATATAGCTAACCAAAACTAAAACTTATAGGACTCGAAGAAAGATTATGAAGTATAAGGTAATGAAATGGGTTTCAGAAATTATGTAGATGTCACAGCTAGAGATAGAATAACAATACTATCTGAACTATCTTAGATTGATGTTTTATACCATGGAAATAAAAAGAAAGAAGAATGAATTTCACCTTTGCAAATTCAGCAGGAGGAACTTTGTCTCCATTGCTCAACCAACCATCCTGCAACTTTTTGTAGGCCTCGTTGATCTTGCCTTGCTTTTCGCACAAAACATGTCTTGCTGAAATAAAGCCATTTCAGTTTTGAAAAAACTTGTATGTTGTTGAACCACAAACGCTCAAGTTGTAAAAGAATTTTGGATTTCGAAACAATTTTTTTACAAAGACACAAGTATTAGGCACAGAAATGAACTGAAAAGAAAAACAAACCTTTAACATAAGTGCATGTCCCGAGACCATCAGCAGCTTTTCCTGCTTTGCCTTTACCCTTGGAGGGTGCTTCATCACTGCCACTTGCTTGCTTTCCTTTACCCTTCCCACCAGCTTTTGCGTCCTTCCCCATCTACTTTAAACTGTAAAGAAATAACCTAATATTAAGTTTACCACAATAATCAAATTTCAAGGGTTTAAACAACACTCACATCTTGTAAACCCTGGAACTGAAACCCTAAACCCCCTAAACCCTGAAACAACTCCAGTAGATTTTTAAATGTAGAAACAAAGCCAAATACAGGTGACATGGAATCTATACTGGAAGCAGATATAGAATTGGTAAACATGTTTAAACAAGTGGAATTATTAAGGCATTTAATCAAACACCTAGTAAGCATAGATCCATCAAATTCAGAATGATCAAAACACAACAAAATTACTTATTAAAAAAGAGTACTTTTAACATTTCGACGACAATGGAAACACGAGGAGCCCAAAATAGAATCGGTGCGTCCAAACACAGGATGATATCTCAAAAGGGGAATAAAAGGATTTCTTAGGCGGAAGATGTAGCGCCAATGACACTAACCCAAGTTTTCAATTTCTAGCCTAGAAATCAGAGAAATTGACCAACTAATAACAAAACCCATCTTTGCCATCGGAGAAAACACAAAGGGGACTCTATCTATTGAGACAATAAACCATGAAAACTGAATTGACAAGCTAAGAAATTTACAAAGACGAGAACTTTACCTTGAGGTTCTTCTTCTTTCAGATTGAACAATCGAGCATCCGAGTGTGAGAGAGAGAGAGAGAATTGTTCGCTTAAGAGTCTCGGCGAATCAGAATATATCTCAGTACGGAATATTAAACCCATATATTGATATGGGCTTGGCCCCATATGTTACTCGGGCTCCGGATTACTTAAAAGATTAACACTCTATCACATATGCGAGTCAGAGTTCATTTTACCAAAGTTTTGTCGTCATAGGTAAAAAAAGCAAAGGATGTGATCAAAGTCTTTAGTCAATTCGTCCTCAAAAAAAAAAAAAAAAAAAAAAAAGTCTTTAGTCAAGTCACAAGTGTATTTTCTGAGTCAATGAGACTCATCTGGGTTGGTCGTCTCTTCTTACTCGTACCGTACAAATCCTGTAGAGACAAAAAAATGAAGGCTGACAAGATAACTAATTAGTAAAAGTAAAAAGTGTAAAATATATTAAAGCCTTGGAGGGAATTGGCACTAAAATATATGATGAAATTGATGATGATTGCAAGATTTGTAACAATGTTAATTGAGATTGTATATCTGGTTAATCATAAAATTATAACACGAGGCCTTTAGGCCCAATAAGATACTCTTAATCCAAATACTACTATTTTCGTAATATCTGTCGCGCCAAAAAAGAAAATGAAAAAACAAAAGGGCGTTCCCAATTTTTTTTCTATTTTTCGTAATTTTTTGGGTCTCTGCTTCCACTGTAAAGCTGTATTCCAAAAATATTCAGAAATTGGAGTGATATTTTTAGGGTTTTACAAAAAGGCGGGTTTTGTGTCTCTCTTTGGTTATTTGGGATCTGGGTTTTGGTTAATCCTGCAAAGTAGCCACATTTTTGCATTCCGGAGAGATGGAGCAGCAAACGACGACGAAGAAGATAATGAAAGATTGTGAAGTTGAAGTCAGTTCTGAAGAGGAAGGGTTCGAAGGTGCTTGGTTCAGAGCTATTTTAGAGGAAGCCCCAAGATGTTTAGCAAGCGAAGAGCTTCGTGTCCGTTACTTGACGTTGCTCGACATGGACGGTTCGTCTCCCCTAATCGAACACATCGAACAGAGGTTTATTCGACCTGTCCCTCCGGAGGAGAATCGACAGAAAGACGTCGTTTTGGAGGAAGGTACGGTGGTGGATGCTGACCACAAAGACGGGTGGTGGACTGGTGTGGTCGTAAAGAAATTGGAGGATGAGAACTATTTGGTTTACTTTGATTTACCACCTGACATTATACAGTTCGAGCGGAAGCATTTGCGTGTTCATCTTAACTGGACTGGGTCGAAATGGGTCCGACCAGAAATTAAGGTACGAGGTCTCAATCTTGTTGTTTTTTCTTTTGCAAAAGGTTGCAACTTTTCTCTGTTTTTGATCTGTTGGTGTTAGGGTTCAACAGTTGAGAGGATCTTTCTTAAACCTGGTTTTGCTTTTGCTTGTAGTTGTCTCACTTTTTTTTGCTCTTGTTCTTGTTATATGCTATGGTCAGGTTAAAATGGGTAAAGGTTTTAGCTTTGATTGAGATGTTAGAGTAGACTTTAACTTCTATATATATGTTGTCCTTGAAGGAATTGGACAAGTCCATGTTTAGCTCCGGGACTATGGTGGAAGTTAGTTCTGCCAAAGATGTTGCGTGGTTCCCTGCAATGATGATCCAAGAGACTGATGAGGATGATAAACAGAAATTCATTGTGAAGGACTGGAATAAGTACTTGAGCTCCAAGGGTGATGAGGCAAGACCAAACAAGATAGTTGATTCGCGCCGTGTTAGACCCATACCACCTCCTTCTTCGGTTGACAAGTATTCATTGTTGGATTGTGTAGAGGCGTTGCGTGGTTCAGGATGGTATAAAGGGAAGGTCAGGAAAATTCTCCATGATAGACGTTACATGGTTAGCTTAGAGGCTACAAAGGAGGAAACAGTATTTAAACACTCCGATCTCAGGCCTTTCATGGTGTGGGAAGATGGAGTCTGGCTTGAGGATCCAAAGGTATCGATTACACTAATTTCAGTCAACATTATTTGGTTTATTGGCATTAAATGGTGCTGTAATGTTCTTTCTATTTTCAGCCAAAACCCATAAAAGATTCTCCTCCAAACGTCCTAAGGAATAAGCCAATTCGTTCTTGTTCTGGTGCTAAGCCAGTGACTCCTAAAATGGCCCCAAAGCAGATGAGAAGTTCCGTGAATCCTGAGGAGATTGACATGGCACTCACTGAAGCTGAAAATTCAGTTGTAAGTTAGACACTCACTAGTTTCATTTGTTATCGTTATGCCTTCGATGTTGTTTTACACATTTGTATTACTTGGAAATAGGCCACTGGAGATTTAGGAAAGAAGAGACCTGATGCTGTGATGATGAATGATAAAGCTCCTCCAGTCATAACCCAGCAAGTAACATCAATAGGTAACTTGAGTTTTCTTAACTCCCTGTGTTTAATTTCTGCATCACGAGTAATGATCGATAATGTTTTGTCATTGTTCAGCGAGAGAAACTGTTTCACCTGTAACCCCGTCCCCGGTCATAACGGCAACACCATTGAAACAAGCAGAGGCTTTAAGTGAAAGAAAGAAATCCCCAAAGAAGACACCTGAGCCACTGAAGAATCAGAATGGTTTGGAAAGTAGCCCAACTCGACAGGAGGTAAAGCTAATTCATCATGTGAAACTTTACCATTCCCGGTTTTCACTAGATGATCTTATTATCTTAGCCTCATAATTTTTATTAATTTTTCAATGCAGATGTCTGAGGAGGAGAATGGCGAAGATAATAGCAAAAAAAGGAAAAGAGAACAAAGACACAACTCAGACGTGGATGCAACTGGTATGTCTAAATCCGCATTAGCCATAATAGTTTTGGCTTTCTTTTTTTTCTTGCCAAATCTTTACCATATCAGTGGTTTTAATTTGTAGATGGAACTTGCAATGGTTCAAAGGCTCAGATCAATGATACAAGTAGTAACATATGCATTGATGATGTTGATGAGCAGCCTCTCTCTGCTTGGATAAATATATCTACTCCATCTACCGGTTGGGTTCACTATACTAAAGTTATTTCTGTTCAAAGTAGCTTAGACACATCATTAATTTATGTAGTGTATGCTAAAGCAATTTCTTTTTCTATTGTGCATTGATTTATGCAGAGAGATCCTCTGATCAGATCCCAAATGTGGTAGATAATTCTGCTGCTGAAGTTGAGGAACCTCAAGCAAAGCGTACACTAATGAGTCTGCCTTTTGAAAAGAGTCTGCCATTTTGGAAGACATATGAAGCAGAGGAGGCATACAAAATAGTACCACAGAACCCTCATTTCACCCCATTGGTGGAGGCTAAAGAAGATATCCGGGAATGGTCAGCTGTAGGTATGATGGTGAGCTTCTATGGGTTGTTAAAAGAAGTCAAAGATCTGCGGCTTGATGTTTCTTCTAGTAAACTAAGTAGCCTCAGTAGTTCTTTTGCCGAGCTAGAGAAGCATGGTTTCGACGTTGCAACCCCTCAGTCACGGATCGACAAAGTGCTGTCTCTGCAAGATGGGCGAGCAAAGAAAGTGGAGGAAAGAAAATGTCTTGAGAAGAAGATTGAAGCTGAAGAAACCGAAAGGCACAAAGTAGAAGAAGAAATGGTCGAGTTAGAACGTAAGATTTTGGAGCTGAAGAGACAAGAAGCGGTTGGGAAAGAGAAGAAGGAAACTGCGGACAAAAAGATTGTTCAAATGAAATCTTGTGCCGAAATCATTGATCAAGAGATTGCAGATGTAGAGCTGGAGTTTTTAACATCTGTGTTGGCTCCCTGGTAAATAAGTTAGAAATGAATGTCGTACTAAGCTCTTAATAGGATAAAATGAAGTAGATGTAAAGTGACTTGTCTGAGATCTTCTTCCGCATATGGTTTTACTAACGATGATCTCTATGAACCGATTCAACAACTCTCTTATTGATGTTACCAATGCGTCGTTGAAGGCTGAAATGCTGATATTAGGACGAATTTCCTGATCTGGCATCTGCTTAAGCAACTCCAAGGGGAAACTGAAATGGGTGAGAACATGAAAAAGTGAAGAACCATAGTTAAAGACGTTTATACTTCCTCAATAGAAGATGTTACTGTTCCCTCTCCATTGCATCCATGCTGACCGAAGCAACTAAAGCGCATCATACACAAGAAACTCTACTTGCTCAAAGCCTTCAGAAATGGCTGACTCGAGGAGGACAGGAAACAAATTGGCCTTATGGCTACTGGTGGAATTCATTCTCCCTTGAAGTTCTCTATTCTCCTTTTAGTTCCTCCTGGATCCTTGAATCTGAAGAAACAACCTATTGAAGCTCACATTGGTATACTCCTGGAGAAACTAAAAAACTATAATACCATTTGCAAGAGATTGGTTTGTTATAAAATTAGGGGTTTGGCAATTCAACCGAACCGCAAATTAAATCGAACCAAACCGAGTTGATGTGGGCTCGGGCCCATACACGAAGCTCTGAGGCCTGAGCGAAGAAGAGTCTCTTACGGCGTCTCTGCATAAACCGGCGATGCTCAAGGAAGGAGGCTGAGGGAGTGCAAAATGGAAGATGAAGAAGAGCCACCGATGGCTGTTCAAATCCGACCGGATGTTTCTGTCGGAAAGAATCTCTCATCAAGCGACGCTGTTTCAGTTGGTGTCAGTGTCATCACTGGCTATCTCGGCGCGGGAAAATCCACCGTAAGTAATGAGAAAGTCTCTTCCTTTCGATGATTTCAGGTTTTCGATTGTTGACTGTGGTGTAATATGATTGGTTTTATTCTTAGCTTGTGAATTATATACTGAATGGGAAACATGGGAAGAGAATCGCTGTGATTTTGAATGAGTTTGGGGAAGAGATTGGAGTTGAGAGGGCTATGATAAACGATGGAGAAGAAGGTGCCATTGTTGAGGAATGGGTTGAGCTTGCTAATGGATGTGTTTGCTGTACTGTTAAGCATAGCCTTGTTCAAGCTCTCGAGCAGCTTGTTCAGAGAAAAGACAGGTGCTTTTTCTTTTTCCTCTATATTGGGTCGAACTCTAAACTGTTCAGCTCGCGAAGTCCCCACATTTATGATCTTCTGCTTAATTTTATAGTCTTACTGAGATATCTGTGATGATCGTTGTTATCGTTATAGCTCTAAAATTTGGTTAAGGCTTAATGAAGCCTCAAAGCATAGGCTTATATGTCAATCTTATTTGAAGCTTTGGCATTTCTCTTTTGTTCTTCTTTTTAGTCCTCTGTTCGGAATATTACTTCTCCTGAGTGGTAGTTGCCAACTACTAGTTGAATCTGAGACAATGCATATTTGATTTATTAGACGTTCTGCTTTTGGTTTCTCAAATGCAGACTTGATCATATATTGCTGGAGACTACAGGTTTAGCAAATCCGGCTCCACTGGCTTCTATCCTTTGGTTGGATGAACAGTTAGAATCAGAAGTCAAGCTTGACTGCATTGTTACTGTGAGTAGTGAACTCTTAAATCTCATTTACTTCTTCTTTGTTAAGCTTGGCGTTGCTTTTATATTTCTAGTATCATCTTGTACACAGCAGATGGAATCAAATACATCGAATTGTGTTATCCACACTAGTTTTAGGTCTATTCATCATATATAGCTAGTGATTCGTTTTTTATCTGGTTACCTCTTTATAGGATACATGTCTCAGTTTGAATACTCTCTCCCCAGTAATGTAGTGCTCAGGAATTTCTTTATCTAATGCCTTTACTGACTTAGCTGCTTGAACAGGTTGTGGATGCAAAAAATCTTCGTTTTCAGCTCAATGAGCGCCGTGACACATCCTCGTTTCCCGAGGCTTTTAATCAAATAGCATTTGCGGTAATCGTGTTGTGACAACCAATGGGTACACTGACTTATCGCCTTCGGCATCTTATATCTCACCTCATCATGATGAGATTGTTTTATTCGTATTGTAGGACACGATAATAATGAACAAGGTGGACTTGATTTCTCAAGAGGAGTCTGATGAATTGGAGAAGGAGATTCATTCCATCAACTCACTCGCCAATGTTATCCGGTCTGTTAGGTGCCAAGTTGATTTGTCCAATATATTAAACTGCCAGGCATATGATTCAACTGTTAAGTCTCCGAAACTAGTAATCTCTTCTCAATTTCTATTCATCCTTTTGACTGCAAAACTGAGTTTTTTTTTCCTTGTTGAAATTAGCATGTTAGTCGTCTGGAATCCCTGCTGGAAGCAAATAAATCATTAACGACGACAGATCTTCACGATAGTGGGGTAAGGACTCTATGCATCAGCGAGCCGCAACCTATAAACCTCGATAAGGTAGCAAATTTATTGAACAATCTTGGACAATTAGTTAAGAAATAGTGTTCTTCGTGATACACCAACTTGTTCTCGGTTTGACAGGTTCGTTTATGGCTAGAGGAAATTCTGTGGGATAAAAAATTGGAGATGGATATATACCGTTGCAAGGCTGTGTTGAGCATTCAAAACTCAGACCAACTGCATATATTGCAGGTAATGTAGTCATGAATTAAGGTCTTGAGATCCTCAGAATGTCATTCACAATCATGTTGGTTACTAAATATGCGCAGGCTGTTAGAGAGATATATGAGATAGTGCCAGCGCGAAAATGGAGCGAGGAAGAGAACCGGACGAACAAAATAGTATTTATAGGTCATATCTCCTTTTTGCATCATTGCTCCCAACACTCTTTTTCTCTCTGCTTGCTGATTCAAGTAACTGAATAAATATACAGGACACAAACTGGATGAAGAAGTTCTTAGAAGCGGACTAAGAGATTGCAGACCCTAAAGGAGAACACAAAGTTGCAGTGACAACCAGATTGGTCTATTTTGGTTTTCTCCCATCTGGCTTTTAAGTTTTAACGTCATGCACAATACTTTATATCAATTGTTAACTTGATCAGTTGTTTTGTATTATAGATTTGTAACAACAGTGTAAGGTTATTTAGTTTTACTATTATAATCATGCTAATGGACTGGTAAACGTTGGATATGGTCTAGAGCAAATCGTAACTAACCCCAACACTGGTAGTTTCATATCGTTACCAAGTATCAGAACAAGGGGAAGGGCCGTAAAAAGTTTTTTCGGGTATGATTCAGTTCGTGATCAATACAGAGTGTTGTGAATGACGGAAAGACTTTATGGCCATCAACAAGACCCATCGTCTCAAAATCAAGTGTTCACATTGGGAGAGAAAAAGCCATGGAAGATGATCAAAGGGGAAACTAGCCATAGCCACTCATATCACAGCATTTACACTTGATGTGTGGGTTATATGGATCAGGATGGTGAAAACACATGAATCGTTGAAGAAAATAACTTTTAGAATTGGATTTTGGAATAGCTTAGGCGTCAAAGGCACTACTCTTAGGTACGGGTGGGTTTATCTTCGCACCATCGCTCTATTGTGGTGATTTATATGTCTTCCATTACAATCCTGATAAGAATAGTTTTATAAAGATTAAAGATTGAAGTTCCCGCAGACTGTGATGAGTTCAAAGGTCGTTGCATAAGACATATAGTTTTTTCGGATTACCTAGAGAGTTTTAGTTTGTTGCCAGAGAGACAATTCATGATTTGATACCCATAATCTTGTTTCTTTTACTTTCGTTGATTACTCTATTGAATTGTTTAGTTTTATTTCATAAACAAACAATGTCACCATTTGTTTCTAAAATCACTTGGACCTTTTTCTCTTTGTCTACTTGTTTGAGACAACCATTGCTTTCCAAACAAAGAAGAAACTTCAAATTTGTATTTACAATAATGTCAGAACTGTTGTGTCTGTCTATAACTTAATTTATCTATCTCTCCTTCTCTCTCTTGTAGTCATCTTCTCTCCATACCTCTGGAATATGTCAGCCAAATCAAACAAGCTCACTTCTCTAAGTTTCTTGGCCATCTCTTCAAACATAACCACACCTTCCTCATTAGAATAACATTGCAAGAACTTGCTGTAATCAAATTTAGGAACTTCAAGCCCTCTCTTCAACGTCCTCTCAACATACTTTGTTGTTTCCAACCGTTTCCCTGCCTTGATCATACCTCCAACGAATATCGTATCGAAATTTACTAGCGGGTCTGGTCCTTTCCTTCCTCTTCTCCCCAAATGTCCTTGCAGCAACATAAGATACGTATGCATTATCGGCTCGCATCCTCTCTGTATCATCTTCCTGAAAACTTCAGTCGCTTCGCTTGCCCGTTTAATCTTCACATTCCCTTTAATTAATGCATGATAGATACTAATATCCGGATTCTCAATCCCTTCCACCATTTGATATGCCTCTGCAACCCTCCGTTTAGCCAATAGCCCGTAAATTATCGACCCACAAGTTAAGTTATCAACCTGAACACCTCTCTCACGCATTTCATCAAACACCTTACGTGCCATATCAATCCTACCATTTTTACACAACCAATCAATCATAATCCTGTAAAAAGACCCATCCAAATCACCACCTCTTTTCGCAACCATCACGTAAAACACCTTGGAAGCTTCATCGAACTGGTTCTGCTTTAAAAATGTTTCCAAAATCTTTTTACCAGCTTCAACATCAACCTCAAACCCTTCATCCATCATCAAATTCCAAAGCTTAGCAGCTTCAATCAAATCACCAGCATCGCAAAACCCTCTAATCATCGTCCTATAAGTAACCTCATCAGGTTTGATACACTCTTTCAGCTTAATAACAACAAACTTAGCTTCTTCAACAAGCTTCTCCTTACACAGAGTCTCCACGCCCCTATTCATCGTTTGCACATTATACAAATACCCAAAACCGTTCATCAGATGGAAGAAGCTGACACATTTCTTCAACTCTCGAGCAGAAGCAAGTGTGCTCAACACAATCCGAAACGTCTTATCGTTAACCAATCCACGCTTCCCGATCTCTTGAGCCAAGTCCCAGAAAAGATCCATGTTTCTCGATTTCCCAATGACTCCGAGCATTTTATTAGAGGTAGTGGAGGTGTGGACAAAATCGGGATGGTGAGTCTGAGAATAGAGGAAGAAACGGTGTACCGGACGCCACGAGAGTGGGAAATTGTTGCAGACTTGGAGGAAGAACTCGTGAGTTAGTTGAAATTTTGTGGAGGAGAGTTTCGAGTCGAGACGTGAATCAGGCGAGTTTTGTTGCTGGTAGAGGATCGTACAGACGCGGAGGAGATGGTCTTGGTTTACGGGCGTGATGGTTGTTGTTGGAGTTAACTCGGTGGAGAACCGCTTGTTGAGAATTAAGAATCGCCGAATTGGGTTTCCGATGTTAATCATCCTCCGACAAGGAACAACGGCGATAGCCATGAGTTTGCCGACGAATTCAAAAAATAGAGATAAGACATTTATTTAGGGTAAATTACGAGTGTGAGTGAAAAAGATGGAGATGCGGGGGATCGAACCCCGTGCCTCTCGCATGCAAAGCGAGCGCTCTACCATTTGAGCTACATCCCCATTGACGTTTGAAGTCGTAATTAAAACAAAATATAAAAATAAAATATATGTACATAAATCATATCGTGTCATGAAGGAACGAAAAGTTCGTTAAGTTAGTTAGAATGAACAGCGAAGAAAAACCCAGGAATTGCGCAGACACAGAGGCGCGCTCGGATCTCAAGGTTGAGATTTAGTCTTCTTCCGCCATTTGCGAACCATCTTCAATACTCTTTTTATATTTCTCTCTTTCCCTCCCTCCTCTTTCGAAATCATTTTTATTCTCTTTTATTTATCTATCTCACCTAGGAAAACAAACACAAACCGATAAACTAAGATCTCTGTTTTCAGACGAATTTTCGGAACAAAATGTCCTCTTCAGGATCCGACAAAGAGAGAGAGACTTTTGTCTATATGGCTAAGCTCTCCGAACAAGCCGAGCGATACGACGGTAATAAAATGTCTATTTCATTTGTCTATATGTATATATATATATATGCGAGAATCTCTGAGAATTAAAGATTTGGTGTAATGTAATATGCAGAGATGGTGGAGACGATGAAGAAAGTGGCGAGGGTGAACAGTGAGCTGACGGTGGAAGAGAGGAATCTATTGTCTGTTGGTTACAAGAATGTGATTGGAGCAAGAAGAGCCTCGTGGAGGATAATGTCGTCGATTGAGCAGAAGGAAGAATCCAAAGGCAATGAATCAAACGTGAAACATATCAAAGGTTATCGCCAAAAGGTAGAAGATGAGCTCGCCAACATTTGTCAAGACATTCTCACCATCATTGATCAGCATCTCATCCCTCACGCTACCTCAGGGGAAGCCACCGTCTTCTACTACAAGATGTGATAACAAAAACACTCGTCTTGCTTTCTTGCATCATCATCTACAAATGAAACTAAAATTTTATCTGGAACTTGTAGGAAAGGAGATTATTTCCGTTACTTGGCTGAGTTTAAGACCGAGCAAGAGAGGAAGGAAGCCGCTGAACAGTCGCTCAAAGGCTATGAGGTATTGAATATGTTTTTTTCTCAAACACTTGTAGATTAGGAGAATTTTGGTCTGATGCATCTATCTTTGATTAGGCTGCAACACAAGCTGCAAGCACTGAGCTTCCTTCGACCCATCCCATTCGTCTTGGCCTTGCTCTCAACTTCTCTGTTTTCTACTATGAGATCATGAACTCTCCTGAAAGGTCTCAATCTAAAACATCAATTAATTAATAAAATATACCATCAAGTGTCAACTTTGTTGTGATGTGGTTTCTAGAAAACTGTTGCAGAGCTTGCCATTTGGCTAAGCAAGCCTTCGATGAGGCGATTGCGGAGTTAGATACTCTAAGCGAGGAGTCATACAAGGACAGCACTTTGATCATGCAACTCCTGAGAGACAACCTCACCCTCTGGACTTCTGATCTTCCTGAAGATGGAGGTCTGTCTAAAAAAATCACACAGCACACATGATGTCTCAAACTGTTTGAGCTTAAGAAACGGTTTTATATATGTTTTCAGGGGAAGACAACATCAAGACTGAGGAACCCAAGCAAGAACAGGCTAAGCCTGCCGAAGCCACTGAGGTACTTCACCTTAAAATGAAGAATATGGATTGTTTTTGTTTGGTCAAAGCTCAGTGTTGTTTTGTTTGTTTGTTTCCAGAACTGATCAAAGGGCTTGGAAGGTGAAATGAGATTAGATTCGATGCCCAGAAGGGGGAGGCAAATTCCTTTAAATTCCATAGCTTGGTTTCATCAGGAAGATGGGGTCAGAGACAATTGAAGTCAATCCTATATTGTTTCTTTTTTTGTATTACTTTTCTTCATTATTATGTTGTCAATTTTCATGTCATCGAGTATTTTATGTTATGCAATTATGTTATGATTGGATCAGATATGCTTTTGCTGTTATACATTTACAAATATACAGATCAATTAAGTGTATACTAAAGATTTGTCAAATGAACGAACAAACACAGACTCTGAATGTCAACATGAAAAGAGCGTAAACAGCAAAACAAAAAAGCTTGTTATGATTATTAAACTCTTCGACAGAGTAAAAAACATCATTATTGCTGATGGTCGATGGACATTCAAACTGCATAATTTACAGAAAAGAAGACTTAGCATAAGAGTTGAGGACAAAACCTAACCATATACAAAAAGATGGGAAATGAAACAAAGATCTCCTCTTCTTGCTCTGTCATTGTTCTTCCTTATCAAAGAAACTCTGAGGCAAAGTAAAGTCTTCTTCATGATTCAGAATGTCAATGTCCTCATCGTCTGATTTCTGAAAAGATTAAAACAATTAGCCTAACTCTAAACAAGGCCAAGAAGTACTAAAGCTATGGGACACAATACTCACCAGCATCTCGATGTTGTAAAAACGATCGAGTAGCTGCAGAACCTCATCCGCTGTGAACTGTCGGTCAAAGCTATGGGCAAGAATAGTTGATAGAAAGACTTGTTCAATAACGATCAGAGCTCATTCGATTAAAGTATGAAAGAAACTCTACAAAACAAACCTTCTTCCAAGATACTCCATCATACCATAAAGAACAAAGTGGCGATGTATCCCTGCACACCATCATAATCCCATAAGTAAAAAAGCAAGAACTGATCAATCCCCAAGAACAAGAGACATTGAAATGATTAGCCTTGTTAATGGTTTATAACGGTTTCTGATCACAAGCATGATGGAAAAGAGTAAACATTTGCAGAAGCATCAATCATGATAGAAAAGTAGCTAAAGGATTGAGATTTGAGTTGTGAAACTTGCCTCGGAGTTTAACAGGAGGATAGATTTCAAGAGCTTCTAATAACCTAAGCTCTAATTCAACCTGCGACTGCTCCTGAGAAAGCAATCCAATAAAAGAGGAACCTTTAAAATCTCAGAGCATATAAGGCAGGAATAAAATGGTAGAGAGAGAGAGAGAGAGATAGAGGAAAAAGAGAAAGACCTTGGAGAGAGAGGAAGCGGATGAAGGTAAGGCTTTACAGGGAGAGTGTACGGACATGCCGTCTGGCTCTTCCTCTTTCTCTTTCCCTCCGCTACTTTCGTCCATTCTTCCACCCATTTTTTTAGGGTTTTGTGGCTTTGATCCCAAAAATGTGTAGAAAACTTCTCAAAATCTGTTTGTGCATTGTTGTGGGTATATTATACAGCAGAGTTTGTTGGATCTCTGTACTGGGGCGGCCCATCTTTAAGGCCTATATTAGACGAAAATGTCAAATAAGCAAAAGAGAGGGTGCAATTGGCCAGTTAGTGGAAACTGGATACTGATTCTCATACAGCTATTGTAAATTGTTTGAATAGATAATATATCTTTTTCTCAATGAAAGATAATGATATTACGTGCACATTTATCGCTGATTTTTAATGTGAAATTAAATCATGTAAGTTATGGAAATTTTGGTTTAATAAACAAATTTGAGGATCCCATAAAAGTATAAAAAATGCTGATATGAGAGAACACACTTATTATATATAGACGCATTTTGGATTTCAATTGTTTAGTGCTCGGCCCCTGGAGTAGTCTATGTTGAACAGCATGTTCCTGCGGTTCTCTGTTCCCATCCTGATTTGAAACTTCTTGGCCAATGCCTCCACTTGATCATCGTTTTCATTGTCCATTTCCCTCACACATCGCCTTCTGAGCTTTTTCAATGTCTCCCTGGAGGGTTCAAATCCAGCCTTGATCTGTATAATTGGAACATGCATTAGTTTCTCAGAGCCATGTAAGCAAAACACTTCATTCTCTCATAGTGGTTACTTTTTGTTTGTTAACTCTGGTTTACCATGTCATCAACGACGGTCAGAGCTGACTTGGGATCCCGGTTAATGAGATGAGCATCAACCAGCAACGAGTACGTCCGGGAATCAGGTTTAACACCTATGCTAACCAAATGCTCGAACACATTTGTGGCCTCAAAAGTCTGCAAAGCAAATAGGATAGAGTCGTTAGGCCTACTTGTTCATTCATGAAAAAAGAATATTAAAGAGTGAGTTGATATCGAAAACACCACCTTCTTGACTTTTCCAAATGCATATAGTAAAGCATTGTATGAATCGATATTAGGAGTCAGCCCAAAGGAAGCACTTATTGCCTCAAACGTCTGATAAGCACGATCCAGATCCCATGTGTTTGCACAGCCAAGAATTATACAGTTTAGAGCAGCAACAGACTTATATGGCGTATCACCTTGACTCAAACTCTCCAACTGGAAGTATACCTGGTGGATTATGTGACAGTGCAAGGTCAGATCAGCTAAACGTTATATCTGCTTAGTCCCTGCACTCTAAAATGCATTAACATTCAGACCATGATGCTCGACTTCGATAAACAGGTTTTCTGGAATTGTTCTATTAAACTTTCAGAAGTTTCCTAGTCTACTAAGTAAATTAGCCTATGACCCTACATTAATTCTTGTTACGAAGAAAACTGAGAATATGTAGAAAAATTACCCTTAGAAAGAGTCGAGGTATACCTCATCCAATGTCTCAAATCCTTTCTTAGAGCACGCCACAACCAGCGGGTATAAGGATGTAAACGGTGAAAGCATTTCCTCCACAACTTCTTTTTCGGAGTCTGCATACGCGGATTCAAGTTCATGAAGTGATGTGAAAGCTTTTTGCAGATTCCCCAACGATGCATAGGCATTTATCTTTGCAATGTAAGATGCAGGGTTGGCTGCCTTCCTCCCACGCAGACTCTGTTTCAGAATCGTCCATGATCCTTCCACTAAAGATGAACTACATGTCCTAGCAGCAGTTGCAAGACCAGCTACTACCAACCCTTCATCAACAGAAAGAATAACCGAGGGCCTAGCCATTTCACCTCTAGTGATCCACTTAAACATAAATTCAAACGCATAAAATGCTAATTTGCTGTTATCCTCTTGGATTGCAACTTCTGCAATATAATTACACAATATCCAGCTAGGGCAAAGTGACTTGTTCCGATCAACAGCCTGCAAAACAAGAATACAAATTATTATTGATAGAAGCGACATCAAAAGCTTCAAACGTCAACAGATGATAACAAAAACTTGTCTGTACCTTACACCTCTCGATGATGGAGACCAGTGTGTCTGTCCTACCTTTGGCTACACAACTACGAACACATTCAGTAAAGACTGTGGTGGATAACATATAACCGGATTTCAGTGCCATATCCATAATTTTCATGGCTTCGTCATTCTTCCCAGTTCCAAAAAGCATTCCAATAACCAAATCATATGATTCATCATCCGGAAGAGACTCCTTCCCCAACAGGAGCATCCTGACGTAATTACATCAAGTCATGATACATTTTACTAAAAAATATACATTAGCATGACACCAATAGCAGTGACAGCTATCACTATCAGAGATGACCCTTTGGTTTATCGAAAACTATAACCATTCAATCATGTAACTTTCTAATCTTTTACACTAGTTCTAAATCCCACTCACTAACTGGACACTAATTTAGCAGCAGTGTTCATAGAAACTACAATATATGACAGAATAGGTAATAAATCTCAATCACTAACTAGACAGTAATTTAGAAGCAGTGTTCATTTCTGAAAAAAGTATTAATCTTTAGCATTGTAGAGCAAGCAAACATAAAGGAATGCGTCTAGAAACTCAAGAGGATCTAACCGCTCAAGCAGCTTCATGGCAGCATCGGTCTCTCTTGCCTGGTACATAGCCTTCAAGACTAGATTATAAGACGCTGTATTGGGAGCCACAGAAAACTCTTCCATTGGCGCAACAAGATCGAGCATATCAGCAGCCGAAGCACCCATCATCAAATTAGCACGAAGGTAATGATTGTAAAGGTTAACATCAGGCTTGTTCGGCTTCCCATTTTTGTCAAGCGATCGAACCCAGAACTCAAAAAGCTGTTTCATGTCAGACCAACGCTGCGAGGCGGTCCAATCAGCAAACATATTCAAAAGAGCGTTCATGTCAAGCGTCTCAGAGAGAGCTCTGATGCGAGCAGCAGGAGCCTGATTTAGAAATCCCAATGGAACGAGAGACTGGTTGAAGGAAGGAGTGTTGGGGATCGGGCTACGCCAGTTCTCTTGGTAAAGTGGACTCCCCGTTGCTGGGTTCGGAGGAAGCGGCGTGGAGTTTGATTGATGATTTGGCGTTTCGTGATCTGTTGATTCAGTTGCGAGCTGAGGGTCTTGACAGAGGAATGGTGTACCGGAAATGGCTCTGATGGTTGAATTGGAGGCGAGAGGGTTGGGTTTTAGGGTTTTGAGGAGAGAGAGACGGGATCGGGTAAAGAGATGAGACGCCATTGTTGGAAAGATCTGTTTTTTTAGTTATGGGGGGAAAGGGTTTAGCTGTGTTTAGGGTTTTCTGAGTTTTCAGATGAGTTTTTTTTTTACACTAGCAGTAGCTCCGGTCGTGACGATCTGTCCTCGATGACAACAGTGGCATTTCAGAGATTATCCCACAAAGGTGATGTCAATTATTCAGGAGTTGCCTTTGACTCTCGCTCGGACATGTTTTGGTCTTTTAGTATGAAGTCTGGCCCATTAATACATCGAGTCGGCCCATTAGCAACAAATTTAAGCGAGCTGATCTCTTACCGCATGGCTGTTGATTTGTTGGTGATGAGTTTCATACTTGACATCAGCAGGAAAACAAACACGACATTCATTTGAATAGGAATGATATGTGAAGGAATTTTGCTCTCTAAGACTACCTTCTCACATCATTCATCGGCCATAGAGGTTGTATACTTGTATAAAGAGACTGGTTTCATCTCCAAAGTCAAAGAGAATTAAGCTAGAAAAGATGGGATCATGACCCCCAATTTTGTGTGTTTTAGCGAATAACGTGTCACGAACAGTGAAAACGATAGATCATACTCGAGTTGTATACATTTCCAAATCCCTCGACGTAATATCATTTTACTCTTAAACCTTTTATATGTACGCGCAGAACAAAAGAAAAAATAAACTTTATATATATATGTCATAGTGGACTTTACATGCATTAAAAACCCATTGAATCTATCATTTACACGCACATATTTATAACGTGAACGGAACCCACCAACCTATGTCATCATGCGGTTCTAATAACCAGATCGATACCACGCGACCACAACCCAAAATGTGGACTTCGGAAAAAAAACTTACGTACGTACTATTTCTTATTCCTTTACGTTAGCGGCATCGTGTATAGCTAATTTTTGTTGTCTCTTGTCAACAACCATGGATTGAATTCTCTGATGATTAACGTTAATGATTTAGTGCGACTTTGTGACTTGTGACACAATCACACGTGTTGTAACGCGGATGCAAAGTTTTTGCTGCACATGGCTCCCCCGCTCGGCCGCTTTTGCCTTCAAAAGTACTTAACACTTAAGTTTTTGCCTTTTGCAAGACTATACTATTTCCAATTTTTGTGTTCTTTTCCCTGTTTTTTCTCCATTATCTTTCATCCGTTAGTGCTTTAGAAATCAAACTGCTTTACTTTAAAATCATCTTTAAATCATTTGTATCGTATAATATGTTTTAATAACATTTACAACAGTTTTCACTTTGGAGACGTGTGCATGCATATCTAATATCTTTTGTTATGTCTTTGTGGAAAGCTAGAAGACTCTATCTAAATCCTTAAAAAGTTAAAGAAAGAATGCATCAAAATGTACGTAAATTGAGGTGACAAATTAGTAAATAACAAAGCTAGATAGTTTCCTTCCTTCACATAAAGTCCCACTACGATATTATGTGCGTTAAAACCGACCAATCACACATTGACTATACGACAAGTTTGCTTTTCACCTTCTCTGTTGTTTCTCTCCAGACCCACATTAATTGCTTTGGCTACTCAAAATCTAACATTTACAAGTCATCACACATTATTATCAGAACTTTTCTTAACTTAGGCCTCAGGGTATACTCATGCTTATTTAGTACCCGAGAATTATCATAACAAATTAGCTCCACCACCGTATCAAGATCTCTCTCTAACAAACACGCAAAAACACATTTGTGACACTGTTGGTATTAAACAAGTTATTCGATCAGGTTTTAGCAGTCATGGCGGTTTTGCTTCATCTGTTTCTCCTCTCTTTTATGTTTACCTATTCATGTAAGCATCTAATTTTCTCTGTCTCTTGGCTTTAAGCCTCAGATAGTTCTTGTATTTTTTCGTTTCTTGGTTACGTTTCCCTCGTAATGCTAATCTTTAACACATCTTCTATAATTTGACTAAACTGATGATCTGATATCTCTGTTCTGTACTAGATGCGGCGGTTTGTGTGTGCAAGGACGCGAGCGAGCCGGAGCTGCAGAAGGTGATAGACTTCGCATGCGGAGGAGGTGCTGACTGTACTCAGATTCAGACGACCGGAGCTTGTTATCAACCAAACACCGTCAAGAACCACTGTGACGTCGCCGTTAACAGTTACTATCAGAAGAAAGCTCCAACCGGCGCCACCTGTGACTTTAACGGCGCTGCCGTCATCTCCACTTCTCCTCCTTCAAGTATTCTTCCTAAACCAACAACTTCTTTTCATGTAATATTTACATATTGTTTACTGATTATATATTTACTCTGTTCTTGCAGCTACTTCAAGCTGTTTATCTAGTTCTAGGTAAGTTTCACTTGACCTTGCCTTAGTTCTTGATCGTTTGCTTAGTGTTTTCCTTAGTAACGAGCTCTCTGAGGATTCTAGTTATGAGTAGTTCAGTAGTAACTTGTCGAATTAGTTTGTACACATAATCTTTACTTCTTATAAACCAATTTTGTCTTAAATATTCTTAGAAACTGTGATGACGATGATTTAAGTGTCCTTATAACAGTAACTCTTTTGCAGCTCAACCGTAAACCCCACCACCGGCAATTCAACCACCGGAACTCCAAGCACCACAAATCCAACCACGTTCAATTCTACAGGCAATTCAACAACCAGCTCACCTACTGATGATAGTCCGACTTCGTCTACGTTAGCATTTCCTGGAAATACTATGGGACCGTCCAGCAGCACCAGCGGTTTAGGTGCCAGCGGAGGAGAAGAGCTCTCCGTCCGAACCACGACGATCATCTTACTAACTACCATCGCTGCCGTGGCTTTGAAGGTTTAGGTGAAATCATCTCAGATGATCATCATGACAACCATCTCTGTCTATTTATTTTTGTCCACTTTTAAATCTTTGTAGGGGTCGTGAGTTTCTCTCTTGATCTGTCTTTTATAGTACTTTGGTTTATAGAAAACCATAATCAAGAGCTTTTCTTGCTTTCTTTTGTAAATCCAGGATGCTCTCTTTGGTTTGTATTCTTTTTCTTACCTATTTTTATCTTTAGTTATGCATCACATGTGTCATTGCCGATTTCAACATCACGAAGATAATAAAATGTCATCTACTATATATATTGTTTAACTACAAATATTTTCATAGTCGATTTCCATTAGTATGTATCGATTCTAATACTTACAAATCAAACTTAATATGATCTTCATCCTTTTTTCCTACTTAAATTTTTATAAAATCTGGCAACAAAGATTTTACAATTAATTCTGTGAAGATTTATATTTTTAATGACTTTTGAATAGTAAGCTCTTTATTTTGAAGCTCTTCGATTCCTCAAGTTTATCCGTTGTATTATAATGGAAATATTCAAGTATAAAAACTAGTGATGACTTCATAAAATGAGGGCAATATATATACATCAAGGGATATATATATATATATAATCGTTTTCTTTTGTTTATTACAACATTTTTGGATCTAACTATATGATTCTGACTCGTATGAATCTACTGAATGGGAGATAGACAATATCGTTTGATATCTTTTGCTTACACTCTTCTTTATGATTTGAAGGAAGAACTTCATTAACATAGCAACAAAAAGAACTACTTGTTGTGATTCGTGAGTGACTAATTTATTCGTTTATGTCTCTCTTTTTTTTAATTGACAAGTTGTTGTTGTGAGTGATTTGTATTTGTTATGAATATTTAATGGATATGTCTAGACTGCTTAAGCTACTCAAGTGGAGTGGAAAAAATGATTAGAAGTACGTTTTCTGAACAAATTTGATATCAAAGTTTGTCTTCTTATCTCAAATGTAAAGTTTTTAATGGATAACATGTGTGCTACAATAATCCATGGCAAAATATGCTACAAGAATGAGATTAAAGAGTGCATACATGTGGAATTTTTTTTTAATATTAAATCATATGTAACTCAAATGTTATTTTAGTAGTCATCGATTGATATTCTTCAGTTTTATTTGTTCAATAATACTGATTCTATTAACTGAATTGAAGGGAGGAGTTTGTGTAAGGTGAAAACATCCAAAAACTAATCTGTCCAAATTGGTAATAAAATTAATTTTGTAATCTTAAAATTAAAGTATGTTTTGTATTGTGCCTGATATTTTACCACAACACTTTTTTCATTTGAAAATAGGATGACAGACTACTTACATAGATGAAATTAAAAAGTGTTTGGTTGATTTTCACACCAACTTATTAGAGGCTCCTTGCATTGTTAAAGCTGAACTATCCATGGAAGTTTATGAGACGAAGGACCTAGCTTTCCACATCAAGATATTTCTCAATGTAAGATTAACACTACTTTCTTCTTTAAACAAATTATGTAACTAACCACATATTTATAGCCATTCTTTTGGTTTAATATATAGTTAATTCATTGTAACTATTTTCAAAAGACTAAACACAATAAATAGATCAATAGTCATTATAATTTAATAAATTTATGGTCACAGTTTGGACTAGTGTAATTTTGAATACAATTCGATAAAATATTAAGATACTATTTTTTTTTTGGAAAACTCTCTATAAACTGCATAGTATCTTCAATTTTATTAATTAATAATTGTGTAAAATTATCAATATATATATATATATATATACATGTAAGAAAATTTAGTAAATGATGCTTTTGTGTTGTTTTCTTAAATTTACATTAATTTTGTTAGATTAATTTTTAGTATATTTAATGTATCGAAAGTTTTTGGTGTTCTCTTCAAAACATGATAATTATTGTTTTTTTTTGAAATTATTTATAGAAAATATTAACTATAATGATAAAATATTTAATAATATACATATATATTAAAGATTGTCATGTTCAAAAGATCTCTACATCTATAAATTAATAAATTTTCATGTTCTCAAAAATATTTATTTATATAAGTTTTACTGTATGTACTGGTTTTTTATTTTTGTCAAAAAAAATATTTTGATTAATTCATAAAAACTTATTGGAAAGAATAAATATTATATAAATAACAGATTGTGGTTAATTAACTCGTCTGTGTTAAATTATGTATAAGCTTTTACAAGATACAAATAATCTATATATAATAGCAAACCCACTTTTTGTTTACTGCTGATGTCATCTTTTGAATCTAACGGTTGAGATTGATTTTTATTTGATCTAAAGGTTACTGTTTAATCTCGGAATATATAAAAGCAAAAACGTGTCTTTTTAAAAGGATGTGTCTTTTAAAAAGGATGCATCTTTTAATAAAAACCCCTGTAATTTAATCAATGCAATGTTTCACAGTCACACCCTTTCATTCTATATATAAATATTCTACAGCTCTTTGTTTTTATTAAAAAAAACTATTGATTGTTTTGTTTTATTTCATTTTAAAAAGTTATTTTCTTGAAACAATTGTTTCTTCAAATTTTGTTTTTCCAATCCTATTTGACTTTAAATTTGCTTAGCCATTATCATCTAAAGGTAATAATGGTTATTACCTCTTTGTTAATTAGTTGCTCAAACCCACTTTCTATGGTTGCTGGGATCATCGTTTTAATCTAACGGATGAGATTGTTTCCGTTATCTCATCTAACTATTTATATTTGTTAATGATCCAAAAAATTGCAAAGTTTTATACCCAAAAATTGTGTTTATTCGTTGTACCCCTAGCTTAAAAATTTCGCACCTGTTATTTTCTCACACCTCTTTGTTTGTATATATAGATTTCCGTGGACCTTGATAGATTTTGTTTCTCTGAGTACTGTTTCACACCTCCGAATTTTTAAAAATCTAAATATTGTTTTTCCGATTTATTTGTCTTCATTGATTGACCATCTTCGTTTAAATATGACTGTTTTATTTATTGATTTCCTTATCATCTTATACATGCATTGATCATATCTTCGATGTATTAATCTAGGTAACTAATTTTGACTATCAACCTACTTCTCTTA